CAGGCAAGGATGGGGCGGGGTTCACCGAACAGCGGTTTGAACAGTTTAAGAACAACGTTTCTCAAAGTGCAATTGCAAGGAATTTAGGGATTTCAAAATCTACGGTCCATAATATCATCAAAAGGTTCAGAGAATCTGGAGAAATCACTGCATCTAAGTGGCACGGCCAGAAACCAACATTGAATGCCCGTGACCTTTGATCCCTCAGGCGGCACTGTATCAAAAACTGACATCAGTGTGTAAAGGATATCACCACATGGGCTCAGGAACACGTCAGAAAACCACTGTCAGTAAATACAGTTCGTCGCTACATTTGTAAGTGCAAGTTAAAACTCTACTATGCAAAGCGAAAACCATTTATCAACAACATCCAGAAACACCGCAGGCTTCTCTGGACCCGAGCTCATCTAAGATGGACTGATGCAAAGTGGAACAGTGTTCTGTGGTCTGATGAGTCCTCATTTTAAATTGTTTTTGGAAATAGTGGACGTCGTGTCCTCCGGGCCAAAGAGGAAAAGAACCATCCGGACTGTTATTGACGCAAAGTTCAAAAGCCAGCATCTGTGGTGGTATGGGGGTGCATTAGTGCCCAAGGCATGGGTAACTTACACATCTGTGAAGGCAACATTAATGCTGAAAGGTACATACAGGTTTTGGACCAACATATGCTGCCATCCAAGCAACCTCTTTTTCATGGACGCCCCTGCTTATTTCAGCAAGACAATGCCAAGCCACATTCTGCACGTGTTACAACAGCATGGCTTCGTAGTAAAAGAGTGCGGGTACTCGACTGGCCTGCCTGCAGTCCAGACCTGTCTCCCATTGAAAATGTGTGGCGCATTATGAAGCGTAAAATAAGACAACGGAGACCCCGGACTGTTGAACAACTGAAGCTGTACATCAAGCAAGAAAGGGAAAAAATTCCACCTTCAAAGCTTAGTCTCCTCAGTTCACAAACGTTTATTGACAGACAGCCATCTCAACACTAGTGTCTAATCAGAACTGAGAAACAGTCTGCTGTTGTGTCAGTCTTCTTGCTTCCACCCGGGATGCGTCTTTTCCCCCCGGAAAGTTGCAAAATCGCATTGCACTTGATGTGTTTAGTCAGGTGTGTCAAAATTCACCTCAGAATATTTAGTAATTTCGCATTGTATATTTGCGTCAGTCCCGGTGTGTAAGGACCGTAAGTACAAGTTACAAGTGTGTAAGGTGTGTAAGACAGTTCTGGGTTCTGTGGGTTACTGCAGTCTGGACTCTGCTGTATCGCTAACATTCGCTTCTGACTTTGACACTTTGACCCCATATTAGCTCTGCCCTTCAGTAAAGCAGAGGATCATCCTCTTTAGGATAAGTTATTCATTGCATGTGTGTCTGTGTTTACATCAGTTTAACATTCAGGCTAATCCAGCATCATGTAAACACTCTCAGATCTGTGTGTGTGTGTGTGTGTGTGTGTGTGTGTGTGTGTGTGTGTGTGTGTGTGTGTGTGTGTGTGTGTGTGTGTGTGTGTGTGTGCAGCGTCCTGCATTCAGAGCTGTAATCTGTCCGATGATATTCCAGTCAGGAGAGTCACCTCCATCCTCTCATCACGGACTGAAGACATGATGTGGAACAGAGCCAGCTTCACCACATTTAGTCTCTGCAGGACGAGGAGGAGATGAGGAGGATGAGGGGGAGCCAACAGAGAGGGAGGAGGAAGGGTTAATTGGTATTGTGTAGAAAGCAAACATTATCCTAATCATGGATGACACACAGTAAACAGAACAGCAAGAGCTTGTTAAATCCTGGAACAATAGATACCACCCAGGACATCACAAAGGTACAGTAAGAGCACACTCAGAGAGTTCCTATGGTAGATTTTAGAGAAAAGTCTATTTAATGGGGTTAGAGGAGTTTACCTGAAGAACATTTACCACTTAACTAATCTGAATTTATAGCAGTGTGTAAAGGAGGAACACAATTCATGGAAATGGCTTTAAATGATTTATTTAGATATCTGCATGAAGGTTAACAATCTGTCTGAGGTCAAACATTTATACTTACACACTGATCTGCTTAATTTTGATAAACTCAAGATAAGATTATTTTAGATTTCCTGACTGCTTTGAATGCATAACCAGAAATTATGGATCTGACCTCCATTTACCAAACATTGTTTAAAACAAAGCTTGATAGGTGATTTTGAGTGATCTGCATGAAAATGTTGTGATTTCAGGAAACTAAAGGCCTGAAAAAAATCTTAAGAACATCACTTTCTGCTGAGGGAAGCCAGAGTAAAGCCTCAGAGTGACTGTCTATTTACAGTGAAATTGAAACTCACTACTGTTGGACAATGATAAGAAATAATCAGATGGGCTCATGATAGTTAAAGCATTTGCAGAAACACTTTCTCAACCTCTCAACCCTTTTAAAATATCTTTAAAAACAGTTATGTTCAAGCTGCTTTTCACCAGTTTATCACTTTGATATGTTTATTGTTTTGCTGGTAGGATCCTGTCATATACACTACAGGCCAAAAGTTTGGAGCAAGTTTGGAGCTAGCAAGATCAAATTTGTAAAAAAAAAAAAAAAAAGATCATAATACTTTGCAACAACAACAAAAAACTGATAATTATCTAAAGAAAAACTTATCAGAAGACATTTTGACTATAATTATCAGGTATTTGATTATTTATAATTATCAGGTATCTTGCTTAGACTTTGCTTTCTTTAAAGTAACCTCCTCTGGCTTTAACAACAGCTTGGCATATACCAGGCATTTGTTTCACAAGTTTTTTCAGGTATGTTCCAGGGATTGAATTCCAAGCTTTCTTAAGTTCATCAATAAGAGACTGCTGATTTGTGGGACGCCCTTTTCTGATTGATCGATCCAATTCATCCCACACAAGCTCAGTTGGAGAGAGGTCTGGAAGCTGAGGGGGCCAAACCATCTTTTGAAGAACACCTTCCTCCTCTTTTTTGTCTAAGTAACCCCAACAGAACTTGGCAGAATGCTTAGGGTCATTGTCTTGCTGCAAAACAAACTTATGAGCCACAAGTCTGAGTCTAGATGGAGCAGCATGGTGCTGGAGGATGGAGTGGTACTATTCCTTCTTCATAATAACCTTTACTTCAAACAAATCTCCTACTCCATCACCTGCAAAACATACCCATATCATAGGACTACCACCTTCTTGCTTTCTTGTGGGTGTTACGCATGGTCCTTTGAGACGTTCACCAGTTTTTCTGCGGATATAGACTCTGCGTTTGGAACCAAATAGTTCAAACTTGCTTTCGTCCGTCCAGAGGACTTGTTTCCAGTCATCATAGGTCCAATTTTTGTGAGCTTTTGCCCACTCATATCTCTCTTTCTTGTTCTGTGGATGAAGAAGTGTTTTGTTTTTGCAGATACACAACCCTTCAGACCAGCCTTTCTCAAATGCCTTTCACAGTTGTCAGAGATATGGGTTTCGACCTTGTCATGTTGATTTCTTCCTTTATTTGTGGTGCTGTCTTTCGCCGATCTCTCTTACTGATGACAATAATATGTTTATCCTCTGCTTTTGTAGTGACCCTCTTTCTTCCAGGCCTTTTCCTATCATCATAACTTCCAGTTTCTTCAAGTCTCTTCAGAGTGTAGTGGACTCCTTTGTTAAACACCCTTAGGCGTTTTGCAATTTCCCTTTCTGTGTACCCTTCTTTTCTCAATGTACAAATCTGTACTCTTGTTTCTTTACTCAGTTGCTTCTTTCTAGCCATTTCTGCGATAGTTTTTCAGAGTTTTGAACACAGGTGAGATTTATTGGGGTTTTTGTATGCAGACACTCAAAAGCCAATAAGTAAAAGTGAATAATGCAAAGTGATTTGTTTTTTTTTTTACTTTTACACTGAATTTGTGACTCTTGCTAATCTTCTTGAACCTAAAACTAAGCCCTCCCTTTCTTTTGTTGACATTTATTCAGCAATGGTCTGGTAACATCAATGTATACCTAAAGGTAAATTGAGGAAAATGGTGCATATCAATGAAAGCAAAGTCTAGTCATGCAATAAATACATCCCAAAATACATTTAACTTATCCTTTTTTAATGAAAGGTATTGTGAACAGAAACTTGAAGTAGTTTCCAAATGTTTGGCCTGTTTTGGTCTTGCTGTAGTGTATTTTATAACAGTGGTTCTCAAGTTCAGTCCTGGAGGCCCACTGTCCTGCATGTTTTGGATGTTTCCCTGCTCCAACACACCTGATTCAATTAATTAGCTCGTTATTAAGCCATTGCAGAGCTTCATAACGAGCTGATCATTTGCATCAGGTGTGTTGGAGCAGGGAAACATCCAAAACATGCAGGACAGTGGGCCTCCAGGACTGAACTTGAGAACCACTGTTTTATATTTTCTAATCTTAAGGTCCTTTCACATCAGGACCGTTTTCGTCGTGCGATTATTTCAGACATCATTTTTTTTTTCGAACCTGTATCCTGTCAATACAAGCGTTCACAACAGCGACGTTTTCCCGTCCTGCGATAAAATAGATGCATTTCACATGTGTGTCCACTTCTGACCAATCAGATTGTGTGTTGTTGCAACGTCTAATTCACCAGTATATCCAACATGGCCGACTGGCTGATTTTTTACGTGTCGGAGAACAGAGTGCTTTTTGATAAAAGACACAAATATTACAAAGATAACGACGTGAAGGACAAATTGTGGAGAGTCATAGCTTTGGATTTCTCATATGATGATGGTTTGTGTGCTTTAACAGTTTGCTGAACGTCTTTGTTTTAACTTCCATCTGTGCTAAGTAACTTTAGCTCGTCTCAAACTCAATCGTGTAACTGTCACAGCACCATTAAGTCTCGGTTGTTACCTTATGTTTATGGATTATAGTTTAATGTGCTTATCTGGTACTCAGTACTCGGTACATGCTATCATGACAGACAGCCATCTCAACACTAGTGTCTAATCAGAACTGAAAAACAGTCAGTCTGCTGTTGTGTCAGTCTTCTCGCTTCCACACGGGATGCGTCTTTTCCCCCCGGAAAGTTGCAAAATTGCATTGGGCTTGATGTGTATAGTCAGGCATGTCAAAATTTGCCTCTGAATATTTTGAATTTTGCAGTCTATATTCCCGTCGGAATAAGGACCTTTAGTTTGCTCATGACTACTTTTACAAATATTTGTTTTTTACTAGCCACTAGTAACCAAAATTCAAAATGGTTGCGAAGTACTCATGCTGTAACAAGGTGATAAAAAGATTGGTTCTTATGAAAAGGATTTTTTTTCTGTAATCTTCACAGCCACGGTTACATGTCAGATTATGCATGAACAGATTAATATTATTGTATTTTTTAAAAAACAGACAAACAAAAAAAATCAGAACAAAACAAAAACACACAAAATGACCTTCATCAAAAAGGCTGCAGTCTGAATGTGGTCTGACTATTTGGTTTATATGACAGTGTATGTGTACAATAGCCTCAAACTGCATACTTGATAATTTATATTTGGCATTTTACCTGCCTCCTCTCCTTGCAGTATCAACCTTCGTGTTGCCCACAGAGTTGAAAAATCTCTTAATATGACAAGCAGACTTGTTGATTAGTCAGTGAAACCTTAAAATGCTACCTGTACAGAGCTGAACTGTACTGTGAAGGCAGCAAAATAGGGAATACAAACTGTACAAAACACACACTGTCAAAGTGAGGGAAGACCTCACATAGAAAGACAGCCCAAACCCAGCCTTAAGTTTAAATGCTGAAATAAGAACTTCACACAAATAAATTAGCATATGTGAATGTTTATACTTTTGTACCAATTTTAGTTTCCCATTTTTGTCAAGCAGCAACTTCTGAGCTTGAGAAATGAAGCTGATGCTTAAAGGGATATTCTGGTGTAAATTTTATTTAGGGTCAAACACACCGTAACACAGAGTTAGACACCCCCTCGAGAGATGTATGTTGCCGACTGCTTGCTTCTGTAGTTATACCAACTTAAGCAAGCCCGCATGATAGCAATACACAGCGGTCTGTGTTTCCATGCACAAACCCCAACCAAACTCCAGCGGAGATTCACAGATTAAGGAAGAACGTTTATGATTATTGCTTCATGGAAATACAATCAGAATGAGACACTGAGGAAGAAGAAATGACGCGTCTGCAGTGCAAAATGATTATTATGATGATTATTACTTCTAGAAGATGATCCACTGCACTCAGTGATCGATTTGTCAGGGCTCCCCCACAAACAAGCGGCTGCTGGAAGAGAGTAGATGAGTTGTGTTTAGTCTATTTGCTAAAGAAATCAGGCAAAGCTAAAAAGATGTTTGGTGGCTAGTACTATGGCTGGGACCCTACATGTACTGTTGATGAGGTTAGGTGCTGTTCTGAGAATTTTTTGTGGCTATAGATTGGCTTTTTGGTTGAGCGTGTAGCTCCTGGAACTGCTGTGTATTGCTTTCATACAGTTGTTACTAAAGTTGGTATAACTAGAGAAGCGAGCGGTCGGCAACATTCATCTCTCGAGGGGTGTCTAACTCTGTGTTACAGTGTGTTTGACCCTAATTTAATTTTACGCTGAAATATCCCCTTAAATCTCTTGCTTAGAAACAAATGGGTGATATCATCGATCCATGTTTTTTACTGTCTGTGTTTCTTTCTCAATGTTCTATTTCTCTCCCTGTTTTGATCTCATATTCAAATATACTGTATTCTGTCTATAAAATGGTGATGCAGTGGATTTATTGCCTCACAGTTAAAGGAGTCTTGGTTTGAATCCCTGCAGGTACCCCTCAGTCCAAACTCAACTCTTGTTTGCTTAAATAGATTAACCATCGGAGTGACTGTGTCTGATTGATCTAGTACCATGAAAGGCCGATAACTTGTTTAGATAGACAGTTCTTCCTTTACCGCTGAAACCAGCAGTACTGATGCTGAATGGATTACAATGGTCCATTTTACAGCTCTTAATAATAAATACATATTACCCATAGAGAGACAGTCAGGAGCCCTTGATTATAGCTGATTCAGCACAATAAATCTAACTTTAAAGGTGGGGTAGGCAGGATCTGAGGAGGTGCCTGTTTTTGGGAGAAATCTTGAATGTAAACTCTACCCCTACCAACCAGTTTTCCCCTCAGCTCCTCCTCTTCCCTCCCTCTCTGCTCCAGCAAGCTCCGCATAAAAAACAGACACTCCTGCTCGCTCGTATCGTTCCATTTAAATTCAGATATAATGCAGATAAATACTTCAGATAATTACAAATGGGGCCCAGTCGACGTGAAAGTAAAAAGCATTGGTGCTACTGTAGATGCCAACAGACTACCAGCAAACACAATGTTTGCAGGACTTCTACAACTAGGACAAAGTGACATAGTCCAGGACCCGAGGTAAACAGTTTAGCGGCGCTACCGCATGCAGCAGGTCCCGTTTGACAAGACACACTTTTGTTACAGACACTTGGCTTACTTTGAGCGATTTACCTGTCCAGCAGAAAGGTTAGGGTCCGTAAGATCCCAAGAGTCCTCCATCATTGTTGACCCATCTTCTTAGCTCTTGTTCAGTCTACAGGTCCTTACACACCGGGGCCGACGCGAATATAGAACGCGAAATTATGAAATATTCGGAGGTGAATTTTGACAGGCCTGACTATACACATCAAGCCTGATGCGCTTTTGCAACTTTCCCGGGGGGAAAAGATGCATCCCAGGGAAGACTTTTCCCTTATATTATCACCAATCAGAGGCAAGAAGATAAGCACATGAAACTATGGTAACAACCGTTAGCTTACTTTAGCACAGATGAAAGTTAAAACAAAGACGTTTAGTAAACTGTTAAAGCACACAAGCCACAAGTTGTCCTTCAGGTCGTTATCTTTGTAATGTTTGTGTCTTTTATCAAAAAACACTCTGTTCTCCGACACGTAAAAAATCCGCCGGTCGGCCATGTTGGATATACGGGTGAATCGGACGTCAACAACACGCAATCTGATAGGTCAGAAGTGGACACGCAGTATGCGAAACTTCAGAAAAATTGACCATGATCCGAAAAAATAAATGCAGCAATATATCAGGACGGGAAAACATGTGAATGCTTGTATTGACAGGATAAGGGTTTGAAAAAAAAGATTGACTTCCTAAATAATCGCATGACGAAAATGGTCCCGGTGTGAAAGTACCTTACCTACATTTTAAGAGCCTGTTATTCCGCTAGAGTCTCCGGTATTTACTTTGTTTTATTGGTTGTGCTTGAGGATTCAGACAATTTCCCGTACTTTCTGGTTGGTTTCTACTGTCCACTGTTGTAGCACGCTAACTTTGTTTGGGCTTGTGCATGTTATTGCAGGATGTGGAGCATGCCTCACAACAGGAGGGAGCAGGGTCTGCCTCACAACCAATCAGGTTGGGGGAGGTGGAGAATGGCTTTGTTTACAGTCAGAAAGACTGCTCGAAAAAATTTAAAATGTTGACTATACAGTCATAAAAAAAACACAGTGATATCGTGATATTGCCAAATGTCATCAATAACTAATAGCTATTGACTCATATTAAAAGCTTTTTTGTATATACTGTACACCACAAAAAAAAAAGCTTCTTTAACAAAATCCTGCCTACCCCACCTTTAAGTCTCCACCGTGATAATGAGGAGGGTGTTGGTTTAAACTGAGAGGAAATGGGCTGTGTAAAACATGCTTAAAGTATGAAGTAGCGTTTTCAGTGGACTCTCTGAGATCAGGTCCTTCAGGACCCTCACCTGACCATCACCTGACTCTGTGCTGTCAGACAGAAACCTGCAGCGTGTTCAGCACAGAGCTGGCACAGGATCAAACCTGACAGGCAATCTTCTTTAACGCTGTGAAACCTAAATTACAGGCCTCATCCTGAGCGTCAGGGTTAATTCCCTCAGCCGCTGTAATGAAATGATTCCACATGACACCTCACAGCGCTGCGTTTGGCGCCCGGCCCACCAGAGGAGCTTCCTGTCACAGAGGATTTCAGACACACCAGACGGGAAATCAAACTGGCAAGAAGACGTTCAGCAGGAAAATTACCTTTGTGTTGACGAAATCCCTGCAGCTCAGTGTGCTTATTAATTATAGAGACGATCTGGAGGACGGGACACAAAGACACTGACATGATACTCGAACAAAAAGAAAAGCCTTACATTCATATAAAAATAAACACAAGCGGTGTGTGCAGACAAGCTGTAAGCAGAGCTGGTAAACAGCCTTCCCGCCCCTCACCCCACACCACCCCTTCATCACCCGCCTCTTTGTGTTCAATAACATCAGACAGAGGAAGATCTGCTTGATCTGGACCTGTCACGCTGAGATCAAGTGATCCCTGAGCACAGACATTAAAACACCATCAGTCTGCTGCTTGAACTGTCAGTATCATCCACGGGTTATTTCCAGCAGGGAAAAAGTCTGTGGAGCACAAAGGAAACATACTATAATCTGCTTATAACCATCACTTCAAAACACCACAGTTTTAAGGGTTGTTAAAAACAGATTTCATGATGAAACTGCAGCTAAGAAGAAGGTCCAAGAAGGTCAGCTGTAGACAAGGATATGAGAGAAAGTTGTTTTTTACGAGATGAACGGTCTTCATGTGATAACCAATGAGGCCATGAATGTAAACTGTAGAGACAATCATGAACCAATGAAACATTTCACAAAACACATATTTCACTCATAAACCAAATATCTCATGAAACCTAAATGCAAAAATAGGCCATGCCACACAACTGAGATACAGGGTGGCCCAAATATTTTAGAAAGTGGACCAAAATAATCTCAAAACTCAACAACCTTTACATCTGCAATATTTTACATGAACACAAAATAAAATTAATGCAACACAAATGAAGTTTTTCAATATTCAATCGCAAAATATTTTGTGCTTTTAATTTCTTTTATGTTTTCTAAATTTTACTTATGTTTTCAAATTATATGTTTCTATCATTTCTTTCTTCAATATATTTTATGATCATGTGAAATCTATTTGCGTTTTATGAATTATTTTTTGGTTGTTGTTGCCTGACTCAAATATTGCTGCCGTTGACCTTCAGGGCCACTCCAGAAAACTCCTGCTGGTTCACAGAAAAACACTGGACCTACAGAAAATGTACAAAACGAGTAACATAAGTTTTGTTTGCATGACTGATGTTTCTCTAAACTGTTTCCTTAAGACATTAAAAAGGCTTTTGTTGTTAACCACCCCCCCAAAAAAAAAAATAAAAAAATAAATAAAAAAGAAAAATAAATAAAAAAATTAAAAAAGTAGGTACCCTGGACGAGACATTGATCAGACCTGTCTATCAGGCTGTTTAATAAGGCCAATAAATAACATTTATGAATATTATTTCCCAAAGCCAGTTAAAAAGCACGCACTAGAGATAGGGAGAGAATATAGTGCTTTTCAGATTCTGTGGTGGGTACACAGTGTAGCAGGAACATTTTTTTAATATGCAGAGTCAAAGTCATGGTTTATCTCCTCGGGACTGCTGAATACAGCCTGCTCTCATATACTGGTCCACTTCTTGATGTTCTCTGTATTTCTAACACTTTTCCCTGTTTAAGATAACAGACTTATGTTTACAGTGGGATTTAAAAATGTCACCTGGTGTTACCGAATTGGCTTGACTAATTGATATACACTCACTGATGGATCAGTCACTGCACACAAAAGGAATCCACAGTTCCCAGAACTACATGAAAAGGTTCCTTCAGCCTTGAAATAATGTCATAATGTCTGCAGACACTCCAGCCAGCTTTACCAAAGTCAGTCGTCCTGCAGTGGTAACAGGTTTGTCGATATAGATCTAAATGTATGTGCTGACTCAGAATATTAGTTGTTGTTGATTATTTTTTACATTGAAATGTGCCTGACACCATGGAAACCTGCCGGTGAGGCATCAGTGACGTATGCCGATATGCCGCCGGTCTACAAAAATACCACTAGACCAGCTGCGCTCCACCTGCGCTGAAAGCTGACAAGTTTTGAATCGGCGAGCTTTCAGCGCACTTTATACTCCACCGGCGGGCACTAAAATGTCACTGGGCCAGCTGATTCTGTCGACACCTCCCTCTGCCACGCCACCACGCCCAGCTTGGCGGATCTCGGTGCGCCTCAGTCCACGAAAATACCAAACTGGCTGTATGCCAGGCTCCACCAGACGAAAATACCACTGTGCGGGGTCCGCCACCCTCAGCCGCGTCGCCGGCGGGCACAAAAATAGAGCCCTTGATCTAAAAACGAGAGGTTAAACTAATTTCACTGGAGTTTCATGGCTTAGATCAGCCCGTGACCACCTAGATGATTCTGATGAATAATAAAACCAGAGTGTCAGGATGTCTGATACACCTGCTGAGAACACCTTCATATGACAGGTGCAGGCCAGATCCTCCTGTGAACACACCAGCTGCCAACACACACACACACACACACACACACACACACACACACACACACACACACACACACACACACACACACACACCTGCAGACATACACACCTACACTTGTGCGCGCGTAAACACACATACACACACACACACATGCACACACACACACACACACGCACACACACGTGAGAGATAGAAACATTTTTGATTTTTAACAAACCTTTATTATCTTAACACCAAATCATCACACTTTAACCTTCACTTTAGATCATTATTTAAGGAAATCACAACTCAAGCTCCAAGCAGCTAAAAGTCTGTTTAAAAATGCACAATCAGCTGCGTGTCATCTGCAGAAACAACACATCAATCATCTTTTGATGACTTCAGATATCAGAGCTCTTTTCTGTCTATCCTGTCCACTATTGATCTTAAAGGACCCCATCCTGAGGCTCTGCATGAAGAGAGCAGAGAATGAAGAGAAACGGACAGACCAGAATGAGAACAGGACAGTTTGAAGAGTACATAAAACTGCTCCACCTAGCTTGCACTCCACTGCCAAGTGACTGACTATCTTACCCAGAATACATGTGGAGAGGATATTGATGATCCAATCGTAAATTTGCACGTTTTCAAGTAAATTGTGAGAGTAAGAAATTCTCACTCTGTTTCCATGATGCGGGCTGGGGAGAGGCCCTCATAGCCTGGCTTCTCTGGGCCCCTTCTGAAGAAGTTCAGGTATTGATGCAGTTATAGTTTTTGTTGTTATCGCTCATCTTGCTGGTTGTTTTTATCCTCGATGTTGCTGCAAATGTTGCTGTTTTAGTTTCACTTGCCTGTTGCTGTAGTTTGTTTTGTTGCTGTGATTTCAATAAAAGTACACATGGTTGTTGCTGATGACATTTTTATTGGCTTCTTTTATTGTTGTTGCTGTGATTGTAACTTCCGCTGCAGATGTGTTTTTTTTTGTGGTTGATTTTGTTGTTGTGTTGTATTATAGCTGTTTTTTTTTTTTTTACTGTTGTTGCCATAGTTTTTGGGGTTGAAGTTGTGCAAGAAAATTTTTTGTGGTTGATTTTGTTGTTGTACGGTAGTATAGTGGTTTGTTGCTTTTACTGTTGTTGCCATTGTTTTGGGGGTTGTAGTTGTGTAAGAAAATTTTTTGATGATGTTGATAGTCTTAATTGCTAGTGTTTTTTTTTTTTTTTTGTTGTTCTTTTTTCTTACTGAAGTTGTTGCTGCAGTTTGAGCTTTTTGTTGTAAATGTTTTTGTAACTGAAATAGTAAAACAATGAAATTGTTGTTTTCAGTTGATGTAATTTGTTTTGTTTTTGTAATAGTACATGCTGCTACAGATGTAGTTTTCACGTTTTGTGCCTCTAATTCTGTTGTTTTGGTCGTACAAACTTCATACAGTCTCTTCCCCTGGATTACTGAGTATCTGAATCAGTATTTAAACTTGACTCTTGAACTCTTTGCATAGACAGATATCCGATTATTCACCGTTAAAAGCGCAGTGTCTCCTAAGCCATCCAGCTATTTGATTGGTCAAATGTTTTCAAGCTTTGACTTGATTGGTTGAAAATGTTGATAACAGCTTGAACGTGGCTCCACCACAAGCGTGCACGCCAGGGTATGCGACTACTTGCTCTATCAACAAAGCCGGAAACAGATGGATTGTTGACTCGTCCTTCAAAGTAAAAGCAGGACTTGCCTTGAGAGGTAAATATGATTAACAGTAAGTATTGAACATTGAGAGAAAATTGTAGGAATTTTACTTGTTACTACTCATAAATGTAAAATTTGCTCTGTAAACACTGAAACACTGCGAAGTAGTGTGGCTACAAATTTACTCTGAAGGTACAGACCGGAAATGAAATAGTATAAACGTACATGTGTATCGAGGACAACAGAGGAAGTTTCTGTAGCTGCTCGCAAGGTCTGTGAACCGCTTCTCTCTGAGGTCTCTGTGGACTCCCACAGTCCGGATCAGATCCTCTGCTGCTTCTCCTCCTCCTCCTCCTCCTCCTCCTCCACTACCTCATCTCATTCTTGCTGCCTGGAGCTGCTGCTCTACAGGTAAGAACCCCTTGACAGCTGGCCGGTCAGAAAGACAACCGAACCCCGTTAAAAAATTTACTGATTAAAGCTATTCTCGCGAAATAAACAATGATAACGCGTCTAACATCCTCATAATTCATACTCACCTGTCTGCGTGGAGGTAGAGTTCAGTTCGGCTTCAAGCTGACATCTGTCAAAAGCCTTCACATCCTGTCAGCCCATCATCCCAATGAGAGACCAAACACCTGCACCTGCTGTCATGAAAGCTGCAGAGATTTTAAACACCTGTCCTGTTTGCTCTACTTCAACAATGTTCTCAGTAAAGTCAAATAGACTTTAAGAGTCACACACACCGTGTCATTACACTGTTATTTTACAGGATATGCGTGTGTGTATTTGTGTAACTTGCCCCTGATTTTATCTTAGTGTGAGGATTGTAAAGTCAGATAAAACTGTGTTTGTGGGTTGATCAGGAGCTCTAGCAGTTTCCCATGTTCCTGCTCTCAGCCTGCTCTCATACACTGGTCCACTTCTTGATGTTCTCTGTATTTCTAACACTTTTCCCTGTTTAAGATAACAGACTTATGTTTACAGTGGGATTTAAAAATGTCACCTGGTGTTACCGAATTGGCTTGACTAATTGATATACACTCACTGATGGATCAGTCACTGCACACAAAAGGAATCCACAGTTCCCAGAACTACATGAAAAGGTTCCTTCAGCCTTGAAATAGTGTCATAATCAGGAGCTCTAGCAGTTTCCCATGTTCCTACTCATTTAGATAGATGTTGATGAAATGCATTCTGGGAGTTGTAGTAGTTCTCACACTGACAACTTTTATCCCCACAGGTGTATTCAGTGTTAAATTTGTGTAGCATTTGATTAGATTGATTAGATTTATTCTTTGGAATTTACAGAAAGTTCAAACCAGATTTTAGTTTTTTGTCAATTTTTTTCAGTTAAAGACAGTGGATATTTTTATAGAAATATTTCCTCTGGGCGAAGAAAGAAATCCTAATTCTGTTTAGTAATCTTGGTTAAATATGTTCCTAAATAATACACCAATATCCAGCAAACAACCAGAAATTAATAAGCCGTGGGTTCAAGTCAGATAAAAGATGTAAGTTTGCAATGATAAAATGCAGCTGTTGACTGATTTTTTTTGTACAAAACCCAATTCCATTGAAGTTGGGAAATTGTGATGAATGTAAATAAAAACAGAACTACTTTGGCACATGTTGCAGCCATGAAATTCTGAGTTAATTATTATTTGCATAAAAAAAATAAAGTTTATGAGTTTGAACATTAAATATCTTGTCTTTGTAGTGTATTCAATTGAATATAGGTTGAAAGGGATTTGCAAATCGTTGTATTCTGTTTTTATTTATGTTTATCACAATTTCCCAACTTCAGTGGAATTGGGTTTTGTAATAAGCATGATGGAATAATGTTTCATTATAAAGCACTATGTCTCAAATATAATATAGCTCCGAAATTGTACCTCCATCTTGCTGTCACAGCAGCAATGGCTGCTAAAATTGTAATGAAAGAAGTCACATTTCACCAACACAAATTCCCTCTTCACAGCATGTTTAGTTATTTCACTGACTGTCAATATTTGCTGAGTAACTTCGGGTCTGAATATAAGAAATAAGAAATCTGGCTGACATGTATTGTCATCCAATCATCATATTTCATGTGGGGGGTAAAGATGCCTGTCTGGTATCCAAGTCAACACTTCTTAGGAGAATAAATCCAGTCCTGTTGTTATCAGGTCTCACTCCAGACCAACAGTTGTTTTTCACTGTTTGTGGACATTAGCTTAGAATTTACACACCTGTACCACCAGGTTACCTGGGATCTCTACTGCTCTCCAAATTAACTAGAACTTTCTCCACTTCACCTTTTTTCCTCTGTAAACTCTGCTTCACAAAGCAGTAGTAGTAATTGATGCTGTCAGAATCACAGAATCTAGTTTGGTTGTATTATTGTCTTTTTGAAGCCTGCTGCTTTTAAAAGAGGAAATCTGAGTCACATCCACAACAACATGTTGGGTCAGAGTCTCTCAAAATAGCTAAATGATGTGGTAGTCAGCCCTCTCAGCAGAAAACTATAGCCTAGCTTGAGTAGCGCTTCTTCTGGCAATTCCTCATTGAAGAGGCTGAGCTGACAGGCGTTGTGACTGAAAACGCTTACTAGTGACATGTCACCCATACAACCCCATGTATAAAAGAAGTATATAAAAAATCTCTGGAACATTCCTTTAAGCTTTCAAATGGTGAAACATAAGGTTTGAACATTATACCCACACGCTGAGTCATGGTTTATTTTATTTCCTCTTTAGATGTGAAATTTTAGCTTTATAATGTTCATACATGATAAAAGGTGGAGAAAGGATCAAGTGTGTCTGTCCTAAGTTTTAAGGTCCTTGCATACCGGGGCTGACGCAAATATAGAACGCGAAATTATGAAATATTCAGAGGCAAATTTTAACGTGCTTGACTATACACATCAAGCCTGATGCGATTTTGTGACTTTGTGGGGGGGGGGGGGGAAGACACGTCCCAGGTGGAAGCGAGAAGACTGACACAACAGCAGACTGAGTGTTTTTCACTTCTGATTAGACACTAGTGTTGAGATGGCTGTCTGTCATGATAGCATGTACTGAGTAGGGGTCACTACCAGATAAGCACATTAAACTATAATCCATAAACGTAAGGTAACAACCGAGACCTAATGGTGCTGTGACAGCAACACAATTGAGTTTGAGACAGTGAAAATACATATGGTATATTGTATCTGAACAAAAGCTAAAGTTAATTAGCACAGATGAAAGTTAAAACAAAGACGTTCAGCAAACTGTTAAAGCACACAAACTATTGTCATATGAGAAATCAGACACTATGACTCTCCACAAGTTGTCCTTCAGGTCATTATCTTTGTAATATTTGTGTCTTTTATCAAAAAGCACTCTGTTCTCCGACATGTAAACGATCAGCCGGTCGGCCATGTTGGATATACCGGTGAATCAGATGTCACAATAACAACGAATCTGATTGGTCAGAAGTGGACACACAGTATGACCATGATCCAAAAAAATAAATGCCGCAATATCATGGGACAGCAAAACGTCGCCGATGTGAACGCTTGTATTGACAGGATATGGGTTAAAAAAAAATATTGATGTCCGAAATAATCGCACGACAAAAACGGTCCTGGTGTGAAAGGACCTTTAAGCTCTGAATGTTAATAACACCAGACAGAGTACTGGTCCATTTACAGTCCATAGGAGATCCATGTAAACTTGTGGTATGTCCTCTCTCAGGTGTTCAGCATGGTGTGTTGGATGGTTCAGGTGATGATGATGATGACACTCTCTTTCCTCATCAGCAGCAGTCAGGGGAAGAGAGACCAGGTGCTCTACTGCTCAGGTGAGTCGCCTGTCAATCAAATATCTTAATTGTGACTGATGGCATTACAATCCATCTTTTTCAAGTCCATCTAAACACGTTTAAGCAGTTCCCATCAGTGTGTTGGTTTGGGAATTAAATGGATAAAGTGAACTTTATGATGTTGACTTTAAGATTTATCATTGAAATGAATTCTGCCCTGCTGTACTAGTGTGGTCTTAAATCATGATTTCCAGATGGAGGAGACGGCCTCCGAGTTATTTCTGTCACATACAGGGTTTATTTTGATTATATTAAAGGATTACACTGTTGTTTACTCACTGACTTCCAGGGATCCCTGGTTGATGCAACAGTATTTGCATTATCAGGATGCTCAGTATGGTTGCTTTTCTCCTTCTTTAACACGATTTCATGTGATGATATTTACTCTCCTAAAAAGCACTGTTGATTTATTGCTGTGGTTCTTAAGTCCAGTCCTCGAGGCCCACCGTCCTGCATGTTTTGGATGTTTTCCTGCTTCAACACACCTGATTCAAATGATCAGCTCGTTATTAAGCCATTACAGAGCTTGATAACGAGCTGATCATTTGAATCAGGTGTGTTGGAGCAGGGAAACATCCAAAACATGCAGGACAGTGGGACTTGAGAACCACTGGATTTTTGTAATGTGATTACCTACTGATATCAGTCTGATTAGCTATGCAGTCTCATAGCTGGAATCTCAAACTTAAAGTGCTTCAGTGATTTTTTTGGTAGATAAATTGCAATAATGAATAAATAACAGGCGAAAATAAGTACATGTAAGCAAATGACAACCATTTTTAAAAAAATCCATTAATTGATGATTTTTTAAAAGCTTAAATGTTTGATCTACATCATTTTTTTATTTCTATGAAAGACTGACTTTGATCTGTGCCTCCACAATCCTGAACCTCATCAAACTCTGTTCACTGACAATTATTATGAAGGAGCTGTAGCTGCAGTCTCTATGGATCATGTGACTAAAAGTCTCCATGGGTCATGTGACTTAAAGTCTCCATAAGTCATGTGACAGAGGGTCTCCCAGAAGTACTTGTATAGACGATTTGCTTCACTTGGTGCCAAAATGTCTGGCAGTGGAGTGTGAAGGGCTTGTTAAAACCTTCAACAGTGAGTCTGTACTGATGCAGACTTCTGCTCTGCATGAAAGTTTATCTGTTAATAAAAGTTCTTTGTTGGTACCTGCAAGGACCTGAAAGGCTTCCAGCAAGAGTAAAGAAACAGCATTGCAAGCAGTAGGGGATGGTGGGGTAAGATGAGTCATTTTTCATATTTCGGATCACTTTTTAAGATTCTTTTATTTGTTTTAAAATCTTTAAATGGTCTTGCTCTATCTTACCTCTCTGAGCTTCTCCACCCCTACACCCCTGCTCGGTGCCTCAGGTCAGCTGATCAGCTGCTCCTGGAGGTACCAAGGTCCAAACTGAAGCTCAGAGGGGATGGATCTTTTCTGTTGTGACCCCAAAATTATGGAACGAGCTACCCCTCCAAATCAGACAAGCCCCCACACTGTCCATTTTTTAAAACTCGTCTTAAAACCCATTTTTATTCATTGGCTTTTAACCCCGCATGAGACCCAGCTCCTGTTTCAGTGTTTTATGGTTTGTTTTTAGTTATTTGTTTCTATGTTCTTAAATTAGTTTTTAAAAACATTGAAACTATATTTTACTTTTTAATATCTGCTTTTATTTTATCCATTGTTTTAATTGTTTTTTGATTGTTTTTTATGTCTGCATTGTTTTGTCTATTTATGTACAGCACTTTGTTCAGCTGTGGTTGTTTTAAAGTGCTTTACAAATAAAGTTGAGTTGAGAATGCCTACTAGTGATTCAGAACATTCACAGCTCTATTTATAAAAAGAAAAAGTAACACATTTCAACAATCTGAACTGAAACTCTGATCCTCTCATCAAACTCCTTTACTTTCTCAGTTGAGACACTGGCTTAACTAACCCCTGGCCGAATGGCTCAATTTACCCCAGAACTACTATTATGAATTTATTAGTTCTCTAAGCTAAAATGGTGGACTTTTATGCTAGGTTTTTGACCTCATGTTGTAGCTCATAGATACCACAATTGACGTATAAAACAAATTCAGAATTATCTTTTTTGGTCTGAACAAAATTCTAATCAAACTTTTGACAGACTAAATTCACTTTCAAGAGTAAAGGTCCTTACACACTGGGACCTTTTTTGTTGTGCGATCATTTCGGACATCAACATTTCTTTTCGAACCTGTATCCTGTCAATACAAGCATTCACATCAGCAGCATTTTCCAGTCCTGTGATATTGAGGCATTTATTTTTTCGGATCATGGCTGATTTTTGTAAAGTTTCGCATACTGTGTGTCCATTTCTGACCAATCAGATTGTGTGTTGTTGTGACGCCTGATTCACCGATATATCCAACATGGCCGACCGGCTGATTGTTTAGAACAGAGTGCTTTTTGATAAAAGACACAAATATTACAAAGATAATGACCTGAAGGACAACTTGTGGAGAGTCATAGCGTCAGATTTCTCATATGACAATGGTTTGCATGCTTTAACAGTTCGCTAAACATCTTTGTTTTAACTTTCATCTGTGCTAACATGTGTAATATAACTTAAGTATTAAAAGTGGTAGTCTTTGCTGATGATACAAATATTTTCTGTTCTGGAAGCAATTTGCAGGAATTATTGAACATTGTTTCTTCGGAGTTGTGCAAGCTAAAGAGGTGGTTCGACAGAAATAAACTTTCATTAAACTTGTCTAAAACAAAATTTATGATATTTAGTAATAATAAAATAGATACTCAAGTAAATATATATATAGAGGGTGTTGCTATTGAAAGAGTATTCGGGAATAAATTTCTAGGAGTGATAATTGATGATAAAATTAATAGGAAATCTCATGTAAAATATATACGAACAAAACTATCAAGAAGCATTTCAGTTCTGAGCAAAGCAAAGCACATTCTGGATTCCAACTCACTCCGCATGCTGTACTGTTCCCTTGTTTTACCTTATTTAAATTACTGTTGTGAGGTTTGGGGCAATACCTATAAATCTTCACTCCATGGATTAACTATACTTAAAAAAAGAGCTATGCGAATTATACATAAGGCTGCATATCGAGATCACACCAACACACTATTCATTAAGTCAAACCTGTTAAAATTTATGGATATTATCGAATACAAAACCGCCCTGATAATGTACAAAGCTAGGTACAATCATCTCCCTGGGAATATCCAGAAACTGTTCTTTGACAGAGAGGGTGGGTACAGCCGTAGGGGGGAGTTAAATTTGAAAACTCTGTGCGCCCGAACAACATTGAAATCATTCTGTATCTCGATATGTGGAGTTAAACTTTGGAACAGTATAGATGTAGAGATAAAGCAATGTTCAAACATATACAAGTTCAAAAAAAAGGTATAAAAATGTATTATAATGAGGCATAAGGAGGAAGAGTTACATGAACGATGATGTGTTCAATGACTGTACTGTATGTATGTATGTATGTATCAGTGGCGATTGCTCTAAGACTGCAAGGGAAGCTCAGCTTCCCTTAAAATGTCACCCCCCCAAAAAAAGAAAAAGTGGTGAAATACGTACTGCTGTGTGTACATTTCATTAACTAAATACGCGTTAGAAAGCCTTCATCTTTTGTTCAGAATCAGCTTCTTATCACAGTGTTATAAGAAGCTGATTCTGCACAACTTCGTTCTCATTCATTCTCGCAGCGCCTCAGCGCTTTAAACAGCTGGACGCTCAGCATCTGCTGACTTCAATGTGGAAGCTCAAAAGTGGGTTGTTCCAGCAGCGAAACTAGACGCTCATTGGATAAATGCTGGGCTTTGTCCCGCCCATCGGACGCTCGGCGTCTCTGGAGTTCTGTGCCGAGAGGGCGGTCCCGACTTTCTCCCGGACTCCGAGCTTCTGCATCCATGATTGGATGAGCTGTCTGAGGCGAAATCCTTTTTTGATTGACAGCTAAACAAGCGAATCAGCGATCTTGAAGAATAAAACATCTACCAAAGCATTTTCCAAGTTATTCATTCCGTTGTTCTTAACTGCTCCAGAGACTTTACTGATCCTCGGCGACTTTTGTCTTTGTTAAAAACGACTGCCGTTGTGTTTGGCGACTCTGTTCTGTTACATACAAAAAAACAAACACAATTATGATGTAGGCCAGAAAAATGAGCTTCCCCTCCTTGAAAGACCAGCAGCCGCCACTGGTATGTATGTATGCATGTATGTATGTATGTACGTATGTACGTATATGTAACTTATTATTGAGATCACCAATTTAGTGTACAACCAATAAATCCTTGATACAAAAGTGGTAAATTAATTTGTTCAAGTAAACTTTATAGGTATACAGTAAGACAGTTTGTAAAACGTTGACGCTGTGTAGTTGACAAAGGGGTAGGATCACATAAGTCTTGACTTCACCCTACTCCTTTTTGAACATGATCGTGATATTGGCCGATTTTTGCCTGTTAGGCTTGTCTTTGATTTTATTTTTTTTATTCTTATTTAATATTATTTTCTTTTCATAAAGCCTTGTTTTTTGTTTTTTATTTTACTTCATCATTATTTTTATCATGTTCAAATAAAGATAAAGATAAAAAAAAAATTTAAAAAAAGATAACACAAACTAACGGTTGTTACCACAGTTTTATGTGCTTATCTTACTGCCTCTGATTGGCTATAAGTGCTGACCATTTGGCTTGGGCATGTGATGATGTTTCCAGCTTTTGTAGCCAATCAGAGGTGAAGGAGGCAGGACTTTCCCCAGGAAAAGTCTTCCCCGGGATGCGTCTTTTCCCCCCCGGAAAGTCGCAAAATCGCATCGGGCTTGATTCATATAGTCAGGAGGGTCAAAATTCACCTCCAAATATGTTGTAATTTTGCATTCTATATTTGCGTCAGCCCCGGTGTGTAAGGACCATAGACTGTATATAGAATGGACAGAGTCTGCCTCCTCGCTGGGTGAAGTCACTCCGAGAACAGCGACTCTCGGCAACTGCGCAGCCGAATGCGCACATTGCTACTGCGCAGCGCTGGTTTCAGGAAATGAAAAAAAATCCCAGAAATACCAAGAGCTATTTGGCCTCAAATCCGTATACAGACGGGAGGCGGAACCAAGTTGTCCATAGTATATACAGTCTATGGTAAGGACCTTCTAAGAATGTTTTTTTTTTGTAAATAAATCTCTAACCCCTTCACCCATGTGCTCCTAACCTTCACAGACTTCCTGAATTGATGCCCATCTCATAAATATTTGGTCACATGATCAATTTCTTTTAATTTCGTTTCCAAGCAACAGGGGGTGGCTCGACTTACCCTTTGGCTCAACTTACCCCACTCTCCCCTATATGTGAAATGTTCCCTCCCTGATCCCTCCACCTGAATGAAGGAGCTTCATTCAGCTCTAAACAGCATCCACCCTGAGAGGTGAGAAAGTGAGGAGGGTCCAGTTTGAGAAAGGCAGCCAGGGTTGTGACTGTAAGTCTCAGGTTCATGTGACAGAGTTGAAGCAATGATGGTGTCAGTATGATGTGGTTTATTGACACCTCACTGCTCTAAGTGTCAGACTCTTTATTAGTCTAGAATCACTTAAACACCTGATCTGTAACTGAAGGTGTCACCTGAGTTCCAGACAGCTGGCCTGAGTTTTGATCTGTTTATTTTTATTTTTTTTCCCAGCATGCAAAGCGATAGTGGATGAACTTAACTACTCCATCAGTCAGGTGGACCCAAAGAAGATCATCAACGTGGGTGGCTTCAGGATCAACCCCGATGGGACCATGACAGACAAAAAGGTAGAGAAGAGGGAGGTAGAGACACCCCCACCTCACCTGTACCTATTACTCCCTACAGTAGCAGTATCTGTCTGCTGCTGAGTGTAGGAAGAATTTCTGTTTTCTTTTTTCTTACATGTTATAATCCACCAAGAACAGACTGGCTCAGCTACGCTCTGTTTAACATAGATCACTCCTGTTTTTCAGGAGTTTTTCAAAAAGGTTAAGCAAATATAAGTCTGACCCTTCAGTCTGTGGTGCTCTATCATTCTGATCTTGTCTATTTTATCTGCAAACAGACTCTGGTCTGCAGTCAAGTTATTATACAAATCCCAATTCCAGTTGAGTTGGGACATTGTGTAAAACGTGAATAAAAACAGGATACAAGGATTGACAAATCCTTTTTCTTCGACTTTATATTCAATTGAATACACTACAAAGACACAATGTTTAGTGTTCTAACTGATAAACGTGATTGATGTTTTTAGCAAATATTCACTGATTTTGAATTTGATGCTGCATTATGTTCTTAAAAAGCTGGTTCAGGATCATGTTTACCGTTGTGTTACATCACAGCATTCATTTAGTCTCTTACCTGTACCAGGTGTGCTGCAGGTACAAATCCTCATTGCCTAAAGGCATCGTTCTCATTTTCATGGTTATTTTTTTCTCATTGCACGTCAGTGATGATATAACAACAGCTAGCTGGCAATGCTGCTTTAATATTTTTTATGTTACCACTGCTGCTATTAATAGCGCTGTGTCAAAAACTTTACTCATCCCAGTTTGAGGATATGTTAGAACATTTAGTGAGCTGTTTGGTGGTCTCAGTCTGTCCAGCTTACCTGCCATAGCATTACAGACCTTTGGACAAGTACAATACAGCCAATGGGCTCTATTTTTGTGCCCGCCGGCGATGGGGCGGATGGTGACGGACCCTGCACAGTGGTATTTTCATCTGGCGGAGCCCGGTGCACAGCCAGTTTGGTATTTTCTTGGACTGAGGCGCACCGAGGTCCGCCAAGCGTGGTGACACGGTAGGGGGAGGTAGTGCTGGGCGATATGGAAAAAAATGTATATCACGATATGGATCATTTTATATCACGATAACGATATATATCACGATATAGCTATGGTATGCTTTCAGTTCTATGAAAAATTTAAGTGTATACAGCTGCACTAGTACAGTACCAGTACAAGACCAGCACTTAAAACTAGAAAAATGAATAAATAAATACGTGGCTGAAGTGCGTTCATGTCTGTGCTCACCCAAAGTTATGTAACACTTACAGAAAACGCCGATAGTGTGAGCCGAAGCACTCCATAATAATAATAATAATAATAAATTTAATTTGTAATGCACTTTACATTTACAAAAAAATCTCAAAGTGCTACAGTACACAGTAAAAAAAGAGCAACAACAATAAAAAAAGCAATAGAATGACAGTCACAGATTAGCATAAAAAAGAATTTAAAAAAAATAAAATATATAGAGTTGCAATGTAAGAGGCAAGGTAGTAAAAGCATAGAGGAAAACTAACCAAAGGCTTTATTAAAAAGGTAGGTCTTTTGGGCTCTTTTGAAGAGGTTGTTCACACTGCTAGATGTTTCTCCTCCAAAGCTGCTCTCTGCCTCCATCATTGTTTACTTTACTCTTGAAGCACGTAGCAAGACCCGAGCATGAATCCGAGCACTTTATTCGCCTATCAGGGGCAGACAGGTAAGGTGATTTGATTCGCCACGACTCCAGAAATGATTGAAAAACTACAGAATGTCACAAAATCACGTTTTGCCGCTCCTGGCTCGAAGGGTACAAATGCGCAGCCGCGCTCCCAGCTGACAGGAAGTCAAACCGCTGTTGTAGTTCTTTTGTGTTGCTAGCGTGGTCAAGAGTGTTTACTCTCACTGAGAGATGACTACAAAAATGGACGCACCTGTTCATCTGGTTGTTAAACACGGCTGAAAAAGATCATCTTTTAATGTTGTTCCCGCTCCTGCCCACTTTTTTTTCCCGTCCCGTCCCGATCAAGAGATTAATAAAAAAATGACTCCCATCCCGCGGGAATCACGTGACTCACGGGAATTCCCGAAAAAAGTCATCCTCCACAGGGAAGGTCCCGGAGCAGATGAAACAGGTGCCGGAGCGGCTGAAATAGGTCCCAGATCCGATCAAAAGAGGTCCCGGATCGCGCTCCGACTTGCTCCGGCACAAATTAAGCACTGCTTACAATGATCCCCTCACGTGTGTAACCCAGGTAACCCGCAATGGCGGGAGACGCTGGACATAAAGAGGGCACGTAAAGCGGCGTCATGTCGCAAAATCGAAAGAGAAATGCAAGCCTACATGTCAACGCATCCTTTTCTTTTTAAGAAAATATTGTTTTCTTTCCCGTTCGACACCAAATACACTTACTGAATGTGCAATTATTGTTGTTGTTACTATGAATCATCTGATGGCACAAGCCCTATGGATAAAATACAGCCTATCGCCCGAAACGATAAGAATAAAAATGGCACGATAGACATTTTCTATCGTGCCAACGATATATATCGTCCAATCGCCCAGCACTAGGGGGAGGTGTCATCAGAATCAGCTGGCGCAGTGACATTTTATTTATTTGTGGAAAAGGATGTTTGTCTTACCAGTGGGTCCAACCTTACACACACCAAATCCATCTGTGCTTATATGAGAGAGTGTGGAGGACGCCCTCTGCAGTGCTTACAGCGACACTTGTTGAGGGGCTGCCTTCTGTTGCCATGGTGTGGCATTGCTGTCTTCAGACATCTCTTGATCTTTTTGACTACTTTATGAAAATTGTAATATGCCTCGCCGGTGGCGGACTATAAGTGAGGAGAGGAGCTGATCTTATTGGCGAAAACAGGTCTCGGCTGTATTAAACCCACTCCATGCCCTCTCTACGACTTACGCCGCTGGGAGGAGCTGAGTTAGGGAGGGGGGATACTTAAGCCAGGCTGCGCCATTCACCAAAATACCAAAATGTGCTTGGGCATGCCTTGTCGGCGCAGCGGACCTGACCTACGCCACGCCTATGCCACGCTGCGGGTGAGGAACGAAAATAGAGCCCAATGTCTTTATGACTGAACTTCTATTTACAGTTGTTTTTTTCTATACAGTATCACTTTTATGTGTTCTTATACATTCTCTTTTACCCAGACATGTCCTCTTTTGGGGGGCTGTTTGGCCTGTCCTTTGGGAGGGGTATAAAATCCATTTGGAAAAAGACATTTGTGCGTTTAACTGAGTTAGAAGCACGTAAACAACACTCGACCTGACCTGAAAGACCCTCAAAATTTTGCATGCGCACAACTCAATTATAGGCCTATTTCAAAATTGTGTGTATTGGCTGAAGTGTTTCAGAGGCTAGTAAGTGATCAACTGAAGGACTTTTTATGGTGATTATGGTGCTGTTATATATGACTGCTTCAGCCAAATGCCTGCAGTCCTTAACTACTGTCTATCACTGTGCGCTGAGATTTGTCACTGGTGGTTGTCGCCTTACACATCATTGCAAACTTTATGCCAAGTCTGGCTGGCCTTCTCTGGCCTACTCCCTGCGCTCAAACAACACTATCCAGCGTTCAGTTTTGCTGCCACTTCAGCATGGAATACTCTCCAGACTGACCTGAAATTGTCGGAATTAATTTTGCCGGAAGCATTTCGTTCAATCTTACATGACAGACTTTGGGAGACCATGGAACAGTGCCTTTGTTTTTAATTCTGTTTTCTGGAGGTCATTTTCTTTTTTTTTATTATTATTTATTGTTGGGATGTGTGCTGCCGACCTCTTGGCCAGGTCACTCTTGTAAATGAGACCTCCATCTCAACGTGTTCTCACCTGGTTAAATAAAGCTTAATGATAATAATAATAATTTATTATTATTATTATTATTTTATGGTCACCCTAATATACCAGTAATAAAATGTATTTTCATAACTGTCATTAAAGTGTCTTACAGATATGTTCCTGTATTTAATTTTAGGATATTAATGTACAACAGGTAAATGTATATCAGCCACTCTAATAAACTTTAAGCATATTTGTTCAGATAAAGTAATCCTTTTTGATGACCACAAGGAGGAAGTTTGCAGTTACAGCAGTAACAATAAAAAATACATTTAAAAACCAAACAAAACCAAACAAACAAACAAACAAACAAACAACCAACAACAAAAAAAAGTTCTGACATGTTTGAGCTCTTCAATAACAGAGAGTACTCAATTAGTGAAATAAGGAACCACTGGTGCCCTTTACATTGTGACCTTATCTTGAGTTTCCAAAGTTTGTTATAATATCATATAAAAATATGAAAGCACTGACTTGCCTATCAAGTGTTGATCAAGGTCCATAGTGCCAATTGCAGTCTAAACTAGAGGTCTGAGGCACTCTGATGGAGTTAAAAACCCTTGATTGTGTAGGGATTGTGAGTCACTGCTCTCATATTTTTATTAGACATTGTTTATCCTCCTGAAGAGCACCTGATCCTTCACGGATACTCTGACCCCACACAGTACTCACCCACTTGGCTTTCTTTGTTTGTCATAATATCTCTGGGGTAGTACAGCCTCTCTCAAATCATTGACCCTGTCCAATTTAAACCCAGGTTTTTATTTTGGCCCTGTTCATCATTGAGTTTCATAATCTGCTCTGAAACATCTCTGTACCTTGATTCTTGTCTTAATCTATGGAGGACAGTGGGATCAGTGTTTTCTGGTGATTCTGATGGTCATTAGTTTGTGATACCCTCCTCTTCCTCCTCCTCAGTGAGCTCTAAAACGTCCTCAACCCAGTTTGATTTAACCAACAATGCTAAAAGCATCACAAACCCTGGGATCAGTTTTCCCTGATACCCTCCTCCTCTTCCTCTGCCCTAAGCTGACACCCTCCTCCACCTGTTGCTTTGTTTCTCCATCAAATGTTCCTGAGCCGCAGAAGAAGAAACCTTGATCCTTGCCCTCGCGCTCCGTCCTTTCAGCAGCATTTGACCCGCTCTGAATTGCAGAGGGAGGGCTGTCACAGCTTAGGAGCCATCAAGGAGGAGGATTTTAGGTTTTAAGTCTCTGCTCTTTGGCCCCCTCACAGTAGGACTTCCTGGGATCATGGAAACAAAAGTTAAACCTGCCCGCAGAAACAATGACACATCTCCGGCCTCCAAAGACATTGAACTTAGATGGAGCGCAGAGCTGGTCTCACAGTGACGGAGGGAAGTCATGCATTGAGAATGAGGAAACGCACAAAGACGAGCTGACACACTGACAGATGATAACAGGAGGCAGGATGAGCACTCATCAGAGAGAAAGAGAGAGGTTTATCTGCTGCACTCAGAGAGGAGGTGCTCTGACACAGAGATAAGACAGGATGTGCAGAGCGAGAACAGGACATGGTTAAACTATCTCAACATCAGATTAAAAACCAATATTTTCACTTTTTTTTGGCTCGACGAGGGAGCAAACTCTATTTACTGCTCCTGCATGAACACTTGCAGTCTGTAAAAGGAGTTCTTTATTTAACAGCAGCTGTTCCAGAAAAACTGCAGAACGCTGTGTAAAAGAAAAAAAAAAGATTTGATGGTTTGCAAAAAAATAATTGAGGCTTCATTTGATTAAAAACAATGCAAAGACAACATATCATATGTTGAAAATAAAAACATGTTATAAACATAATCCCCTTAGTCCATCTTGAATGGTTTCAGGTCCAGAGAAGTCTCTGGTGTTTCCAGATCCTGCTTCTCTGTTTTCCTCTTTGCATGGTTCAGTTTTAATCTCATTTGTGGATGCAGTGATGAAGAGGATTCAGAGATTTCTCCAGATTCACTAAATCTTTTTAGTTTTATGAACTGTAGATAATGAATCCACTAATGATTTGATATGTCACTGTCATCCATTATCGTGAAACTGTGGAAACATGTTCCCTGCATTCTATTTAAAATAATCATACATTTTTTAATAAATTTGAAGAAAAAAATAGAACAAACAAACAAAATTATTCAGATTCAACTGATTTGTTGTCTTTGTACGATTTTCATTGGAATATAGACTCAGAAAAAATTTGCATTAGTATCTTAAGTAATTTTGAATTAGCTTCAGCACAATCAGACACATTTCTTGTCAACACAGACAGCAACAGGCTGTAGAAAAACTTCACGAACTTTAAGCTTTGATTGTTTTCACACACACCACCATCAGCTGATCTCTTCAAGATTAACACAGACATCATGAGGGTAAGGGCCTTAACTTCTGTTTTGCACAGTGCAAGCTTCATAATTATGAACTACTCAGTGCATTTCCTGTGACTTAAGGTCCTTACACACTGACGCGAATATAGAACACGAAATTTCGAAATATTCAGAGGCAAATTTTGATGCACCTGACTATACACATCAAGCCCGATGCGATTTTGCGACTTTCCGGGGGGAAAAAGATGCATCCCGAGTGGAAGGGAGAAGACTGACACAACACCAGACTGACTGTTTTTCAGTTCTCATTAGACACTTTCTTGGCTGTCTGAGTGTTGAGATGGCTGTCTGTCATGATAGCTTGTACTGAGTCTGGGCCAGTACCAGATAAGCACATTAAACTATAATCCATAAACGTAAGGTAACAACCGAGACCTAATGGTGCTGTGACAGCAACGCTATTGAGTTTGAGACAGTGAAAATACATATGGTATGTTGTATCTGAACAGGTTAGCTTACGAGCTAAAGTTACTTAGCACAGATGAAAGTTAAAACAAAGACGTTTAGCAAACTGTTAAAGCAAACAAACTATCATCATATGAGAAATCAGACGCTATGACTCTCCACAAGTTGTCCTTCAGGTCGTTATCTTTGTAATGTTTGTGTCTTTTATCAAAAAGCACTCTGTTCTCCGACACGTAAACAATCAGCCGGTCGGCCATGTTGGATATACCGGTGAATCAGACGTCGCAACAACATGCAATCTGATTGGTCAGAAGTGGACGCACAGTATGCGAAACTTTAGAAAAATCAACCGTGATACAAAAAAGGAAATGCTGCAATATCGCAGGATGGGAAAACGTTGTGAATGAGAATGCTTATATAGGGTACGGGTTTAGAAAAAATATTGATGTCCAAAATAATCGCACGAAAAAAATGCTTCAAGTGTGAAAGGACCTTTAGAGGGTGCATTTGTGAGGTGACAAGATTGGCATAAGAATTATCAGTGTGCACTTCTTTGCTTGTTACAAACAGGGATGGGCAATCATATTAAAGCTCATAATGGAATACCTGTGTTTTTGTTGATACAGACCATAGACTGCATTTAGAATGGACAGTCTGCCTCCTCGCTGGGTGAAGCCACTCTTAGAACAGCACCCTCTGTTCATGGGCTGCAGTATAGGTCATAAATCCCGCCTCCTCCAGCAAAGTTTATAGAGCTGTGGACAAAATTTAGAAATTTATTACACAGAACATACATTTTTCTCCCCCCTGCTTGTGATGTTGACATGTAGTTACAGTAAGACTGGTTTGTGCTCAAGTCCTCTTTTTTCTGTAAAGCTCAGTTTTTAAAAGTAATTAGGGGGTTTATGTTTTCTTTGATTGACACCTGATACAGCCTATGGGCGTTTAGGGATTGCGTAGCTCACCCGGGGAATACGCCGTTTAAGCCGAGCATCATGACAGTGACTCTCGGCGTCTGTGCGGCCGAATGTGCGCATCGCTACTGTGCAGGGCTGGTTTCAGGAAATGAAGAAAAATCCCAGAAATACCGAGAGCTATTTGGCTTCAAATCTGTATACAGGCGGGAGGCGGAACCAAGTTGTCCATAGTATATACAGTCTATGATACAGACACATTCATTTTTTAAATTTATTTTAACTTTTTTTTTTTTAGGTTGGAGGGCTTGGAGACAAAGATTTCATCCCTTATCTTCTCTTTGATAAAGACACATCCTTATACATAGACCAGTACACAACTAAGAATTGTCCTTTTGTTTTCATGAATGATTAGTTTCTGCTGTGCATGCATTGGCTTTACTAAGGTGAAATGGAAGGACAGAAGTAAAAACTGATGACCTCAAGAGGGGGTATAAGGCTTTTTTTTAAGACTCTATACTTCCTCTCTGACTCCTCTTTAATAGCTTGGTTGTTTAAGCCCACCCCCATTGGGCCTACTTTCTTCTGATTGGCCATTGCCTATCTGGGCAGAGTTTGATGTTGGCACGCCCTGTTGGAGGCAGGTCCTTCCACTGTGTATGAAGCTCAGATGAACTAGTCAGGAGAGACTATTGCAATGACGTCATTGGTTAATGAATCTTATCAAGATACCGTGAGATGTCCCAACGAACCGATTTTAACATTTAACATCTATTTTGGAGGATTACGACAACATAGGTGTACCTCGTGATTTTTTGGAGAAAGGCTGACATTTACTGTGTAAAAAGCAACACTCCTGCCCTCAGACTCACATAGATCTTAAAGGGAATGAGTGCTCTGATTGGTTTGAGTCATGCTATACCCAAAACACACCTTTCACTAATCAGGGGACTTAATCCATATTCTGTGCATCCTGCACCTCAGCACCCACACTGTGTGCTGCTTATGTAGCACTGTGCCATGCACTCTGAGTGGTGCCTTTAAGATTGTTTAAATGGGGCCTAAAAGTCCTTTCACACCGGGACCGTTTTTTTCGTGCGATTATTTCGGACTTCAATATTTTTTTTCGAACCCGTATCCTGTCAATGCAAGTGTTCACATCAGCAACGAGAGAGTCATAGTGTCGGATTTCTCATATGACGATAGTTTGTGTGCTTTAACAGTTTAATAAACGTCTTTGTTTTAACTTTCATCTGTGCTAAGTAACTTTAGCTCGTAAGCTAACCTGTTCAGATACAACATACCATATGTATTTTCACTGTCTCAAACTCAATAGTGTTGCTGTCACAGCACCATTAGGTCTTGGTTGTTACCTTACGTTTATGGATTATAGTTTCATGTGCTTATCTGGTACTGGCCCCGACTCAGTACATGCTATCATGACAGACAGACATCTCAACACTAGTGTCTAATGAGAACTGAAAAACAGTCAGTCTGCTGTTGTGTCAGTCTTCTCCCTTCCACTCGGGACGCGTCATTTTCCCCCCGGAAAGTCGCAAAATCACATTGGGCTTGATGTGTATATTTAGCTGCATCAAAATTTGCCTCCAAATATTTCGAAATTTCGTGTTCTATATTTGCGTCAGTGTGTAAGGACCTTAAGTCACAGGAAATGCACTGAGTAGTTCATAATTATGAAGCTTGCACTGTGCAACACAGAAGTTAAGGCCCTTACTCTCATTATGTCTGTGTTAATCTTGAAGAGATCAGCTGATGGTGATGTGTGTGTGTGAGAACAATCAAAGCTTAAAGTTCATGAAGTTTTTCTACAGCCTGTTGCTGTCTGTGTTGACAAGAAATGTGTCTGATTGTGCTGAAGCTAATTCAAAATTACTTAAGCTACTAATGCAAATTATTTAGAGTCTATATTCCAATAGAAATCGTACAAAGACAACAAATTAGTTGAATCTGAATGATTTTGTTTGTTTGTTTTATTTGTTTTTTGTTTTTTTTTCGCCTCTGAATATTTCGTAATTTCGTGTTCTATATTCGCATTGGCCCTGGTGTGTAAGGACCTTTAAGAGGATAAAAGAAATTTAATATAATTAACAACATTTAATTGCTATTCACTCTGTAATTTCAAGCATTTCCTGTGTGATAGTTTGCACAAAACAAATACAGGATTTAAAAAAATATATTGACTTTCCACGGGGGCTTCATGCATTTATTTAGCACTGCTTTCCTTTCACCCTGCACAGGGATTTATCTGCAACAAATTTGTTTTACACCATGACATCCATTGATCCACAGATCACAAGTGATACCTACAGATCATAAACTAACTGGGGTCTTTTGCTCCCATTTTCCTCTCAATGTCAGGTGATTTTTGTAAGCAGAGCGATGATAATCAAGCTGTTTCCCCTCAGTCTGCTTGATGACATTATTATCATTATGATTATGATTATTATCATCATTATAAATATTAATGAAAGTCTGTTCACTGGCCCTCATCAGCAGGACAATAGACTGAGGTCTCTGTCAGCGCCAGTTTAATAATGGCCGCCTGTCCAATGGGAGCTGAATGGAGGAGAGCATCCTAAGAAGCCTTTTCTCTGACCCCCCCATTGCCACCACAGCCCCCCCTGCCCATCACCACAGCCCCCCTTCAGCCTCCTTTCTTCAAACGGGGCTGTGACTGACAGCTCCTTTCACTGGGCTGAGACTGGCAGGGCTTTAACACTATTCTGTATCCTGGCATGATAATGACTCAGACCAGAGCTGGACCATTTGAAGCTTGGGGGTGTTTTTAATGGGGTTTGTATTCGAGAGAGGGTTCAGTTTAGGTCTAAATGTCAGCAGAGATTAAAGATCGTTTTGTCAGTTTTTGTAGAGCTGAGACCACTGACATCATCAATAACTGATCAATATCTCTCAGTATCAATATCAGTTTGTGCCATTATTTTGCTGAACACACTTGAAGAAATGAACCTGAGTAGCAGGAGGAACACAGACTCTTTCACTCGCTCCATCAGTGACTTCTTCAAGTTTTTCTTCTGCTCAGTCTGATAGAAATTGTCCCTCAGACGTGCAGTCAACAGTCTGAGTGTGTGCTGGTGTCAAAGTCAGCAGGAGGAGTTTGATTGACAGGTGAAGCTCATCGCCACTGGCCAGTGTGACCTGTGCCCGTCAAAGCCCGCCCTCAGACCTTTAACCCCATGCTGTAACACTTCCTGTCCACAGGTCGACTAACTTCCGTCCTGCAGGGGACAACAGTGACATCCAGTTTGGGGTCATGTTAGGGAGGGCTTTGTGTGTGTGTGTGTGTGTGTGTGTGTGTGTGTGTGTGTGTGTGTGTGTGTGTGTGTGTGTGTGTGTGTGTGTGCAAATGAGTGCAATTTATCAAATCTGAATCTCCATCATGCTGTCCCTCTAAATTGAATGAGCAATTGACAATTTCTCTTACTTAAAAAAGTGCATGCCTCAAAGTCACCTACAAAGAAAAGCTCAAAAAAGATAAGAACTGGTGCCTCGAAACACTCTGTCTCTGTTTCGTGGTATCTCAGATTTGAGGCAAATAATGTTAAGCAAGAAACAAATTTTAAACATTTTAAATTTTTTGAGAGGCCCACTCTTTCTGACTGTAAACAAAGCCATTCTCCATCTCTCCCAACCTGATTGGTTGTGAGGCAGATGCTGCTCCCTTGTGTTGTGAGGCACGCTCCACGTCCTGCAATATCGTCCATGAGCCCAAACAAGGTTAGCGTGCTACAACATTGGACTGTAGAAACCAACCAGAAAGTACGGAATACACAAGCAATAATCAAGTAAATACTAGAAACTCTGGCAGAACAACAGGTGCTTTAAACAGAGGTAGACCGGACAAGAGCTAAAAAGGTCAACATCAGGATAAATGGTAGGGGATGCTTCGGGATCCTACGGACCCTGTAACCTTTCTGTTAGACAGGTAAACCGCTTTAACAAAGTAAGCAAAGTGTCTGTAACAGAAGTGTTATCTGCATTATATCTGAATTTTATTGAAACGATTCAAGCAAGTGCAAGCATCTGTTTGTGGGCGGGGCTTGCTGGAGCAGAGAGGGAGGGGAAAAGGAGAAGAGAGGAGGAGCTGTGGGGAAAACTGGTTAGGAGGGGTAGTGTTCACATTTAAGATTTCTCCCAAAAACTGGCACTTCCTCAGATCCTGCCTACCCCACCTTTAAGTACTGAAGTCTTTTTGTACTTGTTTAGGGTTATCAGGATCCTAGGATTTTCATAAACCCCCAAGTCGGGTCTAATATTACACCAACATTTCTCATCTCATCAACACAGTTCCACATGTTATCAACATCATACAAACAGGCTAGTCTACTAGCTTATCTGCAAACATGTCAAGCGTTGTACTGTTCAGAGTTCACCATCAGGTATGGTTTTGTAGGCAAAGCCATCCCACAGGAGACTTTAGCAGCCAGTTCAGTTCACCAGCACAGGGTCTGGAGATTTTCTGTCAGAAGTTGTGTGGGTAGTGGACACGTTGAAGCAGAGGAATTGCTTTTCTCTCCATCTCAATGAAAGCACAAGCTCATGCTGCACATATGTAAATGACTAACTGGTGCAGGCCTCCCTAAGCATTGACAGTTTGACATGCTATCATGCTAGTAGGGCTGGGAAATATGGGAAAAGTTAATCACGATATTTTTTCTCATATCAGTTGATATCGATATATATCACGATATAAAAAAAATGAAATTTAACAGTGTTTATTAGTAGCATCTCTTTTGCAATACAATAAGCTGCTGCATCTGTGAGGTCTTTGTGCCCCTTCGACTTTTTTGTCGTAAGGCGTTGCGGTAGAGAAAGCGGACTGAATGGTCAGCTTCATGGGCTTCTTGCTCCGCTCAGGGTTTGTAACCTTTTGCATTGCGCGTGCTCTGCCGCGTGGCACTGCTTCAGGTGGTGAAAAAGATTTGAGGTATTCCCCGACTTTGTGAGAACATGTAGTCGACATAATTTGCAGTGTTATGTCCGACCTCAAAAAAACAAAATACCTCCACACCACCAATGTTTCCGTGCCAGTGTTGTCGGCGATGTCATCATCTGTTGAGCCTTGATCTGTATTTCTGCTGGGAGAAGCATTCATTTTCTTTTTTTTCTCACCAACAGCGCTGTCAGCTTCATGTGTTAAAGTGCTATGGTTGCGTGTAGCTGCAGTCTGCTACTATGCTGCCTTTTTCATTTAAACAGCCTTTACAGATGCTATTGGTGTATTTGTCGCAGCAGATCTACAACTGTATTCAATTGTTGAGAACCCAGGATGTTAGCACGTTCAAGGTGGTAGAGCTCTTGTACACGATTCGGGAATAAAGTCATACCAATCCTCTATGAACAAACTCCATTTGGGTACAACTTATCCCAGATATCTGCTGTAGCTTTGATGACAAGTGGATGGTTATTGTGTTTCGAACCATGACTTTTAAACTGAGGAGGCACAGGTAAGAAAATCTTGTCCTCACTTGCATCCAGTCACTTGGAGCTACATTGAACCATTTCATCTACCTACACTACCAAGCATTGGGATACTCTAATACGCATCACTGTGCAGTCTGAAGTGATAGCACAAAGACATGCTGATAGAAAAAGTTTGTGATGCACTTTTGCATTGTGATAGGCTACAGTTGGGTAATCAAATTAAAGAAACAGTTTTGTTTTCCTGTAGTTCAAGAGGTACTTGTGGATACTCAGTTTTTTTTTCTTTAACTCACGGGGGATCCCTGTCAGCTGACCTGCAATTTAGATCATTTTAGGACAGCCTGGCCCTCAGTGTACACAATATGTTTGCTCTATTTAAAAGACTCCTGCCTCCTCCACCTGCCACCTTTGGAGCAAAGAAGCAGATGAAGAAAAGGAGAAGCAGTCGAGCAGAATTCCTCTGTGATCAGCAGCAGGCGGAGTGAGGAGCTGCTGCACTTGCCACCCCCCCCACCCCCCATTCAGTAAACTCACCCTCTCCCCCCTCTCAGAGGTGTAACCCCGCCACCCCCCTTTTGTGCCCTCTTCACCCTCTTCTCATCCCTTCACTGCCGGGTGTCACCCCTGTCACCCATCTCTTCCGGGGCGAGTAGAGGGGGTCTGCACCTGTTCTGACCTGTCTAGACGAGAAGACTGAGGGGAAGAAGGGGGGAGACAAGGAGGGAGAAGAAGAGGGAACAGAAGAGAAAGAAGGAAAAGGGGAGAGTGGAGGGGAAGGAGTGTGGGCAGGGATGATCAGAAAGGGAGGGAGAAGAGAGGAGCATTTGAAAGTGAGGAGGGAAAGGATGAGAAGGAGGGAGGAGGAAGATAGTCGTGGAGGACGGGGTGAGGTGGGGGATGTGGAAGGTTGAGGGGTCTGCTCCAGGTTAAAAGTCAGCGTTAGTTTGTGAGGAAAGAGAAAACCCATCGGAAACAGGAGGTCATCCTGTGGCCCCTCTCAGCTTCCTCTGAAGGGGAGGGGTCAGGTCACATGGAGGATATTTTATCACTGATTTTTCTTTTTCAGCCCCTCTCTGGATATGATGTCATGTTTTAGGGGAAAATGACACAACTCTCACCCCTCACCCCTCTTTCTCTTTGGTGAATTCAGGTACCTCTGGCTCGCTCTCAGACTCACCTGAGCGAGCTCCTGGACCAGGTATGTGATGGTATGAGTGACTACGCGCTGTACTTGGACCCGGACACTCAGGTCAAACAGTACAGGAGGTTCGCTCCTCGGAGCGGGGGGAACTCCGCTGACTTTCCCGACTTTAAAAACTTCCAGTTTGATGGCCCTGAAGCGTCCAGTGCACTGAAGTTCGCAGTGAGTCAATGATCCATCGATGTTATGATTATCATAATCAAACTTTTATTTACAAAGCACCTTTAAAAAAAGAGTTTAATAAAGTAAATGAGGAAACTCAGTTAATGTCAAAAGCTGAACTATAACTACAGAATAAAGAGAGTAACAGTATGAAAGAGCTCAGTGAATAAAGAGTGTGTGACAGAGGATGTTCAAACATTTACTGTAATTTTAGTAATATTCTGACTTTCCTGCAAAAAGTTGTTGCTAGGCAATGTTTTCTTTTTCTATCCAGTCAAAATCTGACGACTGTGTAACCAACACAAACAGGGAAGTCTAACAGGTGGGAATAAAAATGTTTGATACACTGCTGTTCTAAAACCTCTGAGAAATATCTATTCAAAAAGACATCTTCATAAAAAGAGAATTATGAAATAGGAGTGATAAATAAATGTAAATAATTACAAATTCAGTAAGAAAACCGTTTATTCTTATGATGTAAAAACATAAAAGTGTAAGTTGATAAATTTATTGAAATGATGGTTAGTTTTAATGGTTTAAAACAGATAAATAACATCTGTTAATGTTGCTCAACCAGTCTTAAAATTACATGTGATTTTACCAAACAAGCATAATGACTGGCTTGAAAACATTTATAGTATAATCGATATTTTATTATGTACAACATAGATCTCTTTTGTTATAATACAATCCACATAAGCTGCATGAAGCAAAACGCCCCGATTATAAACAGCTTTAAAGCCTAAACTGAATAAACATGCTTTGCATAAACACCTTAATCAGAATAAACAGGCCCAGGCACTGTAAACCTTTTCATAAACATCACTGTAAACACTGTCTCGTATACACAGAGTTCATGAGGTCAGTATCTGAATTTCAAAAATGAAGACATTTGAACTGCATGTAAATATGAGGTCAGTAAAACCAAGTTTAATTCTTTCAGTGAAATTGAAGATTTAAAAAGATCTCCAAAGGGACAACTGAGTATAAAAACCCCTCTCTATTCTTCAAATAAGGAAATATTTAATCAACACTAAAATTTGTCAAAATCTGTTGATTTTCTAGATTTATTTTTTAAGATCTTTACTCTGTGTAGTTTAGGTTTCTAACAGTTTGTGTGTTTGATTATTTTCTAGGTTAGTTACACACTGCACACACACATTTTTGGCATGTTTCAATAGTGTGTCTATATACTTTTGACTGCATCTTTAGCATGTGTATTAGCATGTCAGTTAGCATGTCTGTCCCTCTATAACTCAGCAACATCTAAACTCTGACTTTATAACCACATTCAAGTCAAACAACTGTGAGCTGGTGTCATGTGATCACATTTTCATCAGTGTCTGTTTAATGAATGGATGAACACTGATGCAGATTCAGGATTACAGTGTTTTATTTACAAAATCTGCAGTATGTGAGTACATACACAGGAATTAAAAAAAAGGGGTTTATACCCAGCCCAGATTGAACACAGTAGGAGAGTGGTATATGTATGTCTGCACCTGCCCTTATGTCTACTTTGTCAGTATATATATATTTACAGTGGATATAAAAAGTCTAAACACCCCTGTTGAACTGCCAGGTTTTTGACATGTAAAAAAATAAATCAAGATAAATACTTTCACAACTTTTTCCACTTTTAATGGGACCTATAACCTGTACAATGCAATTGAAAAACAAACAGAAATCTTTCAGGGAGATGAAGTAAAAATAAACAACAACAACAACAACACTAGTGACATTACCAAGAACAGGACGTCTGTCCAAAATTGATGACAAGACGAGAAGAAAACTGGTCAGGGAGGCTACCCAGAGGCCCACAGCAACACTGAAGGAGCTGCAGGAATTTCTGGCAAGTACTGGCTGTGTAGAACATGTCACAACAATCTCCTGTCTTCTTCATATGTCTGGGCTATGGGATAGGGTGGCAAGATGGAAACCTTATCTTACAAAGAAAAACATCAAAGCCTGGCTTAATTTTGCAAAAAGACATCTGAAATCTCCCAAACGCATGTGGGAAAATGTGTTATGGTCTGATGAAACCAAAGTTGAACTTTTTGGACATCATTGCAAAAGGTATATTTGGCACAAAATCAACACTGCTCATCACCAAAAGAACACCATACCTACAGTGAAGCATGGTCGTGGCAGCATCATGCTTTGGGGCTGTTTTTCTTCAGCTGGAACTGGTGCCTTAGTCAGGGTGGAGGGAATTATGAACAGTTCCAAATACCAGTCAGTGTTGGCACAAAACCTTCGGCCTTCTGCTAGAAAGCTGAAGATGAAGAGGAACTTCATCTTTCAGCACGACAATGACCCAAAGCACACATCTACATCAACAAAAGAACGGCTTCACCGGAATAAGATTGAGACTTTGGAATGGCCCAGCCAGAGTCCAGACCTGAATCCCATCGAACATTTGTGGGGTGATCTGAAGAGGGCTGTGCACAGGAGATGCCCTCACAATCTGTCAGATTTGGAGCGGTTTTGCAAAGAAGAGTGGGCAAATATTTCCAAATATGTGCCACGCTGATGGACTCCTACCCAAACAGACTGAGTGCTGTAATAAGAGCCAAAGGTGCTGCAACAAAGTATTAGTTTAAGGGTGTGCATATTTATACAACCAGGTTATTTTAACTTTTCTATTTTTTATTTTTCCCCTGTTAAAGGTTTCAGTTTATTTTTCAATTGCATTGTACAGGTTGTAGGTCACATTAAAGGTGGAAAAAGTTGTGAAAATATTTATCTTGCTGTCATTTTCTTACATCACGAAAACCTGGCAGTTGAACAGGGGTGTGTAGACTTTTTATATCCACTGTATGTGTGTGTGTGTGTGTGTGTGTGTACAGTCCTATACACATGCACACTATACATACACATGCAAAAGTAATGACCGCAAAAATGATAGTGCCGTTGTTGTGACACATGACCTTAAGTGCAGGTGGTGGATGAATCTGCAGTATTGGTTTGATTTAGACAATATGCAGACAGTAAGCATTCATGTAACAGCAGCAGCAGCAGAGATTTTTATCCAGCTGTAATTCAACATTCAAAGTCTCTGTATGTGGTCACACTTTTATGAAAGGTTACAGACAGAAACACTAATATACATATGTATGCTTATGTTCGTGTTTACTGATTGGATCAGAGTTATTTAATTGTATGACTGTCAGACTCAAATACACTCAAGTAACTGTCTGTGTGACCACATCTACATTAAAACAGACACTCTGACTGTAACGGCCTTAAGTCTGTTTGTCTGTTCATAATCATTGTAGGTATATAACAAAAACTATAACTACTAACAGCCGATGAATCTGATGAGGATAAAGAACCAGATTGTTTTTACGCTTGAAAATTTGAATCTACTCACAATCATCGAAACTAGGGAAGTTACGATGATGTTTTCAGAAGATAGATTTTTAAACTTAGACCTAAAAAAGTCATTATTGTATGACTTCAATAATGACCCTTGTTGACACACAAGCTTAAACTCTCAGAAAGTCATAAAGCTGTTTTCATCAAAATAAAATCCTCAATAGACATCCTGCTGAACAAAAAACTGAATGCATCATTAAAAAGATTTGAGATCTAAATTGAGAAATAATTAACTTAAAAAATTTTCAACAGTTAATGCATGAACGTAAATTAACATGCGAAACAAAGAGGAAAGTGCAATTGATTAAGATTGAATACAATACAAACAACTCACCTGACAAAATTAAGTACTTAAAATTTTTTTAAAAATAATACAACATTAGTAAATCAAAACAAAATAAAACAAGGATAAACCAAATAAAAATCAAAGCTTAAGTCAAATTTAATTAGATTTGAAAAGAGAAAACATTAAATACAAAATACAGAAAATTTTCTAATTCAAATTAAAATGTTAAGAAGATCAAAAATCTGGAAAAAAAGATTAAATAAAGAGTAGATAAATCAACAAATAAAATCAAAGTTACTGTAGAAACTGTAATGTGATATTGAAGGAAAGAAAAAACAAACACCAACGAGCTCAGACCTTAACCCCCTGTGTGTGTGTGTGTGTGTGTGTGTGTGTGTGTGTGTGTGTGTGTGTGTGTGTGTGTGTGTGTGTGTGTGTGTGTGTGTGTGTGTGTGCGCGCGCATCTGCATGTGACAGTGTGAGAGCATCGTGGAGGACCTGGAGGAGGACATCATGTCTTTGTTCAGTAAGGAGAGGAAGGACGTGCGGGACCAGTTATGTAACAGAGTGTCAGGTAGACACACACACACACACGCACACACACACACACACTATAGGTCAGCGATCATGCGGGAGCTGAATTCTTATTCATATAGTCATTAGATAGCATTGTATAACAGCTTAAGTCTTTTGAGGTCATATTTTGGGCAGCTTCACTTTCATCAGATGGAACAGTTAAATAGGAAATTTGGGGAATAGAGAGTTGGGACAAGCAGTGAAGGAGTCAAACCAGCAACCGCTGTGACAAGGACCAGCCTTTTGGGCTTAGACCACCAAGTTATCTGCACCTAAGGGCTTGATCTGTTTTCGTTTTCTGTGTGTTAGTATCTTAAAGTGGACCTGTTATACTTACAGTCTGGAGCATCTGTCGAGTAGCTTAGCATGATTAGCAGCTCCAATAACTGTATTAAGTTATGACTCTAGAGAAAGTGTCTAAAACTAACTGCCCACATAGCTCCCCCTTTACTTGTTTGACTGGCTGTGGATTAATCACTGCAGAAGAACAAGAAGAATACAAAAAGCTGCAGGAGTCAGTGATAGACCACAGCCATCCAGCTGAGGTACTGATAGAACTAAACCACACTCAGCAAACTCTGGAAGAGTTACAGAAAGAGGGGCAGCAGATGGCTAGAAATTGTAAATACTGTCATGTGTAACGGATATGTTAGTAAATCAACAGATAAATAGACAAACTGACTAATTCTTCCTTTAATAGACACACCAAGCATGAGTAAAACCGTTCGCATGAATGAATTACATGTTAAGTCAATGCAAAGACGCAATTTGACACTCCTACTACTCTGGTGGCACAAATGACGGGTGGGAAGGAGCTAAAAAAATGTCCCAACTTGAGCAGATATTCACGATTACTAATCAGCACAAAGGTTGCCGGGTGACGTATGAAAATGGATGGTTGATCACTGGTAACTTAAATGGGGGACAAACTGATCGTGTTGGTGTGTGGGTGCCCCAAATTATATGATACCTTCTCTTTCAATTTCTGAAACCGGAATATAAAGGAGCTAGCATGGAGGCAAGTGAGTGAGGAGGTCAGATTACGTGGTAAATAGCATCTAGATTCGTGCGAATTAAGCAAGTAGATGATTTTACTCGTGCTTGGTGTGAGCACCCCACAAGGGTTAATGAATTCAGAGAGGTCTCTGCAACACACACACTTTACCAACCCAGCCTTCACTTTTAACCAGCATGAACCCCTGAGTTTTTGTTTTTGTCTGAAAGGATTCAGAAAAAAAAAAAATCATGTGTTCGTGTTTCAGATTACTGCAGAGGCAGCACACACACTAACGAGGAGTTATAGCCTGGAGTTAATGATAACGTTGACAACGATGATGATGATGATGATGATGATGATGATGACGATGAGGGTGGCAATGTTATCAACAATGACGGCGACGAAGATGGTGATGATGATGGAGGAGCAACTGTGTCACACAAAGAGGCCTTTAACTGAGTTATTACTGACCAATAACCAAAAGATTTTAAATAAATCAAGGATCAATGTTTACACACACTGTGTTGTGTTCTTGTGTGGAGTGTTGTGTGTGTGTGTGATACTGTATGTGTTACTGAGCAGCAACTTCAGAGGTGGAAAAGTGAAGCTAACACAAAACTGCAAAAAACTTTGCAGTTCCTTGAGTGTCCACTGGAGGCTGTCGGCAGAAACCAGAGGCCCTAATACAGCTATATGACTGCATAATCTATAAAATCAAAAGTATAAACAATTATTAAAAACTCAAGGTCCTTACACACCGGGACCGAAGCAAATTTAAAACGTGAATTTACGAAAACAAATTTATTTTATTTACGTCTTAATTTTTGATAAAATCTGTCTGATTGTGCTTAATGACAGGTTTGAGGTTTGTTTATCAATTATTTTCAGACAGACATTTGCTGCACCACAGATCCACACTGACTCAAACTTGCGTACACGATGTCAGACCTGTCGTGAGATTTGGTCATAGCGTACGCTCGCGTGCAGATTGATAAATGCCGATCCTCACGCCAAAATTTTTGTACGCAAGGTGTACGTAAGTTTTCTGCCGTACGCAAGCTTGATAAATGAGAGCCAGTTTGCGAAACTTTAGAAAAATCGACTGTGATCCGAAAAAATAAATGTCGCTATTTGGCAGGACAGGAAAATGTTGCTGATGTAGACGCTTGTATTGACAGGATATGGGTTTCAAAAAAAAATATTGAGGCCCGAAATAATCGCACGAAATAAGTGCTCCTGGTGTGAAAGGACCTTAAAGCTCGATGAACAAAAGATCGACCCAGATTTTGATTATCGAATTTCTCCTCTGGGATAAATATAGCTCTTCTTATCTAATCTTATTTTATTTGCACCACTATTAGCACAATGTCAGCCTCACACTTTATTGTTTGGTTATTTGCAGTTGTAAACACAGTTGTATACATTAGACACAAAGTACATCATGACGTCACTTCCTTGCAATACCAGTGCACTGACTGTCAATTTACCACATGAGTGAGCCAACTGGTTAAATACACACATCAGGTGAAAATGCAACAGGTGAGTTCATCTGTCTTCAACCAAAATGATAGGAGTCAGAAGAAGAAGAATGAGGGTGAGAGGAGGGAGACTTAACGCAGGCAGAGAATGTGCTTAACGAAGAAAAGGACCAATTTTATTCAATGAAATTCGTGCAACACTAGTTGACCATGTTGTGAACCATGGACTGATGCAGAGAGTTCAGCCAAAATCTGAGCAGATGTACGGTGGCATCCGTTATCAGGACATTTCCACATAAAATAGGTTAAAAAAAAAATATCTGTCTACAGTTACAGTAAGCAGCTGCTTATTGTATTTACCCTTGTCATCACTTTTATTACCCCTTTTCGGCACTTTACGAAAGGTTACATGTATTTTGTCCAACACGGGATTGAAGGTTGAGATCGACATGGCTGAAGGGGGTCATATTCACACTGGAACAAAAGAGAGAGAGATCATAAACACGGTTTTGGCCATTAGTCCCATAAAGCTCAGACAAATTCAAGCAAACATTATCTGTGTAAGAGTAGGGTTTTTACAAAAGTGATTCATTTTGCAAAGGATCTGAGGTGTATTGCTGATTATGTGAGTGGTTGTGTGTAGTTTCTTGACAAAATGAGCCTCGATTTCAAACACAATTGGAAAAAAAATTGTAAAATAAATATTTTTACAGCAGAAATAAAACTATAGCCCAGTACAAAAACTGATTTGGTCTCTATGTCTTGTTTCATTATCTGTGTCAATTTAGAGGACGTGATTTTCTTTCCCTTTTTTTCTCTTTTTTTTGGGGGGGCGGGGGTTTACAGTTTAAAATGGTCAGCAACAAGCAAACCTAAGCTCATCCCTGAGCACTAATACAGCACACAAGATTGTTTTGATGGTAACTTTTATTTATCGCTGTGAGAGACTGTGTGAGCAAATAGATCAAGAATAGAATAGAATAGAATATTCCTTTAATGATCCCCCATTGGGGAAATTTTTTTGTCACAGCAGCATCACAGACAAAGAGTGCAAAAATGCAGTTATAAAAAATAAAGATCCTAATATTAAGAAAGTTAAATAAATGTAATAATTAAGAAAAAATTTAGAAAAAGGAAAAAAAAAGAAGAAAGAAAACAGTTAGGGTTTCAGAATAACAGTTTCAGAATAATGTTCCTGAGTGTCAAATGTGAAAGAAAGAGTGGATTTCATCATCTACAGAACAATATATCATTAAAAGATTCAGCGAATCGGGAGAAATCTCTGTACTAAAGGGACTAGGACCAAAACCAAGACTGGATGAACCTGATCTCCTGGCCCTCAGGCAGTACTGCATTAAAAACAGACAGGACTCTGGAGTGGGAATAAGTGAAAAGGCTCTAAATCACTTCCAGAAACCATTGTCTGTGAACAGAGTTTATCACTGCATCCACAAATGAAGTTAGAACTGAACTAAGGTGAGGTGAAGAACTCTGCTGTGTTGTGGTAAATCAAAATGTGAGATCCTTTTTGGAAATCACAGATAGCTTGAAAGAGAAGAGGGACCGCCTGGCTTGTTCTCAACTCCCAGTCCAAATCCAGCATCCCTGATGGTATCGGTATCTTCAGAGTCCATGTCATGAGTATCTTGAACATCTGTGAAGGCTCCATTCATGCTGAACAAAATCTACAGGTAGAAGCAACATCTGCTGACATCCAGACAAAGAGTTTTTCAGGGAAGACCTTCATATTTCAGCAAGACAATCACCACATTCTGACAACAGGGACTACAACAGCATGGCTCTGTAGTAGAAGAGTTCTGCTGAGAAACTGGACTGATGCAGTCCTGACTTGTCCCCCATTGAAAACATTTGGAGCATCAAGACACCAAAAATAGGACAAAGGAGACTCTGAACTGTTGAGCAGCTGAAATCCTCTATCAGGCAAGAATGGGACAACATTTGACTTTCAAACTCCAATTTCAACTTTGCACTGTTTTGAATTAAATGTGGGTTTCAAATGACTCATAAAGCATCAAAATGTGTTTTGTTTTGTTTTCATTCACATTTACCATGATGTTCCATCTCTTCTGAATTGAAATTTAAGATTTCTTTTTTTTATTGATTTGCACAACGTAGTTTGAGTTTTCACCAGTGTCAAAGGTACACCAACGTTTTGGTTGAAATGTTTAAGTGGATCCATAATAAAAGCTGGATGTGAACCCAGAGCTCAGTTTGGATCAGTGTAAACTCATCCAGGTCACAGGTAAATTGTCATTTATCTGAGTTGGTGTTTTATTTACAGTTGATTCATGGTGAGCAAATTGAGTCTGGACACAGCATTGTGATTCTAAGCCACGCCTGCAGATCGCATTCAGTGTCCTCAGAGGATCAATCCGACTCTGGAAGTCCTGTTCTCCGTGTTCCTTGAGGTCTGATCCCCTTGATGTTGGTCAGAAACAGTGTTAGTGTTTCCTGGTATCTTTCTGCTGGAAGTTTCCTCTGGGTTGCAGCATTAATTTGTATTCTAACAAGATTAAAATATATTTGTCCTGCAGATTAGCATAGTTAAGTGTTTCTGTCTCTGGCAGCCTTTGATCAGCAGAGCGCAGCCAGGCCTCGGCTTGGCCTGGCCGTCCGGGGCCGGGTGTGAAATCACTCTGATGTCATCCCCCATTCTCCACCCCCTCCAGCTTTCACAGGCCGTAATTATATTTCCGCCACAAAGCCCTCGTCCCCTTCATCCATATTCCAAGTTTGACTGGGAAGCATTTAGAGCCTGTGGATGGATCTCTCAGTGGGGGGAAGGGGGCCAGAGGGGGGGACGCTCTTTGTCTGCAGGAGACACAGGGGACATCAGGACTCACTGATATGTACTTTTCTTTTCTCCACTCGTCTGCCCTTTGCTCTGCCTGCCAGGGAGGTTACCTTTAAGACTCCAGGACAGAGGAACTTTGGGTAAATAACATGATTTGCAAAGTTCCTCTTCCAGGTTCACATCAACCTGTGGCTGAAGACCTTCTGTGGGTTTAGGGTCTGTTTCCACTGAAACATATTCTATCAAACAGTGGAATAGCCTTTTGCTGTATATTAGCTGCTCCTTAAACTGAAACAGTGTTGTTAGAAAGAAAAGACTTTTGAAAGAGTTCACAGCTGTGTTTGCTCATGTATATATTGTTCACAGTCATGTTCTTGTGTTTACCCCTCTGCCAAAGAAGGCCTTAATGCACAGGTGCAGGCTATCCTTAAGGAGTAACTTTGATCCAGGTCAACCCTCTCTATTCCTCCTTCACTGACACTGAAGCACCATACCAAGCGCTGTCTCAGAGATTCTCCTGCATCAATCCTCCTCAGATCATCAGGATGGACCAATTATCAGGTCAGTGCTGCGTTCACTGACACCAGGCTGGTGCTGCATCCACTGACATTAGACCAGTAGTTATTCACTGTCACATGTCTAACGCTGCATTTACTGACACCAGGACAGCTCTGCATCCACTGACATTAGACCAGTAGTTATTCACTGACATTAGACCAGTTCTGCATTCATGACACATGTCTAGCGCTGCATTCACTCACATCAGGCAAGTGATGCACTCAGTAATGGCAAGTCTACACTATGAATTATTTAAGAATACACATTAAATGCAGTAAGTGGATAAAAAGTTGATACTAGATTTCAAATGTACCCCCTGCCTCTGTGTGAATTTAGCATAAAAACCTCCACCAGAGACTGTGGGTGGAGCAAAAAAATTCAATTAAATTAAAAAACTGGATCAAATGTTTTGGATGCTCTAATTGACAACATGGCCTTTGTTATTTAGGCATTTAATTATAGTTTGTCACAAATGTTTTGGAGTGCATGCTTAGTAGAACCTCCACTTTTAATCTGAAGGTCCTTCCACACCGGGACAGACGCAAATATAGAACGCAAAATGACTTAATATTCAGAGGCGAATTTTGACGCGCCTGACTATACACATCAAGCCCGTTGTGATTTTGCGACTTTCCAGGGGGAAAAAAGTCATGTCCCAGGTGGAAGCGAGAAGACTGACACAACAGCAGACTGACTGTTTTTCAGTTCTGATTAGACACGAGCGTTGAGATGGCTGTCTGTCATGATAGCATGTACTGAGTAGGGGCCAGTACCAGATAAGCACATTAAACTATAATCCATAAACGTAAGGTAACAAACCAAGACCTAAAGGTGCTATGACAGCAACGCCATTGAGTTTGAGAGTGAAAATACATTCGGTATGTTGTATCTGAACAGGTTAGCTTACGAGCTAAAGTTACTTAGCACAGATGAAAGTTAAAACAAAGACTTGTAGCAAGCTGTTAAAGCACACAAACCATCGTCATATGAGAAATCCGACGCTATGACTCTCCACAAGTTGTTCTTCAGGTCGTTATCTTTGTAATATTTGTGTCTTTTATCAAAAAGCACTCTGTTCTCCGGCACGTAAACAATCAGCCAGTCGGCCATGTTGGATATACCAGTGAATCAGACGTCGCAACAACACGAAATCTGATTGGTCAGAAGTGGACACACAGTATGCGAAACTGTAGAAAAATAGACCGTGATCCAAAAAAGTAAATGCCGCAATATTGCAGGACGGGAAAATGTCGCTGATGTGAACGCTTGTTTCGACAGGATACGGGTTCGAAAAAAAATATTGACGTCCAAAATAATCGCACAAAAAAAAAAAACGCTCCCAGTGTGAAAGGACCTTAAGTGTTAAAAGCTTTTCTTTTTTTTTCTACCATTTTATTCACATTTTACACTTTGGTTTTAATATGACCCTCAACAGGGCAAAACAAGAGGACACACTTTGTTTGTTTTTCTTTTACACACTCATAAATCCCCTCTTACTGCTTCATAAATGCTCAATAGACTGCAAGAATTCAAATGTCGAATGCTCTAAATTGCCTGGCTGCCCCACGCCATCAGCTACAATTTCCCTTTAATTGCCCACCTTGCCCCTCACACACCCCAGCTCACTGCTGCCTAAATGTTGTCTCTGCTCCAGCTGTTCTGATCTGAATTATTTCTACCAAACCAACAAAGACTGATCACTGAAGATTGATCACTGAAGACTGCCAAATCAATACTGCAGAATCATTTCAACCCCCCTCTCCTCTTCGTAAAAGCAAATGTTTTATTTATTTATTTTCTTTATATAGGAATAAATTAAATCCTGCAGCAGATTAAAGTTCAATGACTTTTATTCATTATCATCACCATCATCATCATCGTCATATAAATTATGTACACGTGAATCATAAAAACAGGCCTACCGCTGCACGTGTTCAGTAAAAAACATTATAAACTATATAAACACATGCTCAGCGTGTGTGTGTGTGTGTGTGTGTGTGTGTGTGTGTGTGTGTGTGTGTGTGTGTGTGTGTGTGTGTGTGTGTGTGTGTTTGTTTAAGGCAAAAACATAAAAACATTCATACCCGTCAGGCCGTCACGTGCTGCGTTCAAGCACGTCTGAAACTGCAGGGAAAATAAGTTACGGTGTAAACAGTCCACATGTTTTATAAATAAACATAAAATGCTTTTTTTTTCTAAATCATCCACACAGAGCAGAGGGGAGGGGGGGGGGGCGTTTCTGGAACATTCATACCGGGACAGTCTGCAGGCCCTGAGGTCGGGACGCGGGGCCGAGCGGTGCGAAGCTGCGGGTGCGGGAGTCACGCACCCGCAGCTCTCGGACCGGTCTGTTTTTGTGATTCAGGAAAAAAATCACACACTCACACACACACACAAAAAAAATTGGTCCGTTGAAAACCTGCTATCAATAAATGGACATAGGACTAAAACGAAAAACACGGTCCGGCATTCGGCGTCTTTTTGTGCAGTAAGTTCAGATAATTAAGGGTACAGAAGATGATAAAATCATTTTTTTGAAACTGAAGATACTTGTTTAATTCAAACAGTTTTCCACCGTGACCGAACTTCCCAAATATCTGCAGCAGACCTGCAGTCACAAACTCTCTCTCTCTCTCTCTCTCTCTCTCTCTCTCTCTCTCTCTCTCTCTCTCACACACACACACACACACACACACACACACACACACACACACACTAACACAGGAGGCTGTGTATTGAGGCTGCAGCAATTCAATCTTTGGATTTCAGCTTCCTCTCATCTATAAAGTTGATCAGACACGCCAGGGCCGCAAAGCGTCTGTCCTTCTCTGTATCCACAAAAACATCACAGGTCAGTAAGAGGGGTTTCTGATCCACTCTCAGTCCTTTTTTTCTGTCCTCTTTTTTTTCCTTTTGTGTCTTTGTGATCCATCAGACATCAGTCCCGTCGTCTCTCCAGCAGACACAGTCCTCTCTGTGAACACCTCTGCTGAGGACTCCTACACCGGACCAGACTTTGTCCAGAAACTTGTTTTGAACTACAAGCGCTGAAGTTCCTCGTTTGTCTTCATTTCAGTTTTTAAAAATATTCTTCTTTCCTTTTTTATCTTTGAATACAAAATTCCTGATCTTTTTTAATTGAAAAAAAAAATCTCATCTTTATTGCTCAGTGATTTAAGGCTGACTTTGTACATTTGCATTTTTCTAATGAACAAACTTGACATTATTAGCAGCTGAGTCTGGACCTGGCTCACAGGAGGTCTCTAAACAGCAGGTAACACATGCTAACACAGTGGTTTTCAACTGGTCTCACTCTTGGACCCACATTTTCCCGTGGTCCTTAAGTCTTGACCCACTTTTAAAGAATTCAAACCAAGCAAATTTAATTTTTATATAAAAAAAAACCTTTAAAGACTCTAATTTTTAACATAAATCCACTTTTTTTATTGAGTAAAGTGTATTTCAGAGCACATGAAGGAGCCAACATGAGGACGACAACTACTGAAGTTGCTTGTGCAAAAAAATCTAATCTCTAATGAATATCGCATTAAATATTTACTTTTTTGACCGGCTGTTCGTGACCCATCCAGAACGTGTCCGTGACCCACTTTTCGGTCTGGACCCACCAGTTGAAAACCACTGTGCTAACATGTAGCATGATGTCATGACCATTAAGGGTACAGTGTGCAGGGACAGGGATATTTCACTGTCAGATTTCAGATTTGGACTTTCCTTGCTCACCATTACCTTGGTGACTCTTTTTTTTTTTTTTTTTAACCAATACTTTTACTTTTTTTTACACCAATATTCTTTTGAGCACAATAAAAACACAAATTTTCTTGTGCATTTCACACCGTCACTCACAAAAAAAAACAAACACAAAAAACAAACAAACACACAAAAAAAACACCGATGTTACTAGTTTGTCCATTCTGTGATACCGTAGAACAGTGGTTTTCAACTGGTGGGTCCCGACCCAAAAGTGGGTCACGGACACGGTCTGGATGGGTAACAAACAGCCGGTCAAAAAAGTAAATATTAAATGCGATATTTATTAGATATTTGATTTTTTTTGCACAAGCAACTTCAGTAGTTGTCGTCCTCATGTTGTCTCCTTCATGTGCTCTGAAATGCACTTTACTCAATAAAACAAGTGGATTTATGTTGAAGATTAGAGTCTTTAAAGGGTTTTTTTAATATAAAAATAAAATTTGCTTGGTTTGAATTCTATAAGAGTGGGTCACAACTTAAGGACCATGGGAAAATGTGGGTCCCAGAGTGACACCAGTTGAGAACCACTGCCAAACATGCAAATCCGGGGGACCAGTACATGTCCTTGAAAACAAACAGGTTTGAACCTTCACCTGATTGAACACATATGCATACTGACTCCATTTTGATGAATGACGATTAAAAAAACTACACACTGTGCCTTTAATTGGACACCTGAGAGGATCTGATTAGAGCAGGTAAACATGACAACCTGTGAGTGACGTCATCACTACAGCCCTGAGGACACACACACACATACACACACACAGGAACAGTCTGAAGTAGCCTAAATGTTCGCTGGCTCTGGGGAGGTTGTGTTGTGTTGGTTTGGAGAGTCTTGTCCTAGGTCCGGGTCTTGGTTCGGTTTTCGGCCTAGTCGCTGTCTGACGGGCCGTCTCGTGAAGTGGAGTGGTTGTAGAGGCCCTGCGCCATTAGGTGCAGGGCTAGAGAGTTCTTGTTCCCGGAGCTCTTCTTCATCTTTGCCCGCTTGTTCTGGAACCAGATCTTAATCTGAGACTCGTTAAGACCGAGTTCCTGGGCCAGATCTTGGCGGCGCTGCTCCGTCAGGTACCGGTTCTTCTGGAACTCCGATTTTAACCGGAGCAGCTGCTCCGCCGTGAAGGCCGTGCGAGGCCGCTTGTCCTCCTTAGTGGGGACCGGGGCCCTCTTTGGTTTGCGGGATCTGGGACCTGAAACAGAATCAGAGCGGGTCAGGTGAAAAATCTGTGACAGGCTGGCTGAAGTGTCAGAACCAAGGGGAGGAGTAAAACCCTGAACTCTCCTCCTGATGACTAACTGAGTGCTTTATTGGACTTATCAGACTCCTGTTCCCCTTGTAATTCGATATTATCTCAGTCTCTTTACGCTCACTGAAGCCCTTCGAGAGGTGGCTGTGTAGAAACCCGCCACAAACACTCCTCTGATATGTCAGAAAGGAAGGATAACAATGCATGGCCACAAGATGATGATTAAATCATAGTAATTCTTCAATCACGTCCGTACAGAGGCTGCCTATTCTTGCTAAAGTGCTTTTCAAACGTGTAAACTTTAGAGGCGCAGACTGCCCCAACAATATGCAGCCTATAGATGGAAAGCAGTAAAGTTTTTTGTTGTTGTTGTTGTTGTTTGTCTGTTGTTATCCTGCTGTGGTGCAACTCAAGCTTTTTCGATAAGAGACTCAAATTATAATTATCCCCAGACGTTAGCAACAAGGTCATCCAAAATGTTTCAACGTTGGTGTTAAACAAACTGTATTAGTGTGATCCAGCAGGAAACAATTAGAGGGCATCAATAATTATTCAGCCGGGTTCTCTGATTTAAGCATACTCGAGGTTATTTAGATAGAGCCTCTGCAGGTTTTGATTATTCTTTTCAAAATTTATATAATAACTTTAATTATATATTTATAATAACTTTGGGAAAAGGGCAGATTAGAGGGCGAGGAAGTATTAACACCAGTGGTTCTCAACTGGTCTCACTCTGGGACCTACATTTTCCCATGGTCCTCAAGTCGCGACCCACTTTGATAGAATTCAAACCAAGCAAATTTGATTTTTATATATAAAAAAAAAAACTTAAAAGACTCTAATCTTTCACATAAATCCTCTTGTTTTACTGAGTGAAGTGCATTTCAGAGCACATGAAGGGGACGACATGAGGACGACAACTACTGAAGTTGCGTGTGCAAAAAATATCAAATCTCTAATAAATATCGCATTAAATAGTGTAAAAAAAACAGATCTGTCTCATTGTTAGCACACTATCCCTCTGTTACGTAAAAGGTGATACTGTCTTCATAGTAACTGCTCCACTGTGAGAGGAGTACCCGTGTCCATCTGAGCGCGTGCGCAACAATGGATTACTCTGGATTTGCACCCCTGCAGGATGTGTAACTATAAGAAGTTTCAGACCTCTTCAGTTAAGACTTTAATCTTTAACTTAAATCCACTTGTTTTATTGAGTAAAGTGCATTTCAGAGCACATGAAGGGGACAACATGAGGGCGACAACTACTGAAGTTGCGTGTGCAAAAAATATAAAATCTCTAATAATTATCGCATTAAACATTTATTTTTTTGAAATTGATAGCCTATTTCGTGGCGTTTTCTTTCCTTGAATGTCGCCGAAGTGGCTCTACAATAACACTTTTTTGAGAGCCTCTGAATTTCCTATCTGTTTCCCACTAAATAAAGCATAAACAGAATCAAAATACAGCCTGTAGGCCAATCTGCTGTGATTTCAAGTTGGGATCACAAATGCGCCCCCTTACCTACTGCTGATGTCTGCTGAAACAGGCTGTGGGCCCGTGCTGATGCCTTCAGATAAAAACACATCTAGTCCCCAACTTCTTAAGGACTTTAAGTCGGAGAATCAAAAAGCTGTGTGCCCTTATTGTAAATTCATGTGAACACAAACGCATCGGACTGTTTTTGATACTAAAATCCAACACCTACACGAATAACAACCCAGCAAAGCTAGAATGATGACCTTTCAGCTCTTTAAAACGATCATTTCATTGACACACCATCCTTACACGGCAGGGGTTCGATTCTGTCAGTAAGACGTCGCTCATTATGAATAATAAATGAACTTTTATATCCGTCAGACAGCAGCCCAGTCCCCCCCAGTCTGCAGAGCGGACGGTGATGGGGGAATTGGTCATTTATGCGCTGTGCTCAGTTTAAAAATTGTGTCCACAGGTGGAGCAAAAAAAAAAAAAACTCCTCGGTTCCTTAGAAAGTTTTCATTTTTATGAAGTTTTATCCCAGAACACGAGGTTTTCGTTATTGGCGTTTAATCAGAGGTTCTCATTTAGGATTCGTCTATGTGTCTCATTAGGAAAAAAATGAGTCGGAATCCGAAAAATTCCAAAATATTGATGCGTAAATGCGCAGTGTGAGGACGGGCTGTGCAGCAGCGTGCATATGTGCGTGAGCGTGCACCCGAGGAGGAAGAGGAGGAGGGAGAGGAGGAGGTTTATTGGTGGGGGTGGGGTTATATGATGGAGGATGGGGGAGTTCGGCGCCTCTTTCCCTCCTTGTTACCATAGAAACTCCAGTTTTGAACATAAGTTTCCTCCCAAACAAAAAACCACGAAAGTTTCCGACATTCAGGTTTAATCATATTAATATGGAAATAAAAACACATCAAGTGAAAAGAAAGGCGAGAGTGCGCGTCGGTGAGTGAAGTGTTGACTTACAAACAGGCCTTTGACACAAATTAACCCACAACACATGCTCAAAGTGTGTGTTTCTATGAGTTTCAAAGATTTTGTATCAGTGTGTGTGTGTGTGTGTGTGTGTGTGTGTGTGTGTGTGTGTGTGTGTGTGTGTGTGTGTGTGTGTGTGTGTGTGTCTTTGTGTCCGGCCTGCAGCTCCTCAAACTTCACGAGGACGATAAAAACAAACAAAACATATTTATATCGGTCTAAAGTAAGAATGAATATTTACCTTCAGACGATAACCTCCTTCCTTACTGCCCTCCTCATATTCAGTTTATTATTATTTACCTTTTATATGACGTTTTATAAGAGTGAGCGCGTGAACTCATCCTGACAAAGAAAAGTCCAAGTGCAGGACGAAAGTCAGTGCGTAAAATCCGTCAATAAACCAACAAACCAATGAATCACTCAAAGCCTGAGAAATGTCTGTCGACTATTGATCAGAGTGATGTTAGTTTATGTGAATCAGAGCTTTTAGAGAGAGTAGAGCGACATCACAGCAAACATAGGCCTAAATATCTTCTTAAAAAAAACTTTAAATTCTGATTAAAATCAAAGTTCGAAAGATTATTGGATTGTTATTTATTTTATTGTATTTTCATGTGAGTAAATAAGGACAACTTTAAACGGGTTGATGCCATTGTTAAGGATCGACTCTCTTTTTTTTTTGGGACTTCGGTCTCACTTTTTGGGACCCCTCCTCATTGTCAAAAAAATATGCTAATGACACATCAACAAAGAAAACTGACGAACAATGGCGTTAAACTTGGTTTTTCTTCACTTTTTCACATTTGAATTCTACTTTTATTTGATTTTTTCAAATGCTGAAATATTCGGACAGTCGCTGAAGCGCTTTTTTCCCCCTGAATGAGTTTCTGATATCACCTTACAATGCTGCTCGAGTTTGACTGATCGAATCCGATTGTGGTTTGGCCTGTGTTCATCACAGATCTTCTACAGTTTTCTTTCTTTTTTGATTTTTTTTATTTAAATCAAAGTAGGAAATAATTGAGATATTCAATCGGGAAAATAAATCGGAGAAATAAATCGGATGGTATAAAAATGGTTTTGTCAGTGAGATCTGATGTGATTATCTAAAAAAAATAAATAAAAGGGGGGGGGGGTCGTTAAGGGAATAAAATATCATTTCGTCTCTTCACAGTCCTCAAACATATTTACAGGTGTATTATAAGGGAATCGAAGAAAGAGCTATATGTTAAATTCAACTATATTATTTGAGCGTTGATTTAAATTAATCCATTAAAACAGTTCAAACGGGAGTGTGGGGGGATTTCTGACCTGAGGACGGACGGTCGGAGTACCGGGTACAATAGACCCAGGCCGGCCACAGCATAGGTTTGTCCCCCCGGTCCGTCACGGCATCCTCCCTGGCCCTCAGCTCCGGCCTCCGGGCCACACAACCCGACTGCTGGTCCTCAGGTGTCCCAGTATCCTCCCCCCGGACCTGGTCCTGGCCTTCAACCCCCGGCGGGTTTTTGGATGACTTTGTCCCCGCGCGCTCGTGTCTCTGTAAAAACCGTCCCGGACTACCCCCCTCCCGAACCCGCGTCCCATCCTTTCTCTGCCGACCGAAGTCAGGCCTCAGGATGTTATCTATGTAGAAGTTTGTGACCCGGTGGATCTGTGGGAGTCCGGGAGGTTGCAGGGGTTGAGGAACGGCCCGGTTCGACTCCTCCGCGGAGTCCCGGGATCGGACCGGGCCAGCCCGAATATTCTCCATCCTGATAAGATCCGGATCAGCCGCGCCCCCCTCGCGTTGTGTCCTCTTTAAGGAGTAAGATTTCCACTGTGACTCAAAATACGTCTCCTATTATTACTCTTTAGAAATAAATGGCGATGAACAGAGTAATCCGGGGATCTGGATTTAGTTTTGGAAAATTAAAATCATTCCAGGTAAAAGTTCAAAGTCTGTCCTCGTGCATCTTCTGCAATAAATTTTTTTTTTTTATTTCAAAACATTAAAAAAATATTAAAACCGAAAATACGAAGAATGAGAGCTCTGTCTTTGATGCTACTCTGATCTAAACTGACCAAAAAACGCACGCGCTCATACTTTCACTATACATTTTGTTCTCTTTTCTGATTGGCCGACATACACTGTGATGCCGTAGTACTACTGCTCTTTCAGACACGTGCCTCAAACCAATAGAGTTTCAGAGCTTAGGTCACGTGAGGCTCCAGGAATTCCCCGGAGGAATAAATTAATACAACCGTCAATAAGTTGTGATGCGTTCAGGGACAGCGGGAATATTTTACTGACACAGACGTCCTGACAGAGGCTTCTAAGTAGACCAAAATTCACAGCACCTTCTTTTTACATCATGACAGTGAAGGCATCACACAGACTCATCAGGCTATAAACTACAGCAGTGGTTCTCAACTGGTCTCACTCTGGGACCCACATTTTCCCATGGTCCTTAAGTCGCGACCTACTTTTATAGAATTCAAAACCAAGCAAATTTTTTTTTTCATGAAAAACCTTTACAGACTCAAATCTTTAACATAAATCCACTTGTTTTATTGAGTAAAGTGCATTTCAGAGCACACGAAGGGGACAACATGAGGACGACAACTGCTGAAGTTGCTTGTTCAAAAAATATCAAATCTCTTATAAATGTCGCATTGAATATTTACTTTTTTGACCGGCTGTTCGTGACCCATCCAGAACGTGTTCGTTTTGGGTCGGGACCCACCAGTTGAAAACCACTGAACTACAGGCATACATTAAACATAAAATGACGATGAACTACGGTGGCTGCAATGTTAAACCATGTAAACATGACACCAAAGAAAAAAAAAATTAAGAGAACAAAGACAAGTTTTATTCATAGTGAAACATGCTTTCTGTTTGAGAAATTATGGGTTTTCATTGAATGTTTTTATGTCTCCCCAAACATATTCATGTATAGTTAAATACATGTGCATTTTGTAAAATGATTTTTTTTTTACATTTCTCAAACATTTAAGGTGATTTGTCAAAAAAAAAGAATATTTGTGATTTAAAAACCTTGCGTTATTTCGTTATTTTAGAGAAATACTTTTGTGTTTCTGTTAAATGTTTATGTCGTTGGGCCTCATGGGACCACCGAACTGGACTCAGAATCACTCCTGTTTTTTTTTTTAAAAGTTGATCAGTGAGTGTGTGTCCTGCTTTTAGAGAAGGACTTAAAGGAAAAGCTAGTAGAGCAGATCCTCTTTTGTAAGGCAGCACTGATGTGAAACCAAGCAGGACACAGTCCCAGTGATGGTCTGAGATCACAGGTTCTTACACACACACACACACACACACACACACACACACACACACATACACAGGAGAGAAATCGGTTTGATTATTGATGGCCCTCTTATCGCGTCTGGGAGATCTGCTGCATGAACTCAGGTTTACTCAAACTAAACACCTCCTTATAATAAAAGCTGTCAAACTAATTTCTTTTGCAAAGATTCAAACCTAGAAACCCTAGAATATATTCCTTGTAAAAAATTTAAACTTCTTTGTATAATGGATACTTTTGTCATACTCAAAAGTGATGCAATTCTGGTACCTCCATTGTCTTAATTACTGTAAATTGTTCGTTTATGAGTTAATCCATTCCTCTCACCTAGTTCAACATCCTCCTGTTTGATTTTTATATCTGCAAACTGAATTTTCACATTCTTTGACCTTTTACCTATTTGTTTATTTATTTATTTATTTTAGGGCTGTCAGGGCTAATATGTTAATTGTGATGTTAATGAGATGTCAGTTACTTTGTTACTCCATAATCATATGCTAATTTGTTCCTTTCAGCACACCGTAGTCAAGGTGCTGTAGGGTCTTCTTGCTTTTTGCTGCTGCCTCAGTGGAAAAAAAAACACCCCTGCTGTTTGCTCTTTAATGACACACCTCGCTTAAAAAAATTAATGAATACATAAAAAACAGAACAGCTCAGTTTTAAGTCCACAATAATCTGCACTTTGCATTAAACGGAATAAAATCTCACTGACATTATCTCTTCTTGAAGTTTGAGCTTCTGAGGTAGACCCTAATAAATTAATCATGTCAGAATAAAAAGAATTTCACTGGTTTCACAGGGGGATACTAGCCCCTCGGCTGCTCATTTTACAAAGCACTGTAAGGGTTGTTTGAAATTGTTATGGACCTAAAGCATTTGAAAGTGAGAAAAAAAATGTAATGTGCAATTTAGACCGTGATTTATTATGAAAAAAGAATATTCTAACAATGCTTTTATATTATTATTATTAATATTATTATTATTATTATTATTATTATTATTAATAATATTATTGCCTTTCAGGAGCTGCAGGAAGTTTATGTGAAAACAGGCAGGTCGTGAAAAATAGAAGTAAAAAAACTGCGGTAAAAAACTGGTGTCCACCAGAGGCTCCTGAAGGGAGTCAGTCCCATAGACTGTATATAGAATGGACGCTGTCTGCCTCCTCGCTGGGTAAAGCCACCCCGGGAACAGCATCCTCTGGTGACGGGCTGCAGTATAGGTCATAAATCCCTCTTTCTTCAGCGATCCTTAAGGAGCTGTGGATAAACTTTAGAAAATAATTACACAGAGTATACATTTTTCTCCCCTCTGCTTGTGATGTGGAAATATAGTTATTGTAAAGGTCCTTACACACCGGGAGCGTTTTTTTTTCGTGTGATTATTTCTGATGTCAATATTTTTTTTCAAACCCGTAGCTTGTCAATACGAGCATTCACATCAGCGATGTTGTCCTGTCCTGCGATATTGTGGCATTTATTTTTTCATATCACGGTTGAATTTTCGAAAGTTTCATATACTGTGTGTCCACTTCTGACCAATCAGATTTCGTGTTGTTGTGACGTCAGATTCACTGGTACATCCAACGTGGCCGACCGGCTGATTGTTTACATGTCGGAGAACAGAGTGCTTTTTGATAAAAGACACAATCATTACAAAGATAATGACCTGAAGGACAACTTGTGGAGAGTCATAGCGTTGGATTTCTTATATGACGATGGTTTGTGTGCAAAACAGTTTGCTAAACGTCTTTGTTTTAACTTTCGTCCGTGCTAAGTAACTTTAGCTCGTAAGCTAACCTGTTCAGATACAACACACCATATGTATTTTCACTGTCTCAAACTCAATCGCGTTGCTGTCACAGCACCATTAGGTCTCGGTTGTTACCTTACGTTTATGGATTATAGTTTAATGTGCTTATCTGGTAGTGGCCCCAACTCAGTACATGCTATCATGACAGACAGCCATCTCAACATCAGAACTGAAAAACCGTCAGTCTGCTGTTGTGTCAGTCTTCTCGCTTCCACCAGGGATGCGTCTTTTTTCTCCCGGGAAAGTCACAAAATCACATCGCGCTTGATGTGAATGGTCAGGCGCGTCAAAATTCGCCTTAGAATATTCTGTAATTTCGCATCATATATTTGCGTAGTTCCTGGTGTGTAAGGACCTTAAGACTAGTTTGTTCTTAAGTCCCCTTTTTTCTGTGCAGCTCCATTTAAAAAAGTTATTAGGGGGTTCAGGTTTTCTATGATCGATACTTGATACAGCCTTTGGTCTTACAAAGTTTACATACCTCACCCTGGGGATACGCTGGTTGAGCCAAGCGTCATCGCACTGACTCTCCCCCTGGATGCGTAAAATGCTACTGCGCAAGTGGTGGTTCCAGGAAGTGCCGAAAATCCCGGAAATACCAAGAGCAATTTGGCTTCAACTTCGTATAATGATAGAAGGCGGAGCCTCTATGGTCAGTCCCCATAGAGTCCCAACTTTAGAGCCAACTTTACAGCCAGAACAGATAACTTTTATTTTTAAATTAATTTTATTTGATCAAGTATGTGTTTTGATAACGTTGCTCAGAGTTTTGTATAATTGGAGGAGTGGCGTCTTTGACTGACAGGTGGAAAGTGGCACCCTAGGCAGTTTGAAGAAGAAGAACAACAACAACAACAACTTTATTAATCCCAGAAGAAAAATTCAACAGGGGTGGAAACAGGGAACCTGACAAATGAGATGGCAGGCGTTCTGGAAGGTGGTTTGGGTTATCAAAACATTGGATCTTTCAGTAAAACAAGTTCACACAGTGTTTCAACTCGTGTTTAGAGATTGACACTCAGAGCTAACTGTACTTGACTTTATATTAACAACACCACATACTGTCTCATTTCAACAGTGCTGTGACCTTGACCTGAAGAAGACTATCCTCCTCTTCATCGCTGTCTCTGCACAAATCATTAGACCACCTTTAATCATACATATAATAGTTACAATAATAACTGTGATATAGAGTGTAAATGGGTTAATTAAAACAGGGTGTGCTCTTTAATGTGCCGCTGATTGAAAGCGAGACAGTGAGTACTCTACTATCAATCCTCAGAGGACTCTTCACTAATCCACACTCCAGCATGGACCCACACAGAAATCAGTGTGTGTTTTACATTCATACACACACATTAGACACACACTTGAACATTCACACACAGATTTACCTGCAGCAAGTAAACACTGATTCTACAGGTCAACACTAGTATTTATACTTACAGGTCTGGAGGAAGATCAGAGAGGCCCAGAACCTAAGGTGAAGTCCAGCCTGAAGTTTCCACAATCTGTGATGGTTTGTGGTGTCATGCCATCTGCTGTTTCTGGTCTGGGTTTTATTTAGTCCAGGGTCAATAAAGCCTCAATTTTACCAGGAGATTTCAGAGACCTTCATGCTTCTATCTGCTTACAAGCTTGAAGGTCCCTTCACACCTGGACCATTTTTATCGTGCGATTATTTTGGATGTCAATTTTTTTTTCGAGCCCGTATTCTGTTGATACAAGCGTTCACATCAGCGATGTTTTCCCGTCTTGCGATATTGCAGCATTTAATTATTTGGATTACGGTCGAATTATCTAAATTTTCGCATACTGTGTGTCCACTTCTGACCAATCAGATTGTGTGTTGTTGCGACGTCAGATTCACCGGAATATCCAACATGGCCGACCGGCTGATAGTTTACGAGAACAGATCTTCTCGCTTCCACCTGGGACGTGTCTTTTTCCCCCCCGGAAAGTCGCAAAATCGCATTGGGCTGGATGTGTATAGTCAGGCGCGTCAAAATTCACCTCTGAATATTTTGTAATTTCACGTCGTATATTTGCGTCAGTCCCAGTGTGTAAGGATCTTTATAGAGATACAGATTTCCTTTTTCCATCAGGACCTGGCACCTGGCCACAGTGCCAGATATACCAGTAACCATGGTCTGCTGACCATGATATTAGTGTGTTTGATTGTCCAGCCAACTTGCCTGAGCTGAACCCCCATTAAGAGTATCAGGAGTGTCATCAAGAGAAAGATGAGTAACACCAGAGCAACAATATGAATTGGTTGAAGAAGCTATCAGAAGATTACATGTTATCAAAATACAGAATGTGCCATCTTTAATTTGGATAGTTGACCAATCAGAGACAGAAGACCTGTAAGGGCCCAGTGAATAAAAGAGCAGTCTGAAATATCAAATCACTTTGTATAGAAATAGGAAAGATAAAACTGTTTGAATGGACTCATGACATTTATTTACCTTTTCTAGTGACTGTAGATCTATGCTCTTCCACCACTCTCAGGTGTGACTGAAACAGACATCACTGTGGCCCTAAAACACTGATGGGTTGGATAGAGACATCAGACTGAATAGATACACACCTGTACTGTACCTGGAGGAGACAGAGACATTATAATGTCATCAGCTGGTCACTAATAGAGCTGTCACATGATCACCTGACCAAACCAATCAGATGTATCTGTGAAAAAAAGGCTGACGCAGCACCGTTTGTTGAAGGGTAAAGTTTTCAATGGATCATCATCATAAAATGAACAGCATCATCATTAAAACCTTCACCATCACTATAATCATTATAACCTTCATCATCATTTTCATCATAATCAACATCAGTGTCATCATCACCTCCATCATCACCATCATCATCATCGTCATCATATTAACATCATCATCATCATTATCATCATCGTCACCATCATCATCATCGCCATCATATTAACATCATCATCATCATCATCATTATCATCATCATCATATTAACACCATTATCATGGCTGTCAGATGGATCACTCAAATAACTGACCTGTAATGGTTCTTGTCAAGGTATGTTAGTATAATGATCCACCATGCAATCTGTATGTGCATGTGTTTGTGTGCACACATGTTTGTGAGCGTGTGTGTGTGTGTGTGTGTGTGTGTGTGTGTGTGTGTGTGTGTGTGTGTGTGTGTGTGTGTGTGTGTGTGTGTGTGTGTGTGTGTGTGTGTGTGTGTTTGTGTGTCAGTGTTCTAAATCATCTGATGACCGAGGATGATATTATGCAGACAGTACAGACAACACTCAGAAAAGCTGAATTAAATGAGATAAAACCATTGATGTATAACAGAGACTGTGAATAAGACAGGTAAAAGAAACTATAGGGCATTAATTGCAAAGATCGCACATGAGATATTCATCAGCATAGATAGTATAAAATGTGTTACACCACTGGAGTGTGTACAAATAAGATATGATAGATGCAATGATATTTACCAATATGGTGCTATCAATGACTGGTCAAAACCTCTTAACAAATCATGCAGTAATAATGACTTGATGTAGCCAGGCCATTTGTTAGAAAGGTGGGTAAGTAAGCAGCAACCTCCAGCCTAAAGAAATAAAGCTGATGTAAGAGTTCATGGTTGCAGACACAGAAAAGCTCTGTGAGTGAGCTCACAGTTGGACCTCTTGTTGGACCTCCATATTTGTATGTACAGTAGAAAGTTGGATCTCTGGATTGAACTTTAAGAGTTCAATATTTGGACTTATGGTTTTGGATTCAATCCAGGTGTTCGATTGATGTAGTTTTGCCCATGCTCAGTTAGACCTCTATTAACACATACTCAGTTGGAAGTTTACCTCTTTGCTCTCAGCTGTCATCAAGTGATCGGTGTCTTAAATCTTACCTACATGCTAATTGTTTTTAGTGATGCTTCCACTTGAATAGTCAGAGAACTCAGTTGATATTATGAGTTGCAAAGTTTAGGATCAACCAATTTGAGTCATGTAGATCTTCAAGTGTCATTTAGACCAGTGGTTCTCAAGTCCAGTCCTCGAGGCCCACTGTCTTGCATGTTTTGGATGTTTCCCTGCTCCAACACACCTGATTCAAATGATCAGCTTGTTATCAAGCTCTGTAATGGCTTAATAATGAGCTGATCATTTGAATCAGGTGTGTTGGAGCAGGGAAACATCCAAAACATGCAGGACAGAGGGCCTCCAGGACTGGACCTGAGAACCACTGATTTAGACCACCATGTTTTAGTTTTAAAGAGGACATGAAACACTGACCAAAGTTATCATTATTTTTAAGAATGCCTCTCGACTTCACAAATCACTCTATTCATGACTCTCAAAACGTAACACATTTCTAGAAAACTGTGACAGAAGTTCCACTTTAGCGACACTGCGGGGAACCGTAAAGCAGTGCCACTTCTCTTGACGTCATCGGTTGTGTAGCCCTTGTATTGACTGAATTGAGATTGATTGAATGAGAGATGACCAGAATTTTTTATTTTCTATTACGTTTGTTTGTAACATTTGTTGCTTCTGCTGGTAAGACCAACTCATTTTCCAATAACAGCAGAGATCCAGTTTTGGTCTGAATAGCTCACGGCTCTCACAGCACCCACTGTACGGGGAATTAACGTCATTATAGCCTTTTAGTCTCCAAGATTTTGAAGTAATAAGATTGAAAAATCAGAATCATGGCTGACTTGACTGACAGGTGGGCACACTGTGGCTATATGCGTGACAAGGCTAAGGGCCAGCCTCTGAAAGGTTGACTAAAAGATACTTTGAGTTAGAATCATATGGCGACCTTCAGTAAATATATTTCATATTTTAATCTAACAAATGACTGTACAGGATGTTTTGGTCACACAGTGTATTGCAAAAGTACTCTCTACAGTTACAGAGATTGATGCACCTATAGAATGTCATATGCAGTCTTTTTGTACTTATCTGTAGTACTACCCGTAAGATCTAACATAAGATATTAACTCAGACTGTTTAAGATGTATAATAAAGAAAAAAGGCAGCACATTGAACTCAAAGTGATGGACCAGTGTGCTGTGAGGCTAAGCAGTGACAAATGTCAGAGCTGCACACATCTGCTGTCAGGTAACAGCAGTCATATCCTGTTCACATCTTGTTGTTAACAACTTTGTGGATCCAATCGACCTTACAAACTTGCATCCTCTACCTCAGGGTTGGGCAGGTTATTCAGAGTGATGAATCAAACCTCTCTCTCGGTAATCTGTTTGGTCTTTCACTCTATTTTGGGGTATTTATCCTTCCGTCAAAGAACGGAGTTTATTGCTTTGGCATTATAACCTCTTCTCTTCAGTGAATGCATAATATTCTGTCGGATCTGTAGTTTTTACACGATACATTAATTTGGTAGCTTTGAACGCAGTGCTACTGCGACTGCCTTGTAAGAGGGCTGTGTCGCATATGTTACAAGTGACTGTTGGTCTGTTTCTACTTCCTAATCTAAAATATGTCCACACTATTGAGTTTAGACATGGGGTTGATAATGCTGAATTAGGCATGTTCACACTGCAGGTCAAGTCTGATTTTTTAACCACATGTGACTCATATCTGATTTTTTCATGTAAGTGTGAACAGTGCAATTCTGATTTTTTCAAATCCGACCCAGGCCTTTTCTGTATGTGGATATAAATCGGATATGTGTCTGAAGTGACTGCTGTGTGGAAGCTCAGGTCGCATTCATCCGACCTATATGTCATCCATATACGACAAACGTCACTATTGTTCGACAACACAAACAGGCGCAGAAAGCAATTTGTGCTTTGTGCGCATGCGGGTCACTTCACAGACTTCATTGTTGTAATGTGAACAACTGCACAATGACATTGGATTTAACAAAAAATCCGAATTGTGCATCATAACGTGCAGTGTGAACGTAGCCTTAGTAACTCTTATAATCTGTCTCAAATTGTGGACAGTTTAGACCAGCTGCTGTGGATGGTAAGAGTGAGAGGGTTGACACCAATTGCTGACTCTTAATCAGTTAGAAAAAAAACAAAACAGAAAAGAAAATAGTTCTAATACGATTTTTTAGATCCATGTTAGGCCTTTTTTCTTCTTGTTTTATTTGGAACCATTAATTATGCCCCAAAAAAGGAACCTGTGAAGACATTTGTTGCTGCTTTCAATAATGCACATTCGAGCTTGCCCTCAATTAAAAAAAAAAAAAAAAACGTTTCCAAAAGTTAAACTTTTATTTTTTATTATTATTATTATTATTATTATTATTATTATTATTATTATTATTATTATTATTATATTTTTTATTTGTTTTTATATTTATTTCTTTTTTTAAACTTGCCCTCATTTTCAAGAAAAAACGTTTCCGCGAGTTAAACTTTTATTTATTATTATTATTATTATTATTACTGTCACTGTCATCATCACCATTATTATTATTATTATTATTATTATTGTTATTATTATCATCATTATTTATTTATTTCTAGTTTTATTTTTTTAAATTTTTTTTAGCTTGCCCTCATTTTGAAGACAAAAAAGTTTCCACAAATAAAACTTTTATTATTATTTTTATTTTATTATTATGATTTTTATTTATTTATTTAATTATTATTTTTATTTTTTTTTGGGGGGGGGGGGGGGGGGTCAAATGTCCTTAACTCACTGTCTGCCACAGATAATCTAGGTTAAACGTTTAGGTGAAAACAAAAACTTTCATAATTTAGGGGGGGTTACATGCCTCTTACAGTATTAATTATAGATTTACTTGCCTGTCGGTAATTTACAGTAATTAATATTTTAATGACATACATTAATTCAGAGTTAGCCATGCTATAACCTTGTTAGAAAGAGACAAAATACAGAATAAAGCAGTATTAATATATCTCACCCCCCTCCACGGTCCCCGAGTGGAACAGTCTAAGGCGCGCTCAGTGATTTGGCGCCCGTGTCCCCGGCTGGTATACTGTAAGCAGCTGCAGTAACACTCACTCTACGAGCTTCGTGAGCTTTTTGTGAACATTAAACCGATGAGTTTTTCGGACAGTCATGTCTGAAGAGGAGAGCAAGGTGTCCGATGAACTCTTTAAAGACGTCAAATTCTACCTGGTGGGGGACATCGACCAAAAGGTGAGCCTTAGGACCTTAGCTTCCTCCAGCTAGCTAAGAAGCATGCTAACCCGCTAACGCCAGTCAGTGTGAATGAGGAGGAGGAGGAGGAGCACTGAAAGCTAACAGTGTGTTTGAAACTTCGGCTCACTCCCAGGCTGGCGTGTAGCTCAAGTTTACATGTCAGAGTTTAGATGAACGTGTTAATGCTGCGTGACTGTGATCCCTTTGCGCTCTCTTCTCCTATGTTTTGACATTAGCTGCACAGATGTTAGCTGTTAGCGGTTAGCTCGAAGCCTTCGGTTTATGCTGTGGTGCCATTAGCGCTAAAGCTTTTAGTGAAGCTCCTTTTACCCAAAACAGAGGCCCCGTTGGGCTGTTGTTGTTTAAACTTAGTACTGATGGACTAGATTATGTATGTTGTTATTCTGCATCAACCTGTGACCATCAACACCCTCCTGACCTGCCCAGAGCGCATGCGCCATCGCTACTGTGGACCTGTAGCTCACAGCTGCACGTCCTGACAGATCATCTCTCTCTCTGTCTCGCTCTCTCTCTCTCTTTCTCTGTCTCTCTCTCTCGCTATGTTTCTCTCTCTCCCACCCTCCCCTCTCTCTCTCCTCCCCTCTTTCTTCCTCTCTCTCTCTTCCTCTTTTTCTCTCTTGCCCCCCTCTTTCTATTTCCCTCTATTTCACCCTCTCTCTTAGTCTCTCTCTCTCCCCTCCCTTTCTCTCTCCCTCCCCCTCTTTCTCCCCCCCCCTCTCCCTCTCTCTCTCTCCTCCTTTCTCTCTCTCTTTCTCTCAATCTCTCTCTCTCTCTCTTTCTCTCTCTCTCCCTCTCTTTCGCTCTCTCCTCCTCTCTCTCTCTCTTTCTCTCTCTCTCCCTCTCTTTCTCCATCTACAGTATACTGTAGATATATGGAAGTAAAACCGAATCTTATTCTCCGCATTTCATTTCTAAGAAAATCAGCAAGTTTTGGCCGATCACTGATTAATCTCAAATGGGCTAAAATTGGCCGATCTAAGGTCCTTTCACATTGGGAGCGTTTATTTCGTCCGATTTTTTTCAGATGTCAATATTTTTTTTGAACCCGTATCCTGTCAATACAAGCGTTCACATCAGCGACATTTTCCTGTCCTGCGATATTGCGGCATTTATTTTTTCGGATCATGGTCGATTTTTCTAAAATTTCTGATACTGTGTGTCCACTTCTGAGCAATCAGATTGCGTGTTGTTGCGACGTCTGATTCACCGGTATATCCAACATGGCCGACCGGCTGATTGTTTACGTGTCGGAGAACAGAGTGCTTTTTGATAAAAGACACAAACATTACAAAGATAACGACCTGACGGACAACTTGTGGAGAGTCATAGCGTCTGATTTCTCATATGACGATGTTTCGTGTGCTTTAACAGTTTGCTAAACGTCTTTCATCTGTGCTAACGTAAGCTAACGGTTGTTACCATAGTTTCATGTTCTTATCTTATCGCCTCTGATTGGCTATAGGTGCTGACCGTTCGGCTTAAGCGTGTGATGACGTTTCCAGCTTTTCAAGCCAATCAGAGGCGAAGGAGGCAGGACTTCCCCCGGAAAAGTCTTCCCCAGGACGCATCTTTTCGCCCCTGGAAAGTCGCAAAATTGCATTGAGCTTGATGTGTATAGTCAGGCGCGTCAAAATTTGCCTCTGAATATTTCGTGATTCCGCGTTCTATATTCTTTTCGGCCCCGGTGTGTAAGGACCTTAAATTGGCTTGCCGATACATCGGTCGGGCCCTAGTCGATATGTCTAATGTGTGTATTACGCTTTGGCTGATCGTCACTCATCATCCTCCAGTCCTGCTAGTACAGGAGTCAGTTTTTTTTTTACTGTCACCGTCTTTCTGTGGTAGAAGTAGAAGCAGGCAGATACTGGCTAACCCTAATCCTGTCAGTCTTTTTTCAATCACAGTATGTGGTTACATTTATATTGACCTGAAAAATAAGAGATAAAGAGGCTGTCCTCCAAATGTTGTTCTTTAATAGAAAGGTACGGTGGCCGAGAATCGCCACTGCTTTTTTTCCATTGCCACTATTTTTTTGCATCGTTAACTTCCATTGTGTTTTTAAATTTTTTTTATCTGCACCGTTTCTTTTTATTTGCAGCGGGTTTCAGTTTCTTTTCTTCCGTTGTGGCTTCTTTTTTATTTGCAGCGGTGACGGTTCTCGGCCACCGTAGAAAGGATTAGGCTGTTTGCTGGATAAGGACCTGAACACATCACACCATTACACGATCTTTCAAGTTCTACAAAGTGTGTCACTAACTCTGAATCATGGAACAACAATCCTGTCTGTCAAAACAATCAAAATATGATCATTATTGTGCAGCTCTGGAGTAAACCGAGTCTTCAGGGTGGTTCAGGATGATGAAGTTGTTATATTAGAGACACACAGAAATCTCTTACACCGCTGCTTTTCATCTGTCTGGCTGCGTCTGGCTGGTCTTTACATTCACAGCAGAGAGGTGTCCTGGACATAAGTGGACGATGATAGGTTGACATCTGCTTGTGTTCCAGGTGGTGCAGCTGTTGAAAGCAGGTAAGGGGAAAGAGGTGTCCTATAATGCTCTGGCCACTCACATTATCGCAGAGGATGGGGACAACCCTGAGGTGGGCGAGTCCAGGGAGGTGTTCGACCTGCCTGTGGTCAAGGTAAGATCTGAACTAAGTGTGTTCACGGCTGAACCCCACCTGATAGTAGACAGTTTCTCTCTGTACAGCCAACAGCTTTTGTAACCTATCATTTACCTACATGTGCTACTTAAGTACAGCATATAGTATATGGTCATTCTGTGGGTCAGTCAGCGATGGTTAATCCACATTAAAGTGGTGGAAACAAATATCCACTATGAACCAGCCTGTGTGTTCTCTGTCTGCAGCCATCCTGGGTCATCCTTTCCGTCAGGTGTGGAGATCTGTTACCGTATCCTTGAAACAACAAAATAGTTCCAGAAAATGTCACTTGTTATTGTTGTAATTGTAGAAAAATTATACAATGCTGATAGATCAGATATAAAATGACTGGAAGAGCAGTAGTTCTCTCAGCTAAATCTTCCTTTACAAAAACACCTCAGGGTAACCGGATTCTCCCCAGAGCCAGGACAGATATTCTTTGGTGTGACAGCATGTCTTCCCAGGGTAAGTCTGTGTGCGTTTGTGTTAATACTGTGTCATTTTGAAGGTGTCTGCTCATCATCAAAGAACTATTTCTGTACAAGACATATCTTAAAACTACAGTGGCCAACAAGGCCACTGTAGGAGAGGATCTGCAACAGCTTGAATGTCTTTTTGTTCGCAGAAATGTGCTGCAGATGCTCAAATAATGCTAAATTAAAAACAGAATTCATTCAGAAGTCCAAAACAAAGATTACGGCCAAAACTGGAGGAAACACAGACAATGTGAAATCAGTGACACACAAAATCAGCAGCAGTTGGAAAAGACAAATGCTCCAAATCAAGACTTTTAAATGAATGTGCTCCGGGCCTGTGGGGTCAAACAAGTTTCTTATTGAAGAGGGAGAGCAGACACTTGATTTAAAATGAATGTAGCCAGGGTCAGGACACATGTTCTCATGTCTACTCAGCCAAAACAGGACAGTTTAAACGTGTAAATAAAACTGGATCAACTTTATTGAGACATGTTTTCTAATGGATGGAAATCTTTGCTTCAGTAACCACAAAGTGTAGTGCACCTCAGTTAACCATACCGCTAATGATGCTTTAAGAAACCTGGTGTCAAGCTCTACGTTCAGGAGCGCGTTGGTATTTACAACCACTGGAGCTCCAGACCACGTGGAGTCTGAGAGCCAAATAATTTTCCCCTCTACATTTATCAGACAAAACATTTACTCAAGGTCAGCAAGTTTTTTGTTTGTTTGTTTGTTTGTTTGTTTTCTCATTTATCAGTACTACTAATGTTTTATAGAAATCACATTTTCATACTGTGATATTGTGATTATGTATCGGCTATTTGCTGTTCTGTTATCTCATAATCTGTATCGGCATTTAAAAAACTGCTATCTCGTGCGTTAAGAGAAGTTTGAGTTTTGACATCCCCACCATGTCTTTGCCACAACCGGCGTCTGAGCTCAGGCCAGATTCTCCTGGTGACGGTAATTTTAGGGTTACTCGCTGATATCAGACTGTGCTGCTTGCTCATCTGACCAACAAGTTCGGGTCTGGTCTTTTCTTCCGTTATGTCAACAGTAAAGCTGACTGAATGGAGCCCCTCTGTTTAAAGTCTTGATTTTCAGTGTTGACATTTTGCAGTTGTGCTGGGATTCTAAGTGCTTTTGACATTTCATCATTTGTGTTTTTGCTCCTTATCTGCAGCACATTCTGTGTTCAGTTTGATTTGGACTTCTACTCGTGTTTTTGAATTTCCATTGCTTGAGCATTTGCAGCTTGTTTCTTCGAATGACAATCAATGACACTGTTACAGTTCCTCTGCCCTTTATTGGCTGCCATTTCTCCTTCAGTTCGTGTCACCTGAAGAAGATGCAGCTCCGGTCAATAAGGGATCTCTGCTCACCTGTGGGACCCCATCTGAAAAGCTCATTGTTATTCCCTGTGTTTGTGTAAACAGCTTCCAGATGACCTGAACACGTTGTGGGCGTATGTGACCTACTATGGAGGAGATTGTCAGCTGAACCTCAACAAGAAGGTCACGCACTTAGTGGCGAAGGAGCCAAAGGGGGTGAGTTCATTCTGTGTGGACCTGGTGTTCTGATTATTTCTGGTCTCATGCTGGTCTCTGATACTTCACTCAAACAGCTGATGAAAGCGAAACTCAATTTCTGACCGTCCTAATCACACAGCGGGATTTTGTTTGTTTCTCTTCAGGCGAAGTTTGAGTGTGCTCTGAAGAACCCCAACATCAAGATTGTCACCCCAGACTGGATCACAGACTCTGTGAAAGGTCAGTCCTTTATCTTGAGTTTCAGTTTGGTTAAGTAGGTGAAGCAGATCCTTGACATGTCACAGCTGATGTAGTGCGACAATAACTAAATCGGGTTATAATGGAAGCTTGACTTGTCTGTTTTTTCAGAATATTTGTCAGTGAAGAACATTTTTGTAATTGAATTTTATTTCAGTTAGTTTTGTCAACACGTAATCCTTTTTCAGTGAGTTACCATTTCTCCATAAAACCTCATTTGTTTATAAAAAAACAAAAAAAAATTGCCATTCTTGTTTTTGTTAGATTTTTCTTTATGCCTATAACTTTGATTCACACTCACTCAGACACACACAGATTGCTGTTCTGCCCTGTGTTCTCTGTAGGCTCACTTCCACATCATCTGGCCCTAGCAATGCCCCCCTAGTCTAGATGCTGACACCCCCTTCTCACACCATCACTCTAATGTCACAATCACACCCAGCGAAATAAATTCTACTCGCTCAATTCCCGCGTATCTCATGCGAATGTTGGGTATCTATTCGCTTGTTTCATGAGATTGAGTCCCTTAATTCATGTGTCTGCAGAGAGCCCAAACACATAGAGAGAAATAGAGGAGGGGTTCCTACATATTAATACAATACAGTTATATAAGACAAGAACTTTATTTATCCTCTAAGGGAAAGGGAAATGTTCAAGATCAGTTATTGATTATGAGTTGAAAAATGTTGATTTTTCTCCTGACTTGAACAATACCAGATGCTTTTCCCCCTGGAAATCACATATTTTCAACAACAACACTGTAAGTGATTTAATTACCATACTGTGTGACTACAACATAGAGGCATCCAAAGGGCTTAATATGCAAAATATGTAGCTAATAACATAATGATCTCTGCAGATACAGTCGTACAAAGCAAGGTTCAAACTACTGAACCTTGAATGCTGCAAAAAAAGGAAAATATTTCTTGGTGTCCAGTTTTCTGCATACTTGTTCTTCTTGAGAACAATAAGGACGTCCATGACCAGTTCAAAAAATCAGTCCAGTGGCAGAAAACACGCGGATATTGCTGGTACGCAGGTTTGAGCGGCTTCTGCCAATCTGTTAAAACTGTCTACCCTTAACATTTCACCAGCCTGACTATTTAGTATCTAAAGATGGAGTTATGGCCTGTTCAAATTCTCAGGACTCAGTGGTGGCTGTGGTGCTTGTCAGAATGAGGTTGTGGAGCATTCATCTGTAGGCTTGTGTGTAAGTCCAAATAAACCCTGCCTCATGAGCTGGGTGAGGTTCATGTAAACATAAAATCAGAAACACTCTCTGCTCAGGGTGAACTGAGAGGAAGGGAAATAACTGGGTTGATGTAGAAACAGAGGGACTAATAATCTGTCTTTGATCAGACTTCAGCTGGTGACTCAGTTTTCCTCTTTAACAGACAAAAGCAGGAAGGATGAGGCACTCTATCACCCCAGACTCACCTATGTCGAGCCCGAGGAGGAGGAGGAGAGCGAGGCGGAGTCCTATGAACACTCAGAAGGAAGCTACAGCCCCCGGCGGTCACGGCCGTCCAGTGGGGACTCGTCCGGCGAGGAGTCTAGCCCACGGAGGAGACCGGGACCTAAAAAACTGAATTCCCTCTCCCCATCCTCCCCACGTAAACCTGAGCGCCGCAGTGAGCGCATGTTTGACGATTCTGATGACGACTCACCCGCAGAGAAGGAGGGAACTAACCTCAACTGGACCCCTGCAGAAGTCACCACTCCCACCCCACCTGTTCCCACAGGTACAGCCAGGAGGCGGGCAGGACCCCCTGGCACCAAGGACCCAGTGCCATCCTCAGGAAGTGGACTGATAAACCTGTGTGCCACTGTGCCTCCTGTACCAGGCAGCGGAGGAAACATGGCTGCAGAGGCTCGGGCTGCTGCTGCTGTCAGTCACAGTGCACAGCAAGGTTAGTGTGAGAAGAAAGAACTAATCCACAACACAAAGTGGATTTGGAAGAGTTATAAGGTCCTTTCACACCGGGACCGTTTTTGTCATGCCATTATTTCGGAAGTCAATATTTTTTTTCGAACCCGTATCCTGTCAATACAAGCGTTCACATCAGCAACGTTTTCCCATCCTGTGATATTGCAGCATTTATTTTTTCGGATCATGGTCGATTTTTCTAAAGTTTCGCAAACTGTGTTTCCACTTCTGACCAATCAGATTGAGTGTCGTTGTATCGTCAGATTCACCGGTATATCCAACATGGCCGACCGGCTGATAGTTTACGTGTCGGAGATCAGAGTGCTTTTTGAGAAAAGACACATTACAGACAACATTACAAAGATAACGACCTGAAGGACAACTTGTGGAGAGTCATAGCGTCGGATCTCTCATATGACGATGGTTTGTGTGCTTTAACAGTTTGCTAAACATCTTTGTTTTAACTTTCATCTGTGCTAATGTAAGCTAACGGTTGTTACCATAGTTTCATGTGCTTATTTTATTGCCTCTGATTGGCTATAAGTGCTGACCATTAGGCTTGGGCATGTGATGATGTTTCCAGCTTTTGTAGCCAATCAGAGGTGAAGGAGTCGGGACTTTCCCCCGGAATAGTCTTCCCCAGGATGCATCTTTTTCCCCCGGAAAGTCGCAAAATCGGATTGGGCTTGATGTGTATAGTCAGGCGCATCAAAATTCGCCTCCGAATATTTAGTGATTTTGCGTTCTATATTCGTGTTGGCCCCGGTGTGTAAGGACCTTTAGTCCAAGTGTTGTTCAAAACAGAATGAAATGGTTTTCAAATAATTTCAAGACCTTTTTTAACTGAAAGTGCACAACAACAGACCAGAAGATAAAACTGAAAAATAGGCAAATTAAATTTGAATTTCACCTTAGTAACATGTTTGTAAAAAGTACTTCCAGGCTCGTGTTCATGTCAGTGTGCTTCATCAGTAGGGCCGGGACGATAGGCTTTTCTCCCGATCCGATTCTTCTACGATTTTTTGGATGCTGATTCGGTTTAAATTTTGATTCTACAATATTGTCGATTTTCTAGATTTTTAGTCTGCATTTTTAACACCAGCGAAACAGTTGAACGACTATAATCGCCCACTGACTATTCCAGGAACCATATTTCCTCAAAGAATACACATCACGTTAGTCAGCTGTTAAGACTTAGGCTGTGTCCGAAATGGATCCCTAACCCCTAGAAAGGCGACTACATGGGGGTTGGCGCCATTTTGAGGGGTGTCCGAAACCTCAGTGATCAATTCCAATGCCCCATATAGGTGACTCAAAATTTCCAATAAAGCATTGCAAAATGTAGTGACCATCCGATGGTCACTCACCGGTGGTGGGCATCCCGTCATGCATTGTGTCTCCAGCGGAAGATGAGAAAGAGACAAAACCCGAGCTCTATTTGCCATTTTCAGCATACATTTCTTATCTTCACATTCTCACTTCACTCGCAAGTGATTCGTACAGTTTTTGAAAAACAATTGTTTGCTGCGTCATATAGTCTTGTGCACAATATGATGCAGCAAACAATATTCGGCATGGAAATATAAGGCCTTTCAAATAAATTATTATTTCATTGTTTTTTTTTATCTTTTTATTTATTATTATTGTTTTTATTTCCCGAACATCCTAGAAAAAAAACAAACATCTATACAGCATCATAAAATTCTCGAGATGTGAAAACATCAGCTGCAACTTCAGATGCGGCAGTCTGAGCAGTGACGTCACAGCAGTGCGCCATGTAGTGTCCGAAACCTCCGGTCATTTAGCTCACTACATAGTCAGCTATATAGTGAAACCCCATATGGGGGTTAGGGGTTAGGGATTGAGTGATTCATTTCGGACACAGCCTTATTCTTAAATTTGTTATCAAGCTCTGTAATGACTTAATAACGAGCTAATCATTTGAATCAGGTGTGTTGGAGCAGGGAAACATCCAAAACATGCAGGACAGTGGGCCTCGAGGACTGGACTTGAGAACCACTATGTTAGAATTACACAGTTTTTTTAATCAGTTTGGCTGTTCATCCAACAATTTTTTTGAAACGTGTTTTCCAAACACTTGAATGACCAAAACTCTGTTTTTGTCATCATTTTACACAGCTTCCCAACTTTTCAGGAATTGAGGTGTCTTTAGTAAACTGCCACACAATCACTCAGTTCACCTGAAATACATTTATGTAAGAACTCTGATTGGTGTTAATTGATGAGCTCAATGTCCCGCTGCTAAAGTTGCGTCCTCTCTCTGCTGTTCAGGTGTTCCAGGTCCAGATGGCCTCGCTGGATGGAGTCCTGCAGCTAGAACTCTCCGAAACATCACCAACAGCTCAGACATGCAGCCAACCAGCCGCCCTGCAAACGCAGCACATGTAAGAGAGCAGAGCAGGTCAAATGACCACTTCTTCCTTTCTGCTGTCTGGGTGCACCTGACATCTCTGACAACATTATGTTGCTGAACTTTAACTTGAATTAAAAAGGACATTTTGATCATTCATTAATTTTCTCTTCTTTTCTCCTCCTGCAGATACTCCAGAATCTCACAGCCAATCAGACAAAGCCACTCGAGCAGCAGACCAATCAGAGCCATGCCCAGACCCCTAACAGTACCAACCCCCTCCTCTTTTGTCAGCCCAAACCGGGTGGCCAGCCCCTTACAGCCGAGCAGCAGCAACAGTTACTGCAACAGCAACAGTCCCACCAGGCTGCTCAGCAACAACACCAACAGTTACCACAGCAACCACAACATCCCATGATGCACCTGCAACAACAGCAGCATCAAATGATGCAGCTTCATCATCAACAGCAGCAACATCAACAGCAACAGCCACAGGCGGCGCAACAACCAGGTTTCTCACAGCTGCCTCAACAGCAGCAACAGTTCCTGCAGCAGCAGCAAATGCACCAACAGCAGATGTTTTCCCAGCAGCAGCAACAACAGCAGCAGCAGCAGCAGCAGCATCCATTTCCCCAGCAGCAGTTGCGGCCCCAGCAACTCCTAAGGCCGGGTCTACAACAGCTTCAGCAACAACAGGTGCTGCAGCAACAGCTCCAGCAGTTTCAACAGCAGCAGCGCATGCAGATGTTACAACAACAGCAACAACAACAACATCAGAATCAGCAGCAGTTACACCAACAGCATCTACAGCAGCAGCAGCAGCAGCAGCAGCAACAACAACAGCAGCAACATTTTCTGCAACAACAACAACAACAGCACATGCAGCAGATGCAGCAGCAGCAGCTGCAAAACCAGCAGCAGCTGCAGAACCAACAGCAGCAGCAGCAGGTTCTGCAGCAGAACCAGCAGACCCTGCAGCAGCAGCAGCAGACAACACTACATCCTCAGATCCAGCAGACTCCACATATCTCCCAGCTGTTTGGACATGAGCCGGGACAAGACAGTGAGTATCAATCGACTCAGTCACTGCAGAATGGTTGATTTGATTTCGCTCACCTGTATAATGTCTTTGTTGCCGCATTCAGTTCCTCAGGATGGCTTCCTGCTGGGTTGTGTGTTTGCAATTGCTGATTACCCGGAACAGATGGCTGACAAACAGCTGCTGAGCACCTGGAAGAGGGTGAGACCTGCACTCTTATGCTCAGAGGAGCCTAAGCGTCACTCATGATGTAACATGATCAGAGCTTATCACATTTGACATGTCATGAACAAAAACAGCTGAGCATCAAATATAAACAAACTGATGACAAGGTGCACATGATCCCCCAGGTGATCCAGGCATGTGGAGGGGCTGTGGACCCCACCCTGACCAGCCGCTGCACACACCTGCTATGTGAGAGTCAGGTCAGCAACATGTATGTTCAGGTAAGTGAGCTAGACATCCAACAAAGGTAGAGGACATGTGCAGTGCAGTCTCCTGTTTGTGATCCTTGTAAGTGGAGGCAGAGGATCTATGCTGTGATGCACACATGGTGTATGCTCCTCCAACAGATTTATTATCTAATGCCATGATTCCCCTGGATCATCTGTAACCAGGTGCTTCTGTCTGTGTTCTTACCTATGACAGGCCCTCAGGGAGGGGAAACGCTGTGTGACGGCTCACTGGTTAAACACAGTTCTGAAGAGGAAGAGGATGATCCCTCCTCATCGGACTTTACATCTGCCCTTTGCCTTCCCACCCGGAGCTAAACCCTGTTCACAGCACGTATGTATACCTGTCACCATTTTGTACCGAGTCTCTGTAAAGATCATTCAAACTTTAAGCAACTTAAACATATCCCAGATGTAAGAGTTGTATGAACAGTGGATATAAAAAGTCTACACACCCCTGTTCAACTACCAGGTTTTCGTGATGTAAGAAAATGACAGCAAGAAATATTTTCACAACCTTTTCCACCGTTAATGTGACCTATAACCTGTACAATGCAATTGAAAAACAAACTGAAACCTTTAAGGAGCAAAAAAAAAAAATAGAAAAGTTAAAATAACCTGGTTGCATAAATATTCATAAATATTGATGTGGCAATATTTGCCCACTCTTCTATGCTAAACCGCTCCAAATCTGACAAATTGCGAGGGCATCTTCTGTGCACAGCCCTCTTCAGATCACCCCATAAATGTTTTTGATGGGATTCAGGTCTGGACTCTGGCTGGGCCATTCCAAAGTCTCAATCTTATTCCGGTGAAGCCATTCTTTTGTTGATTTAGATGTGTGCTTTGGGTCATTGTCGTGCTGAAAGATGAAGTTTCTCTTCATCTTCAGCTTTCTAACAGAAGGCTGAAGGTTTTGTGCCAACACTGACTGGTATTTGGAACTGTTCATAATTCCCTCCACCCTGACTAAGGCACCAGTTCCAGCTGAAGAAAAACAGCCCCAAAGCATGATGCTGCCACCACCATGCTTCACTGTGGGTATGGTGTTCTTTTGGTGATGAGCAGTGTTGATTTTGCGCCAAATATACCTTTTGCAATGATGCCCAAAAAGTTCAACTTTGGTTTCATCAGACCATAACACATTTTCCCACATGCGTTTGGGAGATTTCAGATGTCTTTTTGCAAAATTAAGCAGGGCTTTGATGTTTTTCTTTGTAAGATAAGGCTTCCATCTTACCACCCTACCCCATAGCCCAGACATATGAAGACAGCGGGAGATTGTTGTCACATGTACTACACAGCCAGTACTTGCCAGAAATTCCTGCAGCTCCTTCAGTGTTGCTGTCGGCCTCTTGGTAGCCTCCCTGACCAGTTTTCTTCTTGTCTTATCATCAATTTTGGACGGACGTCCTGTTCTTGGTAATGTCACCGTTGTGCCATATTTTCTCCACTTGATGATTACGGTCTTTACTGTGTTCCATGGTATATTTAATTCCTTGGAAATTCTTTTGTAGCCTCACCTGACTGATATCTTTGAATAATGAGATCCCTCTGATGCTTTGGAAGCTCTCTGTGGACCATGATTTGTGCTGGAAGATGTGGCTACAAAAACGTCAGGAAAAGCAACTAGAACAGCTGAACTTAATTTGGGGTTAATCAGAGGCACTTTAATTAGTGACAGGTGTGTGCTGACTCCAATTTAACCTAAGTTTGAATGTTATTGGTTAAATCTGAACACAGCCACATCCCCAGTTATTAAAGGGTGTGCACACTTATGCAACCACATGATCTCAGTTGTTTATTTTTACTTCACCTCCCTGAAAGATTTCTGTTTGTTTTTTAATTGTGTTATACAGGTTATAGGTCACATTAAAGGTGGAAGAAGTTGTGAAATTATTTATCTTGATGTAACTTTTTTACATGACAAAAACATGGCAGTTGAACAGGGGAGTGTAGACTTTTTATATCCACTGTATACCTGTCACCATTTTGTACCGAGTCTCTGTAAAAATCATTTAAACTTTAAGCAACTTAGACATATTCCAGATGTAAGAGTTGTATATAAGTGTGTATCAGCATGTTGTCATATCTTCTCTCTCTGTCTCAGATCATTTCGGTGACGGGGTTTGTGGATGCAGATAGAGATGACCTTAAGCTGATGGCTTACCTGGCTGGAGCAAGATACACCGGATACCTCTGTCGCAGTAACACTGTGCTCATCTGTAAAGAGTAAGGCCCTGATATCTACCAAATGCTGCTTCTGATGTTTTCACTGCCACTTTCTTGGTTGACTGATCTGTGGTTGTCCGTGCTCAGACCCGGCGGGATGAAGTACGAGAAGGCGAAGGAGTGGAAGATTCCGATTGTGAACGCTCAGTGGCTGTGTGACATCCTGCTGGGGAACTTTGAGGCTCTCAGACAGATCCAGCACAGCAGATACTCGAACTTCACCCTGCCAGAACCTCTGGTACCAAACCCCCAGCTGGTCCAGAACCTTCTTGGTATGCTTACTCATCATCTAGGATTAAAGACAGTCACCTGATATATAATAAAGAGAGTTTTATTCTACCCTTAAATACTTCAAACAATGTGGAGCTGAGGAGACAACACATTAAGAACACTTGAACCAGACGCTCAATAGTCCTTATTTTGATATAGACAGCTTTATTCTCACAACTGTATGATTTCATATGTGTTATAAATGTTTTCTATGTGTGATTTACATCTTTTGACCTAAAGTAACATCAGAGCTGAAGGGACAGCAGTGATTTATGGAGTCATGTAGTTTTACTGCTGAAGTATTGATTAGTTTAATGTCTTTTTCTCTGCAGCTGCGTGGAGATCTCCCATCAAAGTTTCTCCTGAATCTTTGGTGGTAAGTCTCGTCAGATTGTCTACCGTTTGTGGTGTCAGAAAAAAGATCAGGAATCGATCAGACATTAGTTAGTTGTTGATCAGCTGTCTCTGTTTGACTGATCCTGTGGCATGTTTGTGTGTGTGTGTTCAGAGTCTGCAGCTGCTGCACAAACAGAGGATCAGTGACTCCAACCAGCCTGCTAACAAGAAGGCCAGGTGAGTGACACACTGAGCTGGTACTGTACACGCTAGTTAAATATGGAGGAGGTTCAGAAGTGTCAAAATGTGGTTACACTGTTGATTCCTGTGGTTGGGCTGTTGTGGTAACCTCAGAAATAAAGTACAACAATATCAACAAGCCATTCACAGAGCATTGTAGGCTACTGAACAGCTACAGTTGTGATGTCAGTTTACCCCAACTCATGTTTGTGTCAGGACATTTTGGCTTAGAACCAAATGAAAAATGAGATTCAACTAATATAAGTGAGGTAAAATGTGAATTTAAGGCTGAAAAGATTCCCTAGCCTTCACCCGAGCCTCCAGATATAATACTGACATTGACCGACACAAACATCTTACAAACGCTGTCACACAGTGTGTGGATGAGGAGATGGAGGCGAAGAAACTGACATTCAGTCAGACAAGAAATACGAGTTTCACACAGAAAACAAACGGAGAAACCAAAAATCTAACATGAGCCACCTTCCTCTGTGCTGCTGCTCTACTGTCCTCTGCTGACTGATATCTGTTCATCTGTGTGTGTTTGTGTGTGTTAGACTAGAGGAGGTCCAGTCTCCCGGTAAGAAGCTCCCTCCAGAGTCCACTCCTCGAGTCATGTTCACAGGCTTTGAGCCCACACAGGTGCAGCAGTACACAAAGGTAAACACACACACACATACACACACACACTTAACCTAAACAGTAGGTGACACACTAGCAGCTTTTACATGGGCACAAATAATCAAAATAAATGCCCGATCAGAATGAAAAAGCGTCGTCCGGTCGAGAGGCATGGTATGCCGATCGTCATTTCGGAACGTGTCCATGTAAATACTTCTTCTGAACATGACCCTCTTACCTGACTCGATCTTCACTCTTTATTTATTGAGGTCAGTACAGTAGGTTTCATTTTTAACACTCTGGCATATAAAACACAACCACAGGTGCCACGCCTGCTCCTCCAAGAACATAACAAGGCATACCATCCATCCATCCATCCCTCCATTTTCTACCGCTTATTCCCGCTTATAGCCTGTCTCAGCATCTTCAGGCAAAGGCAGGGGACACCCTAGACAAGTCGCCAAGTCATCGCAGAAGGGCTGACATATAGAGACGAACAACCATCCACGCTCACATTCACACCTACGGGCAATTTGAAAGTGGCCAATTAACCTAACCCCACTTCTGCATATTTTTGGGATGTTCCCGGAGTAAACCCACGCAGACACAGGGAGAGTATGCAAACTCCACACAGAAACTACCTGAACCGGATTCGAACCGGATTGAATTTCTCTTAGGGGATTAATAAAGTTCTTCTTATCTTCTTGCTGTGAGGCGACAGGACTAACCACTACACCACTGTGTCGCCCCAAGAAGGCGTACATACAGGTTGATTATGTCACATCTGCCCACACAGCGCAACCTTTGACAGGACAGTAAAATAAATAAACAAGGGCGCCATCTAGTGACAACATTTAACAGGGGGGGGAAATCCTGAGTTGGATGAAGTGAGCCACTACCATGTTGGTTGGTTTGTTGACAGCACAGGCGTCAATACAACTCTTCTTCTGCTGTTGTTTTAGCGTACTCAGAGAACTCTGTGCATGTCCAAATGCTTCTAATCTGAATAAAACTCGGTGCATGTATACACACGTCATGATCAGCTGATAGTATGACTACAGCAAGTGTGAGTTCTTTACCCTCTGACTTAATGATGTTGACTCAGTGTTCAGACAGATGTAAGTAAACAGACTTGGCTCCAACACACACTGAAACCTCAGAGTCACTCATGTGATGCAGATCATTGAAGAGGTGTGTGTTTGTGTTTCTGACTGTGCGCCAGTGTTTCTCACTCTGTGTGTTTGTCGCTGCAGAGGTTGTACTCGCTGGGAGGGGAGGTGACGGACTGCATTCAGAAGGTGACTCACCTGGTGAGCAGTAAGGTGACTCGCACTGTGAAGTTCCTGACGGCCATGTCTGTGGTCAAACACATCGTGAGCCCCGAGTGGCTAGAGGAGAGCTGGAGGAGTCACAAGTTCATCGGTAAAGCTGTGTGTGTGTGTGTGTGTGTGTGTGTGTGTGTGTGTGTGTGTGTGTGTGTGTGTGTGTGTGTGTGTGTGTGTGTGTGTGTGTGTGTGTGAGAGTGTGTGTGCAGAGTAGTGTTTGTGTTTGTCAGATTCTGCAAAAAGTGTGAATCAAAGGAAAGTTCAAAGATTTGTTCTAAATGTATAAATGAGGGTATTTTATTTTAATCTAAAGGGGCTTTTATCACTGCTGAAAGATGTCAAATTTAGGACTTGTGTTTCTTAGGGCTCAGTTATGTAGAAAATAAAGTCCTGCACAGTTTAATGGTCACAGAACTCATATTTCCATGCACACTTTGCTTTGGAAAGGATGTTATGCAGTAAATCTGCTGGATGGTGCAGATAACACTGCGAAGTTACTATGAAGAATGCGGCGAAAAGGTAGAATAATACAAATACAAATACCAAGAATACCAAGAAGGAGAACACAAAGAAGAAGAAGGAGAATGCAGAGAATATGAAGAAGAAGAAGAAGGAGAATAGGAAGAAAAAGAATACGAAGAAGAAGACGGAGAATAGGAAGAAGAGGAATACGAAGAAGAATGCAAAGAAGAAAACGGAGAATAGGAGGAAGAAGAATATGAAAATGAAGAATACAAAGAACAATATGAAGAATACAAATAAGAATATGAAGAATATGAAAAGGAGGAATATTAAGACGAATACAAAGCATACGAAGAAGAAGAAGAATACGAAGAAGAATGCAAAGAAGAAAACGGAGAATAGGAAGAAGAATACAAAAATGAATACAAAGCATATGAAGAAGAATAGGAAGAAGAAGAATATGAAGAATAAAAAGTAAATACGGAGAAGAATACAAAGAATATGAAAAAGAAGAATCCAAAGAATAGGAAGAAGGATATGAAGAATACGAAGAAGAAAAATACAAAGTAGAAGAATACAAAGAATATGAAGAAGAATTCAAAGAAGAACTACTTCCCTTAAGTGTTTTTCATCGTCTATGGTCTGAATCACTGGCTTGACTGACCCCGTAGTTTCCAGTTGTGCTGCAGTGTATGGCCCATATCTTAAAGATTGCAGAAAATCTACAGAGTAAACTGAAGGCAGTGTACAAATGTGAGGCTCCATCTTTGTTTGTATGCATATCTGACATAAAGCATAAATTGGCCCTCATGCTGTGTTAACTTATGGGAGTGGGTGATAAAACTAGACTGTGATGAAACCTTCAAGATTCTTTTTTGATTATAGAACATGGATATGGGAAATGTGTAAGAGACACTGTTTTTGTTTCGCCGTGTTAAGTAAACTGAGGTCCAGCCGTTAGTGAGTGAGGATGAGAAGCTGCTAATGTAAAAATGAAATGGTGAACATCTGGGTAAATCAATTTTTATACAAACCCTTGATGATCAGAGTTGTGATGTGTAACCTTTTCTCACTGTGTGTGTTTGCAGATGAGCAGAATTTCACTCTAAGGGATGCAGAGGCAGAGGTTTTGTTCAGTTTCAGTCTGGAGGAGTCTTTAAAGAGAGCTCACAGTACCCCCCTCTTTAAGGTAAGGCCTGCACCTGGGGATAGGCCTGTCACGATAACAAATTTTGCTGGACGATAATTGTGCTACAAATTATTGCCGATAAACGATATTATTGGCACCGTTTTTTGAATTATAGAAAATGATAATATATGGCATAATAATGCTAGTACACCATGTCAAAAGTGATAAACTTTAATTTCCGCTGTCTGTCAGCGCGCACCATTTTGCGGTGTTTTGTTTATATTTGCTTTGCTTACCAAACGCTTCAGTAAGCGGTACCTGTCGGGACGATGGCTCCGCAGCACCTCCGGCGGTACTTTTTTTGCTCAGTTGGGAAAAATGGAGGGGATGATTGTGCTTGAGGTGCGCATGCATGTTCGTCGTATTCCCCTTCTTTGTCACCACAACTTTGGAACAAATACGACATATCGGCTCGTCCGTATTTGTGGGCTCACCTCTTTCATTTGGTTTAAAGCCGAAATATTCCCACACTTGGGCTGTTGCGTTCGATTTAGACACCAAAGCTGTCGTGTTCATTCTGTTTGCTTGCTTTTCACTCACGACGCTCACTTGCAGCACTGTATCCAAAAGTCTGTGTCTGTGTGCCTGTGCGCGCCAGCCCCCTCGTGACAAAGACACTGAATGACTGACAGGAGGGTTCACTAACTCCGTTCATTCCGCTATAGAGCCAACGCCCCCAGGTGCCGAGAAAAATGCGCAGAGTGAGACCTCTTCTCTCATGACAAAAAAAAAAAGAAAGCAGACTATAGGTTTCACCGTTAAATCAAAATGTTATTTAGTCTCTGATAACAGAAACAGATGTATGTCACCTTCAGTGAGGGTCAAAAATAATCAAACAAAAATGCTATTATTACAGCGTTTCTGGCATACATTGTGTTTAACTAAAGGGTGACCGTATTCTGAATCCCCAAAAAGAGGACACTACGCAGGGCTGACTTGTGTGCGGAATTCTTTTTTTTTTGAAAGGTTGAGTGTTTTATATGCGCTTTTAACTCCATTAAATTCATATTCTGAATTCCCAAAGACAGAAGTGCAAGCTGCGTCGCGTCGGTGGCTAAAGTGATTGGAGGGGCAGAGCTTCAGGGAGCATTGATGCGCTGCACTGTTTTATAATCAATGGATACATGTTCCTTGGGCATTTTAAAGATTTTATAAACTCCCCCGGACAGCCCCCCAAAAGAGGACATGTCAGGGTAAAAAAGGATGTATTGTAACACTAACATACATACCTTCAATGCCATGCTGAGACGGAGCAGCAGCGACTGACGAACTGGTGTTGTTAACAGGTGTTGTGCAGTAGAATGCACCCCTGCCGTAGAATGCATCCCCTGACGGGAGGGCAGTTGAAAGTACATAACAAGGCGAGTTTCTTTTACCATTGGATGGATTCAAAAGCGCCTGCCTTTAATAAGTACAAGTCCTCTGATTTTGAATATTTGCTGTCATGAAAATATAATGTTTATACACCCAAGTACACCTCTGTGTGCATTTTAGAGAGACATAAAAACAGAACGAAAATTTGCTGCTCAATTTGACATATTGTCATGATCCAATACTCATGTTTTTTTTTTTTTTTTACATATGATATAATTTTCTTCCACTTTAAGGAGCTAATGAGTGGATGGGATGCAGGGGCTGCATTCTCTTGCAGGGGTATGGGGTTCTATGGCATAACACCGGTGGAAAGCATTGAATACATGTGACTCCTTATATTTGATGCCGTGCCACGTTTGACAAATGTTTAAGTATGTTTCTGGCGTTTCCACCTTTGCATGTTATCACTGCTCGACAAATGTTACACTGTTGTCGTCTTTCTCAGTAAAATTAAGCCACTCTTTAGCTCGTTTCTGCCTACTTTTCATACCGCCTGCCATGTTGTTTTCTCTGTCTCTGTTCCCGTTCGCGTAGACTGGCACTCGCTAGAGTGTTTTTAAACGCACCCAGAAAAAAGGAATCATTAAGGGAATCGTTGAGATAAAATGTAAATGATGGATTGAACTATTTGGAACCTGTTCTCGATTCCTATCCCTACTCTGTTGAGATACAGAGGGTACCGATTCGACCCGAAACTGAAAAATGATGGAGTGAGAGGAGGGAGGACAGGTCATCCTGAATTATTTCTCTCCAAACCTGATGTTATTTAATCTGTGCATTGTCACTCTGTTTATGTATGTTTTTATTCACACCAAGACATGTTTTTGATCTCCATGTTAATGGATGCAAAGGGTGAAAGAGATCACAAAAGACAAAATATTTCTTCTGCAATGATCTTATTCAATAATCAACAGCTTACCTGCTGCCAGTGGGATTCATGACAACTTTTAAAAAAACTTTTTTAATGACCATAGAGAGCTTTGAAGTTACCTCTTAGACTTAGGTTTTCACATCCAAATAAAAGCACTATGTAAAAACAAGGGAGTGTCTGCTCAGAAGAAACAGATCTGGGTTTTGGTCAGAAAATCGTTCACTGAGTACGATCACAGTATATTTATTTATAGATGGAGTATATTTTGGAGTGACGGATGGTGCAGACTTGATACAGCTCTCAGTTTATCTTTTTTCGGTCTGTTTTTTTGGCTGAAATCTCACACTGGTGGCATGAGCAGCAAATCTCTGAACTGTCTGGTATCAAAAGTCAAGTGTTCAAATGTGTCACACAGTCAGCATGATCCTACATGCGGGCCCCTGTTAGGGTTTGCTGTTGAAAGGCGATACACACAAGATCAGGTTTATTGGTCAGCATCATTAGCCTGTTTTAAATATACTAAGTCTTTGTGCGTCTTACCTGCAGGGGAAGCTCTTCTACTTGACCCCGGGCGTGTGTCCCAGTCTGAGCACCATGAAGTCCATCCTGGAAAGTGCTGGAGGAAAGCTGCTGTCCAAACAGCCTTCATACAGGAAGATCATGGAGCACAAGCAGAACAAGGTCCTGGAAAGTCCTGGAATCACCTTTTTTTAAAATATAAATAACATCTGATTTTTATGATTGTTTTGAGATCAAATAAGTAGGGCCTAATATGGACCGATATAGATTTTTTGGGGCCAATACCGATTATTATGGGGGAAAAAAATCCAATTACTGATTAATGGGCCGATTTTTAGCTTTGAGGTAGTCAGTGGATGAAGACTGTCATGAGGTCACTGCGCCATCTACAGGATAAGTCGGTGAACTTTTCAAAAGGTGGAACCATAGACTGTATTTCCTATGGACAACTTGGTTCTGCCTCCTGCCTGTATATGGATTTGAAGCCAAGAAGCTCTCTGTATTTCCAGGATTTTTCTTCATTTCCTGAAACCAGCGCTGCGCAGTAGCGATGCGCGCATTCGGCCGTGCAGTCACCAAGAGTTGCTGTGATGACGCTCGGCTCAAACAGCGTATCCCCCTGGGAGAGCTATGCAATCCCTGAACGCCAATAGGCTGTATCAGGTGTCAATCATTGAAAACATGAACCCCCTAATAACTTTTAAAAATGGAACTTCACAGAAAAAAGAGGACTTGAGCACAAACCAGTCTGACAATAACTACATGTCAACATCACAAGCAGGGGGGAGAAAAATGTATGTTCTGTGTTATAGATTTCTAAAGTTTGTCCACAGCTCCATAAGCTTTGCTGGCGGAGGCGGGATATATGATCTATACTACAGCCCGTCAACAGAGGATGCTGTTCTCAGAGTGGCTTCACCCAGCAAGGAGGCAGACTCTGTCCATTCTTTATACAGTCTATGGGCGGAACATTTTCAAAGTGAAACTGAATCTCCGCATTTTATTTCTGAAAATATCGGCGAAAAATCAGCAACTTTTGGCTGATTACAGATTAGTCTCAAACGGGCTAAAATTGGCCGATTTACCAGCTCCTCGATAAATCTGTCGGGTCTGACAAATAAATGTGAACCCAAGTCCTCCCAGCTGACGACACCCTCAAAATAAAATCCAATGTTAGGACGAACAAAATCGTCTAATCAGCTGTTTTTATTTTTATGTCTGTATTCCTGAAAACATGTTTGACTCTAATTGCAGAACCTCCCAGAGATCATTTTAATCTCCTGCGACAATGACCTACACCTGTGCAGAGAGTACTTCATGAAGAACATAGGTAACACACACACACACACACACACACTTAGAACCTGTGTTCTATATGAACTTGCAGCAGATGATGATGATGATGATGTTGTTTGTGTCTCTATTGTGTTCAGACGTCCACAATGCAGAGTTCATCCTGACCGGAGTCCTCACCCAGAAACTCAACTATGATTCATATCCTTTCAGCCAATCAGAGCTCAAGACAAACAGGAGCCCTGCGCTTACATGTAAAGAAAATATCACTACACAACATGATGTCAGCAGACAAAGTTAAGAGAGATCTCACTCCTCATCCACCGCGACTCTGGCTCAATAGCCTGGTGTTTGATTGGTGAAGATCCCACAGGTAGGAAGGGGACGGGGTCAGTACCCTATCAGTAAATCATCCAGAGTAGACTCCGATAACAGAGAAGCATTGAAGTAAGAACAAACTTTTGTTTTTCACTCAGTCACGCTGTGAGCAGAAGCCTCACTGATTTTCAAAGAAATCTCAGATATATACCTCCGTGTAGTTACTGCTTTGAACATATCTCAGAAGGTAATAATCTCCCAGGAGATAATAAGATGATGTACAAGAGGTATCATTGTAGAAAGAAATGTTTCAAAGCTTTTATTTCCATTTGAACAAAAAGTGGCATGTCCAAAATTATTTATACCCTTCTCAGTAATCAATAGAAAATCCTTTATTGGCTATTACAGCCATCAAGCGCTTCCTATAATTGCTGACCAGCTTTTTGCATGTCTCCACTGGTATTTTCGCCCGTTCATCCTTAGCGATGAGCTCCAACTCTTTCAGGTTGGAGGGCCTCCTTGCCATCACCCTGATCTTAAGCTCCCTCCACAGATTCTCTATTGGATTCAAGTCAGGACTCTGGCTGGGCCACTGCAAAGCGTTCATGTTTTTGTCTGCTAACCATTTCTTTACTACTTTTGCTGTGTGTTTTGGGTTGTTGTCGTGCTGAAATGTTCACTGGTTAGACCCTCCAGAAAAACGCACAAATCCTTGATCTTACGGGCTAAAATCCTTGATTTTGCAATTGAATATGCAGGGTTTTTAAATAATTTTATGTGGTTAAATTGCGAAAAGTTGCAAATTTTGCGACAAGTTGTGAATTATGCAAAGTTGCAAAGTATGCAGGGAAAAAAACAAACAAGATTATTCTCCAACTCCCTGTTACAAGGCTACTACTGACTGAAAAAGAGACATTTAAAAGACTATATGACAAACAAGCATACTAGAACCAAGTTACTTCACAGAAGTTTTTTTTTTTTATTGTAGCAACTTAAGCATGGCTTAAACATGGCCTTCTACCTGTGTGTGAAACATCAAAATTTAACAATAAGTTTCACAATCGGTCATAAAAAACATTAGCCTGGCTGGGCCATCCTGTTGCGTGAATCACTTGATGTTCCTTCCCACAACTGGGAAGGAACATCAAGTGATTCACGCAACAGGATGGCCCAGCCAGGCTAAAAAAACATGGTAGAACAGACAATCTGTTATGCTACAAAATTTTTAAATACACAAATGCAAAGCGCAAACTGACCATTGAATAGTTCAATAAACGTAGGTAACACAATACTGTATTGCTATGCAAAAAAAACAAAGTGCACATAATTTCGGACATGCTACTTTTCATTCAAATGTAAATAAAAGCTTTGAAATATTTCTTTCCACAATGATGCCGCTTGTACGTCATCTTATTATCTTCTAGGAGATGCCTGTGTCATTTCCAGTTAATAAAAAAACTTGCTGGTTGAATAAAAGTAACTTTAAGTAAAAATTTGCCAGGGGTATGAATAATTTTGGGCTTGACTGTGTATATATATTTGTGTGTGTGTGTTGTATATCATTAGTGGTTTTCTTTAACAGTCACACGTACAGGTTCACCTGATGGAGCAGCGTGATCATGATGAGACGAGGAGGAGGAGTGTACAGCTGTTTGCCTTTTCTATCTTCAGTGTTTTTGTAGCTTTTTGTAACCGGTTTGAATAAATAAATATTGAGATGGATAAGGTTATTTTTGTGAAATAAATGTTTAAATTAAGGAGGATTTTAACCTTTTTTTCCTGTCATTCACATAGAATGTGTTGGAGCTTCAGCTGCTTTTTGGAATTAAAAACTACAACTGTTTGTGACCCCGGTCTGCTCATTATGTCTCAGGCATTTATTTTGTAGAGCCGAGAAGGTGCTTTGTTCTGTATACAAATCTAGTATTTTGTAGTGCTGTCTTTGTCCAAGAAGAGTAAGAAGGAAAGAATGACATTACGTGTAACATAGTAAGAGGATAATTGATGACAAAAACTAGGCTGGACACAAAAGCTGAAAGAAAAAAACGGGTTAAGATGGAAATGATCCAACTAGACCATGACCTAGTAAACATGGGTGGGTCATCCTATGAAATCAGTGCCTTTTCAGCTTAGAAAATTAAAAATTTAAACTATATTTAATTGTTATTGTTGTTTTTAAGTAACCAGGAATCAAAGAATGTTTAAAATGGCAGGAAATGATATCATGCCATCTCAGGCTGTGTTATTTCATATTTTATAACCGTTTTTCTCCTGGCTGTTTTCATAATCTTGTCAACCCTGTTATCGACATAAACTTAACAAAATACAATATTTCTAATTAGAAATATGCAATATATGGTACATATGTTAGCAGTACTTAAGTCTCTCTTTCCATTGAGTTTATTTTATTTTGTGGATTTTTTTCTCCAATTAGATATTTGTCATTCAGATGATCAAATATACCCTAATTTTGCATGGCGATCACATCTCAACATATATCAGATATTTTTTAGAAGAGAAATGTTGCAAAATGGCCAAATCTAAAATATAATGTCATTTAAATTATAATGGTGAGTGTTGAAAGCCCATTTGAGTTGTCATTTTTTACATTTTTATCAAATTAATGACAACAACAGGATTGATGTCATGGTAACAGGGCTGACAAGAGTAAAAGTAACTGTCTCTCCACCGGCGTATCAATGAATCAGTCAATCAAAAAATAATTATCTCAATAATGTTCACCTGGTGACCTAAAAATGATTTAATTTTAAAAGGTTAACCTTTAAAGAGAGTACAATGAGGGTTAACACTATTCTATGTCATTCCTGTTACTCACATGTCAAATCCTGTTACTGTGGAAAGGTAACAGAGTTGACAGTAACAGGGTTGACAATTTTAAACTAATCTGCCTGTAGCTATCTTAAATAAATGCTAGCTAAAGTGCAAGCTAGGTACTTTGAAAGGTAATTACTTGTAGATATTGATTATATTTTGAGAAATAGAAAATTGTTTTGGTTTATATGTTAAAAGTGGTAACAGGGTTGATGTTGTATGCTTGTCCCCCCTGGTTAAACCTTGAAAAAACATAAAAAATAGCACATCGGAGATGAGAGAAACTTAATTGTCACTGAGCTGTTAGTATCCTGGCTCAGAGAGGATGCAACCTTCTGTCAATCATGTCAAATCTGGAATGTACAATAATTTTTTTTATGTTTTTTTAGTTAGGGTAACAGGGTTGACATGAAATCAGGGGATGCAGATAAATTGGTAAATATTTATAATGACTAATATATATTATTACCAAAAACACTGTTTAGCAATAAAATCATACAACAATTTGTAAATGTGAAAATTTTAACATTTTGCCAACATTTTACAAATTTAAAGTCCTGTATAAGTACAACAAAAGTAGTGACGGACAGGCCAAAAACCTCACCCTAATCAGCATAAAAGTAATTTATATTATTTAAAATGATATTTAATTGACTTTATTTTGATGCCATATTTAGGAGAGAAGACATGGTAATGTTATATTTTTAAATTACATATTAATTTGTTGTTATCATAATTTTATGAATGATTACTTCTTGGGGACGCAAAAGGCACCGATTTCATGAAATGACCCGGATGAACAGCAGGGGGGACCTGTGCATTTTGAAGTAAAATAAGTAAAAAGACAAGAACTGGGAAATCTGAACCAAGATGGAAAAAAATGCTCTGATAGGACAGAGTATTTAGTATTCTTAAATATGACAAATAAGCATTTTTGATGCAATTTAACTATCATTAAAATCAATAAAATGTAGAATTATACCATTCTTATTTTGTAAAGCAGGTTCGTGTTTATGATGAGGGTCTTATTTTGCAGATCAGTTGGGTGTTTTTGATGTTAGTCTTTTATTTTGGAGGGTAGGTTTGTTTCAGTCTGACTGAGCAGAGCTGGTCAGTGATTCTGATGATGGTGTTTTATTTTGTGAGTCAATGTTTGAATTTTGTGGGAGCAGGTTTGGTTGATGATTTTGATGATAATGATTTTTTTGTAAAGCCACTTTGTTTGACAAAGGTCTTTTATTTTGTAGATCCAGTTGCTCTCAGAGAACACAGCTGTGTGCTCCTTATGTCTCTGGTTGGAGAGGATAATTCCTGATAGATTTGATTTAATTAACTCCTAATGAGGGTCTGGGGTAGTTACTGGTGAAGTCCTGATTGGTGGTTGTCAGAGAGATAGCCGGGGGTTATACATTGGAGGGTGGGGGCGATGAGTGGGAGTGGGTTGGGGGTGCAGTGTTGCCTGAGGTGCTGCCCTCAAAACTCTATCATTCTGAGTAAGACAGAACCAAGGTCATGTGCTACATACAGAGCTCAGTCTGTCTGAACAGCAGCTCGAACTTAGTCTTTTCAGGAACAGAAAACTTTAAAGAGGCTGACTAAACGAGAACAGATTCTTTAATTAAAGGTTTGATTCTTCTGGGTTTGATTAGTTTCTTCAAAATTACCCTCCAGCTGAAGTTCTTGAATTCAATTAGCTGTAGCTTGTTCATGTCTTTAGCCTTTTGCTTTGTCTGATTTCCAAAAATAAGAATGTTAAAGGACAGTTTTCCTCTTCCCTTCAGTTCACATGAAATGGGCTCAGGTCCAGACGAGTCTGTTTTTTTCTGAATTATGTTCTGATCTGGTTTCCTCTTTACATGATTCAGTTTTTACCCCATTTGTGGATTTAGCGATGAACTGTGCCCACAGTGATTTGGAGCCCATGTGGTGATTTCCACTCCAGAGTCCTGTCTGTTTTTAATGCAGTGCTGCCTGAGGGTCTGGAGATCAGGACCATCCAGTCTTGGTTTTTGGTCCTTGTCCCTTTAGTACAGAGATTTCTCCAGAATCTTTTAATGATATTGTGTTCTGTAGATGATGAAATCCACTCATTCTTTCACATTTGACACTCAGGAACATTATTCTGAAACTGTTGATCTATTAGCTCACACAGTCTCTTACAGAGTGGTGAACCTCTTCTCATCTTTACATCTTAGAGTCTCAGCCTCTCTGATTTTCCTTTTTTATATATTCAGTCATGTTACTAACCTGTTGGAAATTAACCTCATTAGTTAATGCTCCTCCATCATTTTTTTTTTCTTTTAACATATTTAGTTTTTATTTCCATTTGCCACAGAGTACAACAATTTCATTTTCTGTATAAACATAAATTACACAAAATAATATACACAAAATCAGAGTCACACAAGGAAAAAAAAGAAGAAAAGTACAAATAAATACAAAAAGCAAAACAAAATAAATATATAGCAACCAATGTGCACAGTAGTGTGGCAAACTTGTGGATATCCTCCATCTCAAACCATTTTCACACACTTTTCCAATATTTTTTCTTTTTCCTTTTTCAGTTCATTAAAAAACAGAAACAAAAATAAATTTCACACTGAAAATAGAAATATAATTCATTCGGCCTCTCTTAAAGGTGGATGTACAAAAAAATTGTGGTTGCCCTGTGTACACAAATATCCAAACTCATTCAAACTACAGTTCATATATTCAGCATTTCCATTTGGTTTATAAAATATCTCTTCTCCCCCTGATAAAGAAGGTAAGTTAATACACAATAAAGAAAAGATAAGGTGTCATATATTTGGCCTTAGTAAACTTGTTCCAGAGTTAGCAACTAAGTATGTATACATACACCCACACATGAGTACATACACAAATTCACAGGTGTGCCATTGTTTACGTACATATAAAACAAAATAAGTAGGTAAAGGGAAAAAAAAACATCTCGTAATAAGGTTAATTTCTTCTAATCTCTCCATTAACCATTTAAATACCCTGGATTTGGTCAATAAGTTAATATAGGTATAGAGAGTTCAAGTTAATAGTTTGAAAAAGACAATTATAGGGTTCCATCTTCTCAAAAATCTGTCAAATTTTAGTTGTATTTTAGCTGTTAATTTTTCCATTTAGTAGGTAGAGATTATCTTTTTATGCCATTGTTGTATTGTGGGTGGATGTGGGTTGCGCCAAGACAAGGGAATCATCTTCCTTGCTATCAGTAAGAATGTATGAAATATGGGCCCACTGGGGTCAAGCCTATAAAATAGTACCTGGGGTCAAGATTTAAGATGTCAATGCCTAGTATGGATAGTATCTCTGAATGGATACTTTGCCAGATAGGTTTTAAATTTGGGCATTTCCAGAAGATATGTGAATGATCTCCAATTTGTTTGCAGTCTCTCCAACATAAATTTGTTATTCTTTGATCATATGTAGAAACAATATTGGGGGTTCTAAAAAATCTAATTCACATCAGCATTTCTTTTTTAATTGGCATTGCTCAGCTTTTTACCTGTTTGGTTGTTCCTTTGATAATTGTTTTTACAAACGTTACTGGCATCAACTTCTGAAATGAGCAAGATATCTGATATTTCAACGATAACATTTTAAAGATATTTTATTTTGTCTAATCAATAATTGTCTAATTATTTGTCTCAGCTAATTCAGTCACTGATCTTTAACCCTCTTGTTTGATCGTTAACCTTAAACCCTTTTGTTTGTGTGGTCCATTTTTAACACATTAGTATTAGACAAATAATCAGTCCTGTTGTAGGTTTTATACAGACTGTCTAAGAAGTCTGACTTGAGCTGTGTCCGAAATGGATCCCTAACCCCTATATAGGCGACTATATGGGGGTTGGCGCCATTTTGAGGGGTGTCCGAAACCTCAGTGATCAATTCCAATGCCCCGTATAGGTGACTCAAAATTTCCAATAAAGCATTGCAAAATGTAGTGACCATCCGATGGTCACTCACCGGTGGTGGGCATCCTGTCATGCATTGCGTCTTGCCATGTAGTGTCCGAAACCTCCGGTGATTGAGCTCACTATATAGTCAGCTATATAGTGAAACCCCATATGGGGGTTAGGGGTTAGGGATTGAGTGATTCATTTTGGACACAGCCACAGTTTTTGCACTGATCCTTCCCAGAACGCACCTGCTTCTGTTCATCAGACTGACCCTCACTTATAACCTGCAGAGAGGATTCCCTGATTTGACACCAGGCTGCTGACGTCCACTGATCTGACGGTGCTGCTGTTTGATCCCCCATGTCCTGCTGATTATAACATCATCAGACCGATCCAGAAACACATGCACATGCACACACACACACACACACACACACACACACACACACACACACACACACACACACACGGCTGTAATTAATTCCAATTAAAAATGCAGATGAGCAGTGTACCTGTGATTACAGTGTGAGCTCCTTGTTGGTTTGTGCAGAAGAAGAAACAGAAAATGTAGTAATTACAGAGCTACAGTTTTTATTTCTAATTACACACACACACACACACAGACTCTGTCCTGTTCGTCATGCAGAGGAGTCAAACACTAATTACACAGAGACGTGGAGGCTCAGGGATTCATCTGCTCCTCAATTTACATCTGTGCTAATTAGCATGTGATGGAACTAATGACTAATAAAGGAGCTAATTACAGAGCAGCTCCATCACTCTGATGAAGAAGAGGAGGAGGATGAAGAGGAGAGAGATGAGGGGACCTGATCAGAGTGTGTGAGATGATAACGTGAGGTCTTTTTATCTGCTCACACTCACAGAAACACTCTTGTTCAGACTCTGGTTTCAATAGCTCCCTCTGCGATCACACACTACAAAGTTCCAAAGCGTCAAGTTTTTCCTTACAAACCAGTGTTACATGGGACCACTGATTCCGGGATAATGATGTCACATGGTTTGGTTACCATATGCAGAGCTAGCACCACCAGACTTGAGTCTTTCTGCAGATTGGTGTCCACATGCCTGGGTTGGTCACACTAGTTCTATTTAGTTTAATGAGACCACACCTAAACACAGTTCTGTGTCCCAATCCAGAGTCTTCAGCTTTTGAAGGACCCACACTCTGAGGGTCAAAGCTTTTGCAGGACATTAGCTGCAATAAAGGAGTATTCTATTCTATTATGACCATCAGCCATACGACCATTTGTCCCTCCTTGAAGCTATCAATGCAAGGACATCACAGATGATGATTGCCAAAGGTGGATCCGACATACCAAGCGGTTTTATCCCAGGTGCATCGCCTTGGATAATATCAGATGCAATGTTGATATAAACATGTGGCCTAACCCTGAAGATTGCAGAGATGAGATACAGTAATTTTGTGCTTTTTTAATTGTAAAAAACTGTTACAGGAGCTAATTGCTTGGTAATTCGGTTGCTGTTTAGTAAAGACGAGAACGTCTTGTATTTTAGATGTCTAATCACTCATGTAATTTGACATTTGGAAAAATTCTGAGACTTTATCATAACAAATGAGAAGCAGATTTACAGTGTCCAGTTGATTCCCGTTTGGTTCATCACTCATCAGCTGATCAATCTGTAGCGACCATTAAAGTGCATTTTTGACTCCACCAGGCTAAAACATTTGCCTCCCCTAAAAGCCTTCAAAAGATATTCAGAAATAAGGTGAAATATAGTGATGTTTCGTTCGTGAACGATTGGTTCAAATAACCGTATCTTTGAAGTGAACATACTGAACCGAATCACTTCCTCGAGTGATTCGTTCATTTCTCACTTCAGTTGAGCTGAAGTGAGAAACAGTACTGCCAGTTGAGCAGCCGGTGAACGAGGGACAGCATGCACTGACACCTGAATCACTTGGTGAACGAATCAGACTACACTCTCTGGAATCATTTTTGTTGGACAAAACTACCTTTTAATTTAAACTCCTGCCAAGCACTACGTGATTCAGTGATTTGGTGAACGAATCTTTTGAACAAATCTTTTTAGTGAACTGATTCTAGTGATTCAGTACATCTAAAAGAACTGCCGTGCCCATCGCTAGTAAAACATCATTATACCACCGAAATTATATTTAAAAATGATCTTTTATTTGTATTTTAATGAATCTTTCATCATACAAGATACAATTTCCCGTAACCATTGTTAACTCTCCCGCCACTCTGCTTTCCTCTCCCTTTGTCTCCCATCCCCTCTCCTCCCCCTCTAACCCCCTGGTGTTAAGCTTCCACCGAGCGCGACAGATTCAGCCAATCCTGCGAGAGCGACAGCACACACTCATTTACATGTAGAGGGTATAAGACAGCGCCCTGACCATTGAATTGCCAAACTTGTGAGAGACTGCAGTGAGAATGCCTGAGCAAGTGAAAGCACCGAAGAAGGGTTCTAAGAAAGCCGTGTCCAAGGCAACCAAGAGCGGCAAGAAGAGAAAGAGGACCAGGAAGGAGAGCTACGCCATCTACGTCTACAAGGTTTTGAAACAGGTCCACCCCGACACCGGGATCTCTTCTAAGGCCATGGGTATCATGAACTCCTTCGTCGGTGACATCTTCGAGCGTATCGCCGGGGAGGCATCCCGTCTGGCCCACTACAACAAGCGCTCGACGATCACCTCCAGGGAGATCCAGACCGCCGTCCGTCTGCTGCTTCCCGGAGAGCTGGCCAAGCACGCCGTGTCCGAGGGCACCAAGGCGGTGACCAAGTACACCAGCTCTAAGTAAAGCTGCGGACAACTGCTGAAACAAAGGTCCTTTTCAGGGCCACCCACAGTCTCAGTTGAGAGAGCTCTACCCTGTATATGTGCACAGAGAAACTGAAACGGTTCCTGTCAATGAACAGTTTTTGGTTTGGTCATCTTTAAATCATTCAAGAAAAGAAAATTCATCGTTTCTTTAGGACTAAATGTGAGTGTGTTCTGATGACTGCTAATCTTGTTATTTCACTACAATTTGTTAATACAATACTGAAATGGTGGCATTAAATTAAACAAAGAGCAGGAATAGTGTGTTGCCCAAGAAGGCTCATCAGGAGACTTCTACTGGCAGAATCATCTGAGGTAGTTGCAATGGTTTGAAAAGAAGACCTAAATTATGTTCTTAAGCTTTCCAGATGTAAGAAACAATGTGGGAGCTGACTGTGAGGAAGTACATAGCTGGTTCCACACAAATAGACCCATACATTAGTGACCATTAAAAGGTCAGTGTCGGGGGTCTATAATGGACCCAATTATGTTTTTTTCCCCCACCAAATTCATCACAGAAGGTATTGCCATCAATACTGTTTTCTTAATAAATTATACATTGTTCTCAACAAGGGTTGTAAATGAGGCAGTCTCATCATTGAGCCCTGTTTCTGAGGGAGCCAGCACTGAAATCAGAGATCAAAGTTGATCATGATATGATCGTTTTCAGGTAAACTGTGTATGTTTTAAGTGGAAAGGTACAAAACAACTGTCTCTCCCTTTCTTTATATCTCTCTCTCCCCCTATCTCTCTGTATTCCTCCCCAAACCAGCAGCGGCCGTCTAGCATGAGTCTGGTCCTGCTCAAGGTTTCTGCCTGTTAAAAGGAAGTTTTTCCTTGCCACTGTTACTCATGGTAGATGAGATGGGCCAAATCCCATCTTAGGTTGGGTCTTGATAATTCATCAAACAATGAGTGTGGTCTAAACCTGCTCTTGTTCTTTGAAAAGCGTCTTGGGATGATGACTGTTATGAATTGGCGCTATATTAATAAAATTTGATTGATTGATTCATGGTATACCAATGATCTGCACAACTATTATACAGTGTATTAACTTCTTCCTCACTATAAAGATTGATTAAACCAAGGGACCCTCATAGGTAAAGCAAATGTAAATCTGGATCAAAACAGTCATTGTATGTGAATTCTGCACTATTATTAAGTGGAAATGCTGATTAAGCATTTCCACTCATTGTTATTCTCCTATTTCTTTATTATTATTATTATTATTGTTGTTGTTTTAATCCTGCAGGTTGATAGGCCTACCCAGTTCCAGAACAGACTCTGACACTGATTTTTTTGGATCTGCCATGACTGCTACGAACCACTACCTGTAGTTGTCACTGAAATATTAACACTAGTTACACACTCTCCACCTTTTGTAGATGCTTCAGGCTTTCCTGTTCAAAGCAGTGAACTTAACCTCCACACTATCCAACACTTTAAATAAGTGTGCCCTGTAGTGATCACATTGTTTCCCTGCAAAATGTCTTAATTGCTGAATCTCAATGTTTTAATGGCTTTAATGGAGTCAACCAGTGTTTTAACTTTCTAATATAGTGCAAGGTAGCTTTCATCGATTATCTTTCCCTTAAGAGAAGACCTCACACAATTCACTGCAGCCTGAATATCACGTACAGTCTAAGTTGTCTTCTGTAGTGAAATGCTCAGGCTTCCTGCTCTTCAACAACAGCAGGGGCAATGTGAGGCCCTAAACCCCTGTTCCCTTGCTGCAGTGCTCAAATAAGCCACTGGCAGTTGAAGCTGTCTTAAATGTGTTTTATGCCATCTCCTCCAGGGATCTGAGTACCCTCTCATACTGCCCCAGCACAGATATTATTGCAGCATCTCACACAGTCCACCTTGTTGGGGACTGTGGTTTCAGGGAGGTCAGGTGTATTTTCAGAGATAGTAATGTTTTCAAAGATGCTTTTAAACTTCCCTGTCTGGCCAAAAAGGATACCTAAGTGGTGGACCCAAGAAAGGCAGTCCTGAATCGGTAGGGAGGACATGCAGCCATCCAGACTGACACAGTCTGCACCACTGTGCACATAAAGGGCAAATGGCTGCTGCCTTTTCAGTACTGCCTGTGAACCATCCTACTATGCTTGAGGCAGCATCATAAGTCCTCCCAGGTAAGCTAGATGTAGGAGCCACATTTCAGTTTGTATTTACATAGTTAAAATTTGGTTTTTGTTTACCTTTTAATTTTGAGCCCTCCACAGGTGGTGGGGGCGCTCACCCATAAGTAGGGGCAACTGACGCACGGCCTCATGATGGCTTTAAATGCTGTGATTTGTTGTTTAGAAAACCTTTTGTTTATCATTTATTTTATTCATTTGTTTTTTTGTTTGTTTGTTTGGTTTTATTCGCAATAAAAACAACGCAACTTTATCCAGCTCTCTGAAGATACATTTTTTGAAAGTTTGCGCTTATGATGACGCTGTACAGATGTTGCCGTTCCGACCAAGATTCAAAACAAACACCAGAGAAGGTTAGAGGAAAAAACACTTTTAAGGCTTTGGGCCATTACACCAGACATATGCTGTGTCTCATTTCAGAGACCGCATCGGGATAAGTGCACTTAGCTGAGCGCACTACTGTTATGTGCCGTTATGTGCTGTTATGTACCCTTCCTGTGTCCCATTTCAGAGACCGCAACCGTCGAACGGCGCATTTGAAGCGTGCGTGAGGTCATCACGCACGTATTTCTCATATATTCTAAGTCCTTATACTTATGACAACGTAATGCTGATGTGCCAAAGGATGAAGTTTCTCCTTGTTTGTGAAACCTATACTGAAGCACAATTCCTTTAAAAGCTTCATGGCCCTAATTTTAACAACTCTCCTCTGAAATAACAGGTTACGACTTTATTCTCATAAATTAATGACTTTATTCTCATAAATTAATGACTTTATTCTCGTAAATTCATGACAGCTTGCAGCTTTTCTTCTAGTCAGTCGTGACGCGAGCCTGACGGACCATCTCACCCTTCGGAGGACTTCCTGGTTGAGTCGTCAAATACCCCGCCCTCAGGCCCGCATCACGGCTGACTTGAATAAAATCCGAGGATCGCAGCAGGTGCAGGTGTTAACAAGAGCATGTGACAACATGGGAAAACATGGAACTGTTGAGGATGTGGCATGTGACTCTTTCTCTCCACGAAGAGGAGACGCTGCAACGCCGAGCAAGGCGGCGATGGAGGTGCCTTATATATTATTTGATGAAACTGCGTGCAGAAAGTGGAGAGGTAAATCTGTTATTTTATCTGCCATTCATCAGCTACACAATAGTTGTGCCATTGTCACTCCATGTGTATCATGTGAATTCCCCCTTTAAGTCACAACAGTGCATGTCATGGAAATCTTCAAAAATATTATTTTGTTTACTGACATCAGCTGAAAAGCCAACATTGGCTGTTAGTACAAGAGACATTAACCTGCACAATTCACAATCATTGCAAGCGACATCCATGCCATTTGTTCCTGACGCAGACCGGACCCCTGAACTGCAGGTTGAACACAGGGGTCCCAGTCCTCCAGCGGTTTTTCACCGGCGCTGACACAAGGGAGGACTTCAGGCTGAGCAGAGAGTCCCTGGCAGTGCTGCTGGACCTCCTCTATCAGGAGCGGAGGCATGGATGGGGCGCCACAATAGAGACTCTGGTTCTCCTTTTTTGGCTGGCCAGTGGGGCATCATACCGGGTGGTCTCAAGGGTGTTTGGGATGCCCCCCTCCACTGTCCACTGCATCGTCCACCGAGTTACGGAGGAGGTAGTGGCCATTCGTCACAGGGTCATCTACCTCCCGAGCTCCGCTGACGACCTCGCAGCCGTAACTCGGGGGTTTGCAAGGTTGGCTAGGCACCGTGCTATTCTCAAAGCCGGTGCAATCGACGGCTGCCATGTACGAATTAAGCCATCAAGCGGTCCTGATGGTCACTGCTACATAAACAGGAAACTGTTTGCATCAATTATAATGCAAGCAGTCTGTGACCATCAGGGCCTCTTTATTGACACTTACGTGGGCTGGCCGGGGTCTGTGCATGACGCTAGGGTACTCCGGCACAGCCCACTGTACAGGAAGAATGTCTATCCTCCTCCAGGGTATTTCATTCTCGCAGACAGCGGGTACCCATGCCTCCAGCACCCACTCCCCCTCATCACTCCCTACAAGCTGCCGGTGCGAGGTGTGGCGGCCCAGCGCTTTAACGGGCATCATGCCAGGGCACGCTCTGTTATTGAGCGTGCCTTTGGCATGATGAAGACCCGCTTCCATGCCATCTTTATAAAAGCGCTGGAGATCCGCCACACCTTCGTGCCACAGGTACATCATCACTGCACACAATATTTTTGTTATACTTGAGTATATATTAATTAATTAAATAAAAATATAAAAACTTATTATATATTATTATACTTATATTGTTATACTTTTTTATTTATTAAAGGTCTATATACTTTATGTTCTTATAAACATTCCTCTTAAATTCAGGTCATCACCCCTTGTGACGTCCTGCATAACATCTGCCTGGGTGCCGGTGACACCATGGCACCAGAAGAGGATGTGCGCGATGGTATGCCGGGGGATGAGGTGGAGGACAGGCTCGAGGCAGTCAGTGGTGCCCGCTGGCAGGACAGATTGTCTGCAGAGGTGTCGGCCCTGGAGGAGGTAGACCACGACCATGACGACCTGTAGTCGGCAAGTACAATTCATCTAAAGTTTCTCCTCTGTGTGGCACAGAATGTTTGTTGATTACTGATCAGCTTTTTAGACCTCAGAAGATCAGACTTAAAATTGTTGGACTCTGTTAGCATACTCTTGTCTCTCTCTTTAAAACAGGCATGGCAGCCATCGAACCAGCCCTGCAAACCCGGACGATGTGGAGGACAGCGGAGACGTGCAGCCCAAACACCCAGACTACCCGCATGATGTCCCACTGCCAGTAGACACCAGAGTCTCTATTGTGGTGTCCCATCCAGCCCAGCAGCACTGCCAGAGACTCCTGCTCAGCCTGGAGAAGAGGAGGCACCATGACTGGGCAGGCAATAGCCTAAATTTCCTAAGTTTCTTAAGTTCTGTTTATACAATGGTGCCTGTTTGATTTAGCATTTTGCCAATTTTTACCTCTGCCAAGGAGGTTATGTTTTTGGTAGCGTTGGTTGGTTTTTTTTTGTTCGTTTGTCTGTTAGCAACTTTACGGAGAAAGTTACAGACGGATTGACCTGAAATTTTTTTTATCAAACATGAGCTTTGTTGTTTTAGGAACATTATGAACAGTGAACATAACAGTTTAAACACAAATAAAAGTTAATAAAAGACACATTACAGTAAACGTTTTGGTGTAAATCACAATATAAGGGGGAACATGAGCTGCTTGGTGGAGGTCTGCGCTCTCTGAGTGCTTTTCTAGTTTGTATGTCGTTGACCTCAGTATTCTATTCCATTTTCATTTTCCTCACCCTTTAATAAAAAGATATAACTCAAATGAAAACTCTGAAACCTTTATTATGTGAGGATGCACCAGATGCTATCTGGCCACCCTGTTGCCAAAACATATGGAGGGACATATGAATAGACTGGAGACGGTGTAAGCAACTTAAAATTCTTTAATATATTAAATGTCATTATTAATGTAAAATTAAAAATTCTTCACAAAAATAAGTGTGAATATAATAGTAAAATAAACAGAAATCAACTCAATTGCGGTCCACAATTTTTTCGAGTAAGGCCAGCATCTGGTCCATCCGCTCCTGGCTTCTGGCCTCAGCTTGTCGCTGGTGTCGAATCTCCTCTCTTAGCAGAGCCAGGAGCGGATCGGATCCTCCTTTTCCTCCCCCTTGGTCGAGGTTGTAGTTCCGTGTCCGTGTCCTTATCCTCCTCTTCTTCTTCTTCTTCCTCTTCCTCCTCGTCCTCCTCCTCTTCTACTTCTTCTTATTCTTATTCCTCCTTCTCCTCCTCCTCCTCCTGCTCCACCTCCTGCTGCTGCTGCTGCTGCCACCGCCTTCCTCTGGAAGTGAGGCAATGAGTACTGGGGGGTTTTCTTGAAGGCTTAAAAACAGGCAACTGGACTGTGTAGAGTTAAGAAGACGTTTCGCCTCTTATCCAAGAAGCTTCTTCAGTTCTAAAAGTGCTAGTGTCAGGAGCAGATATTTATCTTACTGGAGAAGGGGGACAGTAACGACTGGGAGGAGTTGAAAAGAATGGGTCGTAGAAACCCATCTCTCGGTGTGTCCCCCCCAAGTCGTTATCCTGAAAGGGTCGTTAGCGACTCCTATCATGTGACCACATGACTCATGCCACCTGAGTCATGTGGTTCCAGGTGTGAATGTTTGTGGAGCTTTCTGGGGAGAGAGCTGAGAACTGCATTGTAAGTGCCAGAGAGATTGTGCCCCCTCTGTTCAGAGAAGGTTTCTCCAGCCTGGTAAAGATGGCTTCTTTAACTCCTCTTTCAAACCATCTGTCTTCTCGAGCCAACACCTGTACATCGCTGTCCTCAAAAGAGTGACCTGTATCCTTCAAGTGAAGGTGGACAGCTGAGTCCTGACCTGAGGAAGTGGCTCTCCTGTGTTGAGCCATGCGCTTGTGAAGCGGTTGTTTAGTTTCCCCAATGTACAGGTCTGAGCATTCCTCGCTGCACTGGACAGCATATACCACATTACTCTGTTTATGTCTCGGTGTTTTGTCCTTGGGATGGACTAGCCTCTGCCTTAGTGTGTTACCAGGCTTGAAATGAACAGGAATGTGGTGTTTGCCAAAGATCCTCTTGAGTTTCTCAGACAGGCCTGCAACGTAAGGGATTACAGTGCTCTTGCGTCTCTCCTCCCTTTCCTGTTCAGTGTTATTTCTCTTTCTGTTCTTCACAAAGGCCCACTTAGGGTATCCACAGGTTGTCAGGGCATTTTTGACGTGCTTTTGTTCCTTTTCCTTACCTTCTTTCTTCGTGGGAATGTTCTCGGCCCGGTGGTTGAGTGTTCTGATGACACCCAGTTTGTGTTGCAGAGGATGGTGGGAATCAAAAAGTAGATATTGATCCGTGTGTGTTGGTTTCCTGTACACTTCAACGTTGAGCCACCCATCTGCCTCCAAGTGTACAGCACAGTCCAAAAAGGCCAACACTTTGTCCTTGACATCTTCACGGGTGAACTTGATGTTGCTGTCCACTGTGTTGATATGGTCAGTGAAGGCCTCTACTTCGTGTGTTTTGATCTTAACCCAGGTGTCATCCACATATCTGAACCAGTGGCTAGGAGCAGCTCCCTTGAAAGAGGTTAGGGCCTTCCTCTCTACCTCTTCCATGTACAGGTTTGCCACTATAGGAGAAACCGGGGAGCCCATCGCGCATCCGTGTTTCTGTCTGTAATGGCGCTCTCTGAACTGGAAGTAGGTGGTGCTGAGGCAGATGTCCAATAAGGAGCAGATGTGGTCCGGAGTTAAGTTGGTTCTGACTTCCAGTGTGCTGTCCTGTGAGAGGCGTTGTCTTACTGCTTGGACTGCCTCTGTTGTTGGAATACTTGTGAAAAGTGATGTGACATCATAGGAAACCATGGTTTCATCTGGGTCCAACCTGATGTCCTTGATTTTCTCAGCAAAGTCCTGTGAGTTTCTGACGTGGTGAGGGGTGTGGCCGACAAGAGGAGCTAGGATGGTGGCCAAATGTTTTGCCACTTTGTATGTGACTGAGTTAATGCTGCTGATGATAGGTCTAAGGGGCGCCCCTTCCTTGTGTATTTTTGGTAATCCATAAATGCACGGGACAGCTTCCCCTGGGTACAGTCGGTAATAGAGTGGGCGGTCGATAACTCCATCCTTTTCGAGCTGTTGAAGTGCACTGATAACTTTCTTTTTGTAGCTGTTGGTGGGATCCCGTTTAAGAGTTTCATAGGTGGCAGTGTCACTGAGAAGGCTTGTTACCTTGTCATGGTAATCCCTGGTGTTGAGTACCACAGTGCATCTCCCCTTATCTGCAGGCAGGATGGTGATGTTTTCATCTTTTTGCAGTGATGCCAAGGCTCTTCTTTCCTGCATGGTCAAGTTGGAAGGAGGTGTTTTGGCATTTGAGAGAGCAGCTGTTACCTTCAGCCTAAGTTGTTCTGCCTCCGTGACCGCCAGATTGTTGTTGCGGATCGCTGACTCCGTGGCTGTGATAAGGTCTACCACCGGGATCTGTTCAGGGGTAACTGCAAAATTAAGTCCTTTGTAAAGGACTTCCTTTTCCGGCTGAGTGAGGACCCTGTCTGACAGATTCTTCACCCACTTTTCTTGCATGTTGGTATCTATGTGGCTGTCCGTTTTGTCCCTCCAACCAAGTTCTGATGGACTTCTTGAGTGCTTGGAGAGCAGTCTGTCAAATTTCTGTGTTTGCCTTATCTTGCCTTTGTTGTGTTGAGAGTTCTGAGCCTTGTCAACAAAGTTGTGGACTTTGTTGAGGATGTCCTCTGGAAGTCGGGATGCCAGTGTCTCCTTGGTGTGATATATTTTATCTTGTAAAGCCTCGATGGTGAAGTTAACCTGCCTAATCCTTTCATTGAGGAGCTGCTTCTGTGTCCTGCAAAGGATACTGTCTGCTCTGTGCCCTTTAACGGTGGAAAACAAGCGTAGGCTTTTGGGAACAAGTCCTTGCTGTCTGCATCTTAGGTTGAAGCGGAGGTGGTTTCTGTAATCCGCCATCTTCCTGCAAGTTTTCTCTCCGAGACATAAACAGAGTAATGTGGTATATGCTGTCCAGTGCAGCGAGGAATGCTCAGACCTGTACATTGGGGAAACTAAACAACCGCTTCACAAGCGCATGGCTCAACACAGGAGAGCCACTTCCTCAGGTCAGGACTCAGCTGTCCACCTTCACTTGAAGGATACAGGTCACTCTTTTGAGGACAGCGATGTACAGGTGTTGGCTCGAGAAGACAGATGGTTTGAAAGAGGAGTTAAAGAAGCCATCTTTACCAGGCTGGAGAAACCTTCTCTGAACAGAGGGGGTGGACTCAGGCACAATCTCTCTGGCACTTACAATGCAGTTCTCAGCTCTCTCCCCAGAAAGCTCCACAAACATTCACACCTGGAACCACATGACTCAGGTGGCATGAGTCATGTGGTCACATGATAGGAGTCGCTAACGACCCTTTCAGGATAACGACTTGGGGGGGACACACCGAGAGATGGGTTTCTACGACCCATTCTTTTCAACTCCTCCCAGTCGTTACTGTCCCCCTTCTCCAGTAAGATAAATATCTGCTCCTGACACTAGCACTTTTAGAACTGAAGAAGCTTCTTGGATAAGAGGCGAAACGTCTTCTTAACTCTACACAGTCCAGTTGCCTGTTTTTAAGCCTTCAAGATAACCATGACCTGGATGAATGAGAATCTACATGGACAGTACTGGGGGGTTTATTGATGGCCTCTGCCCCAGCATCTCATCCATGAGGATGAACCAGGGCCCCCCTGCCCCAGCCCTTGTGGGAGGCTCTTTGCATGCCTGAGAAAAAGAAAAACTGTTTAATAACTTGCAGGGGGGGAAACCAACACATTCTTCATGACCCAATGTTCAACGTTAAGCAGCATCATAAAAACCTTCACATACTTTATTTTTTCTTTTTAAATTCTCCCACCTCCTCTTTGCCTGCAGGGGGGGTCACCTGATCTAAAAGCTGGAGCTCTGACAGTGCAGCTCTTGTCACAAAGAGAAGTGACACAAAAGGTTAATGATGTCACATTCACAGTGCGCAAAGATTCATAATCAGTCACATGACCTATAATTTAACATGCTACGGGCAGATATAACTTCTTGAGCATTTGGTGTTCCTTACCGCCATCCAGCAGCAGCTGAATTTTTGGCTCCGGTGAAGAGGTGCTCCCTCTACCCAGGGAGCCGGATGAATTTTTCCGTCAGCTCTGTTGTCCCTGCAAAAACGTAAGTGTGAACCTTTTAATGTGTGACTTTTTCCAAGTGTGTATCTGAATGGATAACAATGCAGGCACACAGTGCCAACATTTGTGTTTTTAATCCACACATGCATGTCAGATCAATTGTCCAGGCTGATGGATGGCCATCATGCACTTCATAAAGAGGTTTGACCTTTACTCCTTCTTTATTAGGGCTCACTGCTAAGTCTATGCAGTTTTTGTAATGTCAGCAATAGCCAATATTTTGAACTCTGGTGTACTTTGATTGACTGCATGTACCTTGTGAAGTAAAAACAAGTGTAATTCTCTGACAGAATAATTTAATTTTGGTAAAGTTAGTGTGCGCAGAGAAGATGTGTTCTATTTTGAAATGTAGAGTGAGTATCTATAAAACAAAATCTGCTTTTGAGAAGATAATTGTGTTTTGTAGGGGTGAGTCTGTGTTAAGAATTAAGAAAAGGAACTTAAGAATGGCAAGCGATTGAAAATAAACTGTAATACACTTACTTCACCGCTATTTTGTGTGTGTAATAAATAGGAAATTCACTCTTTATTTGGTTGGTGGTGACTTTGAAAAGAGCCTAAGATTTGGTCTGTTGAGGATCTAGTTTGCCTCCCCCCACCTCCGAGGCGGGCTTGGTGTTTCCCTTTACGTCCTCTTTAGAGCTCTGTGCTGAGGACGTATTAGAGCACAGAGGCAGCACAGGTTTTCATTATCCTCTTGGTGTTTTAGCGACCTCCTCTGGTAGACAAAGGTTTCTTCTCCTAAAGGAGGCCTGTCTATTCCTTTCCACTCACGACTGATATTCACTCTTGTGCAGCTGCACTATTTAAAACAAACAAACTAACTAACCTAAAAAGTCGTTAAGTCTCCCACAATCACACTACGTTTTTAGAACAAAAGTTGAACAAAATGATTATTACAGGCGGGTCGTATTATGTAACTAGTTCTGTGCTTTGTCTGATGCTTTTGTAGTATTTCTTTTCCCCTTTTACAAGTTTCTAAAATATTTGTGCGTCAAACATATTTTACATCCTGTTAATGCATTGTGGTAGCAAGTGCCGTATGTGGCTTTGTGAAGAATTCTCTTTATCAATATAGTCTGAACGTGTCTGTCATGGGATGTGTTTGCTTGAAATGGTTGAATATTCAGACGTATTCTTACTTATGGTGAAGTATATGAACATTCAGAGACATCTTTTCCTTTAACTTTCTGGAACATTCAGAGCACAACTCTCTGCTGGACCCTTGTCTTTTACAGCTCAAGTAAAAGATACCAGTAGTATAGCAGTGGTTTTCACTCTTGGACCCACATTTTCCTATGTTCCTTAAGTTGCGACCTACTTTTATGGAATTCAAATCAAACTCATTAATCTTAATTTTAAAAAAACTCTATATCACACTTTAACATAAATCAACTTGTTTTATTGAGTAAAGTGCATTTCAGAGCACATGAAGGGGACAACATGAGGATGACAACTACTGAAGTTGTTTATACAGAAATTTTTGAACTATTAAATATTTACTTTGACCAGCTGTTCGTGACCCATCCAGAACGTGTCCGCGACCCACTTTTGGATGTCAGTTAGTGGGCCCCGGTAAAGAAGCCCGCTGTATTAGGTATTACCCTAATTCGGAGGTAAAGGGACACAAAGTGTTTTAGATGAAGGAGAGACCCCTCAATTTGGCTGTTTGGTTTTTATATTTCCCCTAAATCAACATCCTCATAGTACATAATATCTACATGAACAGATACTAAAAGAGGAGCGATGGGGTCCGTGGTCTATGTAAAAGATAAAGCACATCGAGAAACAGGTTAACTCTTTGTGGTAGTGAGTGGCTCTTAAAAGAGCCGTTGTTTTGTCTCCCAGGCCGGCGAGGATCTTTACTTCTTGGCGGGCTTCTCGGTCTTCTTGGGCAGCAGCACAGCCTGGATGTTGGGCAGCACTCCTCCCTGAGCGATAGTCACGCCGCCCAACAGCTTGTTCAGTTCCTCGTCGTTACGGACAGCCAGCTGCAAGTGTCGGGGGATAATACGGGTCTTCTTGTTATCCCGGGCGGCGTTTCCAGCCAGCTCGAGGATCTCAGCGGTCAGGTACTCCAGCACGGCCGCCAGGTAAACGGGGGCGCCGGCACCAACACGCTCAGCATAGTTGCCTTTGCGTAGCAGTCTGTGGACACGGCCGACGGGGAACTGAAGCCCGGCACGGGAGGATCGGGTCTTCGCCTTGGCTCTTGCTTTGCCGCCGGTTTTGCCTCTTCCGCTCATGGTTGTTTGTGCTTCTTCTCGTCTAGACTCAAAGAAAGATAACCCACATTTAGACGGAGCCCGTCTTTATATCTCCGCAGAGCCCGCGCCTTTTCCCGGCGCACCAATCAGCGAAGAGGCCTCAAGCAGAGCAGCAGGGGGGGCGTTGTCAATGAGTGCATCACGTGTCTGCAGCGGCGAACATCTCCTGCTCCCTACTCTGTGAGCAAAATGACAGCCTTAGGTGACACGCTATTACAGTGGTTTTCAACTGGTGGGTCCCGACCCAAAAGTGGGTCACTGACACGTTCTGGATGGGTAACGAACAGCTGGTCAAAAAAGTAAATATTTAATGCGATATTTATTAGAGATTTGATATTTTTTGTACAAGCAACTTCAGTATTTGTCGTCCTCACGTTGTCCCCTTCATGTGCTTTGAAATGCACTTTACTCAATAAAACAAGTGGATTTATGTTAAGGATTAGAGTCTTTAAAGTTTTTTTTTATACAAAAATTAAATTTGCTTATTTTGAATTCTATAAAAGTGGGTCGCGACTTAAGGACCACGGGAAATGTAGGTCCCAGAGTGAGACCAGTTGAGAACCACTGCGCTATGATCCTGTGTGTTCATAGTGTAAAAAATGTGGCCACAACAGTGAGTTAAAAACGACTTCGCTGTAGTGATTGTGAGGGTTTCCTGGCCGAAATTTAACATGAGCGTTAAATGGGAACATATAGCGTATTCAACATGAAAAGCACCTCCTAGAAGAAATGAAGTGTCAATTGAAAAAATGGCCTTCATTTGGTGAAATTTGGAACTGTGAAAATCTATACAGTGCAATCACTCTGTATTCAGCCCAAAATAATCAGCAAAACAAATTAGAAGCCCTTGAATCAGTCGTTAAAGACAATCAAAACCCTCTAGATTATGTAGTTAATGAAGAGGAGCTGCTGACCAAGATCCAGGCACTGCAGCCAAGGAAGGCAAGCGGACCAGTTTAGTAGCCATAAAATCAGGACTGCCATATTGAAATTATTCAATCTTATTCTGATCATTGGACATTTTTTCCAGATACTAATACAAAACTTAAAACACTCAACACAGCTAGAACAGTCTGTTAAGTTCAAATAAGACAACAATTACAACACTACAATGCACACAGCCTTTAAAACCATACAAACAGTATTACATTATCCAAAAACTAACGCAGTAATAACAGTCTCAGTCCTTATGCACTGTATTATCTACTGTACAATGCCTTTGTTACTTGTTTTTGCAACAGTGGTTGCTGCATAAATGGTGGCCTAGAAAATTTACACTTCAAAATATGCACACAATGCACTTCTAATGTGGCAACCCTGGTTGGCTTGGTTGGAATTCTTTGGCTCAGCTTCTCCATCCTCCTCATCCCCTTCATCATCTCCAGGTTTTTCATGTCCCCCAAGTTCATCAAAAATTGTTGGCCATGGATTTCACAAAGGTTGTATAAAACACAGCATGCTGAGATGATATATGGGACCGGGGAAATGTGCGCATCACATCTCTTTAGGACACATCTCCATCTGGCTTTTAGCCACCCAAAGGCCCTCTCCACCATCATTCTTGCTTGACTGAGCTGATAGTTGAAGCTTGTTTGCTCAGGTGTTATGCCTCTGCCCTCTGGAAATGGCTTCATTAGCCACGGCAAGAGGGAATAAGCAGCATCTCCAAGAATGATTGCAGGCACATTCACTCCCTCAAACACCTCAGTCCATTCTGGCAGCAATGTGCCATTTTGGCCCCGTTCATACAGAGATGAGTTGGCCAACACTCGGGCATCATGCACTTTTCCTGGCCAGCCCACTTTGATGTCCCAGAATTTGAGTTTGTGGTCCACCACACCTTGCAGGATCAGTGAATGGAAATCCTTGCGGTTATAATAGTCAGCAGGGTCATCAGCTGGAGCCAGGATTCCAATGCATGTCCCATCTATTGCCCCTGCCGCCTGCGGGAATCCCCATCTATCACGAAATACCTGCAATATCCTCTTAAACTCTGCAGTAGATGGGGTCTTGATGTACTGAAGTTTCATGATTGTGTTTATGGCATTAGGTAAGAGTATGCAGAAGGTAAAAGCGTTAGAAGATGTAAGTGCGTTACGCATAATGGCCAAAATTCCCCCATTTATTTGTATAGTAAAATGTTACCACAAAAAGTGAAATATTGCAAAAAGTATAAAGGGTAGAAAGGTGAAAAGTAATAGCAATCATGTCCAGAAGTGGAATAGTATAAAGTTTAAATGGTTGAAGAAACAAAATGGCCGTTGAGAATATCAATAACTGGAAATGCTGTGTCAGCATTTCCACTTAATTAATATCATGGTTGCACTAGAATTTACCCAGTGTAAAGTAAGTAAATCTTCATGAACATGATGATATGCTGTGCATAAATAAACACTGTGTTTTAATTTATTATCTGGGCACACATCATAATCATAAGCAGCTGGAATGAGACACCAACCTATGATCAGCTGCCACAGCCACACTCACGGGATATTTTCCACAAGCAAAATGATATTTCTGTGTTGAAAAGTGGTCTGGCTGCACTACAGGAAATTAGAATGAATTGGATTAAGCACATAAAAGAGATTCATCCAAGTGTTACTCCTAATAATCAGGTGGAAACATACTTTGTTTTTCTGATGTCAAACTTTGATGAGTTGCTTTGGCATCAGCCTTTGATTTACTTTCCCAATAAGTAAATGGATATCATTTGCTTGTTTCTAACTGTCAAAAAAAGATGACATGATTTACAAACCTCAGAAGAGCAGTTAATCCCAGAAGGACTCTGGGAAAATCAGCCTGATTTGACCAAAAATGGAAATTTCCTGACCTCATATTTTTGTCATACAGAAGCACATATCATTCACTGAATAAAAAAATAGACACCATTTCTCATAATTACAAGATCGGTCTCATAATGACGTGTCTCAATCTTGAGGTGATGTCAGTTGAGGTTGCCTTTCTAGAGGTCCAGGTCTCTACTAAGACTAAGACTCTATGCTGGACACTTTTAGCTCTGTCCTAGCTTCCCTAATGTTGTCAAGTGTTGAGTCTCTTTTAAAGAAAGGTAGACATATTCAAATCAGGAGATGAGGCTGTTCATGTTGCACTCAAGGTACTTTAATCAGCATGCAAGTGAACAAAGTCAGTGAGAATGAACTCTGCAGAGTCCAGACTGAAATAACAAAGCGAATACCCTTCTTATATAACACTTTTAGTCGGCGTTTACTGCTAGGATCAACCCTTGATCTGTATGCAAGTTTTAAAACCCTTGCTTCTATTGGTGTCTGGGCGAGGCTTGCAAAGTTAAGACCCCACCCTGATGTTTCTGATGGTGTCTTGAAAACTCCCTAACTATAAACAAATGAAGGCTCCCTTGACCGGGCCCTGGTACTTTCCTGCAAAGACCTTATTTCATCACCTTACCATCAAATTGTTCCACAGCGGCTTCTGCTGGGAGGCCACATAAACATCACCCATGCATAATTAGCTTCAACCATACATGATTAGCTTTAATTGTATCCCAACTTTGGCTTTTTCTCCTTTCCATTCCAGACTGCCAATCGCCCATATCATACAATATGATACATTATAAGTTGATAACAGCTGAGCATGGATTCCCAAGAAGAGACACAGAACATCATTTGGACAAAAATGAATCCACAGTAATTATGAGAAAATGTGACTGATTGTTTATTTTAAATTTTTTAAATATAGTGAATGCAGTGCAATTCAGTAATTTTACAATATGGGTGCTATTATTATTTTTATTATTATTATCATTATTATTATTTTAGGTCTAGGTGTGATGTATGAACCCAGAAAAGCCCATCATCCAAGGTTAAATGTGGTGGAGGAGCTGAATTTTTTTTTTTTTTAATTGCTAATCACTCATTTCAGTCACACCCACTGACAATACATGCATGAAGTGTGATTGCTCAGCTGGGCTCATGTGTACCAAATCTGGTGATTCTTCAGGCTTTTAAAATACTACTTCCTCTTTGACGGCAAGTCATTTGCTACTGTGGCAGCAGGGGTTGGATGGGATAAGGTTTGGGGTGTGCCAGAAAAACATGCAGGTAAAGTCATTGAACAGGGTAGGATTTGGTAGTGGTTGTGTGAAGACAGTGGCCTCCTGTTGTCAGAGTGGCATTGCAATTTTCCTTTTCGTTTTAGTTAAAATTGCATGTAATCATGATGGGGCTCCTAAGCACGAACAGTTTAGAACAGTCTGAAGTTCAAAATCCTCGCATCATGTCAAAATTTAATGTCACAACACCATGCTGACCACCTCTCTGATGAAAACTCACATCAAGATCATGATGTCAAGGGTATCTTGAGTGAGCATTAATGCAGGTATGTTCAACAGTCTGAGATTCAGCTGAAAGTGACAGCATGACATTTCCAACTGCCACCAGGAGGCACTATAACTGGTATGAAATACTACTGCTACCACGTGAATGTGTTCAGGTTTTTTTAGAAAAGGTTCTTACCGGTGAAATCATATTTGAGTGTGAAGCATTTAACAAAGTGCCCTTTAGTTGCTTTCTTAGTGTATGAAATGTAAACAAAGTGCCATTTGGCTGCTTTATTAGCATATAAGAATGTGAACTTAGTTCCCAGTAGGGGATAATAAGGTTAGATGAGCCATTTTTTTATATTTCGGATCACTACATCAAGGCAATCATAGTTTTGTCTCTAACTAGTGTATCTGCATATATTAAAGATGTTGTGCATCCCTGCAAACCAACAGAATGAGTGTAAACAGAACTGTCTTGATAATATAGCATGCAAAAAAAGTGCTCTCTTATGAAGAGCACCCCCCTCCCCCGCACACACACACACACACACACTCTCTACCCCAGCCCTCCCCCACCTTCTCTCGCCCTAAATAACACTCACTTCTTCATATTCATATGTATTGCTATCTATTATACGCTATTCAACAAAAAATCTTTTTATTATTATTGCATATAACTGCTAAAAAACTGTTTGGTTGAAGAAAAAAAAAACATTTTAACATGAGAATGTCTTTAAGTGATTCAGAACATCCACAGCTGTATTTCTGAAAAGAAAAAGTGAAACATTTCAACAAACTGAACTGAAACTCTGATCCTCTCATCAAACTCCTTTACTTTCTCTGTTGAGTCACTGGCTCAACTTACCCCAGAACTATTATTATGACTTTATTAGTCCTATAGGCTAAAATGGTGGACTTTTATGCTCGGTTTTTGACCTCATGTTGTAGCTCAATTGATACCACAACTGATGTATTGATGTAAGAGTGAAAAAATGTTTTTTTGTTTTTTTTTAAATAAATGTCTAACCCCTTCACCCATGTGCTTCTAGCCTTCACAGACTCCATGAATTGATGTCCATCTCCTAAATATTTGGTCACATGATCAATTTCTTTTACCATTTCCAAGCAACAGGGGGTGGCCCAACTTACCCTTTGGCTCAATTTACCCCACTCTCCCCTAGGTGTTTTCTCATGACCCAGCTCATGTCTGAAGAATGAATACACTTCAGAGTCTTTCATGGCCTACAGCAGCTGCTCTTTCTATTCTCTTTTGCACTTGCCTCTAAACCAGGGGTGTCAAACTCAACCACAGCAAGGGCCATAATCTGGATTAAGGTCTAACCTGAGGACCAAACAGGGTCAACAACGTGTCAACCTCCTTTTCAGAAAACATGCAAAACAAAAACAGCAATGATTATAAATCATTTGGAAATTCAAAAAAGATAAAAAAAATTATAATAATAAATTTAAAGGCAATCTGAGATAGAAAATTTTATTTTATTTTTATTCTTTATTCTATTTTTATTTATTAGTTCAAAAGATCAGAGCATGACATTAAAAATAGAAAAATAGTGCTTTTAAAGAGGAAATACATGAGGAGAACGTTGGAATCGTGTTTAAAAGGTCAAAATATGACTTAAAATTTAAAATTGTGATCTAAAGTATAAAAATGATACAAGTCTAAGTACTGAGTTGAACAAAATCAAAGCATGAAATAAAAATTCTAATCATGTTTGACTTGTAATCTTGAAATGCAAAATTGAAAACATGAAATAAAACACCAAATATTTTTCCCCCACATTCTTGACTATTTATCAAATCTTCCTTACGCTTTACTTTCCCAGATTTTCGTGGTTTATTAAGGACATTTTAAATAATGGTGCTAAAGTTTACATTATTATACTGGAGGAAATCTGCAGACTTCATACTGGTGAGCCAATAATAATACAAATATGAGATGATCTCGTGGGCCAGATATAATTGTTCCATGGGCCAGATTTGGCCCTGGGCCTTGAGTTTGACACCTGTGCTCTAAAGCATCCTAAGTATTCCACTGCATTAAATATCGTTATTTCAAATGATTATATATTTTGTTGTTTTCTTGTTTTATCCATCATTCTGGTGTGATTTTTCAAACCATGCCCCCCTGCTCTCTCTCTCTTTTCACTTACTAAGCTGAACAATAGTGACATTGTTCCTGATCACAGATGGTCCATTGTTCTCAGCCAGTCAGACCATCGTTCTGCCCATGAATTTCCTTCAACAACAAAAACAACAACAACAACAACAACAACAAAAAAACAGATTCTCCAGCGCAACATCTGAGGAAACATCATCAACACTTGGAGACTGCATCAGGCAAAACTCTGCACTCAACAGTGAGTTCACCCTGTGTGCTTATGACTACAATTAGTGCTTTTGTTATCAGTTGCAGCTTTTATAGATGCTTTTGTGAGAATTCATTCTGATGAATTCTGATAGAAAATGAACTCTATTTTGATTCTGTTAACCCAGCCCTCACACAGTCTCTCTTTCCTTTTGTTCAGAATGAAATAAAAATATCTAATATGATGTAAACCATCCACCAGAAATCACAGCTACATTTAAAGGATTTGAGGAAAAATAGAAATGGAGAGATCGTTGCTGACTGTGACACATTGATCTATTTTAAATGTGTGAATTTTTCATTTCAAAGCTTAAACTGATTGTGTCTCTACAAGAGGAGACACAACCTTACCAGCAGAGGGTGCTCAATGTACAGGGAATGCTCAACAGCGGCCACTGCAGGGGTTGAACGTCCTCATCAAGTTAGATCTCAATTTCTTTGACAGTATGTTCAGCTCTGAAAAATGTTTCTTTAACACATAAAATGTGTCATCAAACACTTCAGTTTATCTACAACAGACGGTAACTTACCCAGAACCTGAAATTCATGAGTCAGAGTGCAGTTTGTGCGGGGTGTGTAGCAGCATTGTGTTCCACTCCTTTTTTTTAATGAACAGAGTTTCAAAAAGCATGTCCTACCTGATCACACAAACACTCACCTGTCATCCTCGAGTAATCATCAAATCATTACCTGCTTTAGTATGTCCGGAAATATTTTGAAGACGTCACTGCACTAAATACCTTATCATCTGGAGGTGTCTGGGTATCTAAAGTGTGACTGAGTACAGCTTTGTAAGATGCCATAGCTGCACTAAAATGAGATTTCTGGCATGGGACCACTTTGATACTCTGAAAATACAGTGATTGGTTAGATTTGGGATCACTGTTGTTGTATAATGACTCAAATTTCTGATCTCAGCTCAGTATTTCGAATGCATTGGTGACAGAAAGTGATGATCTGCCACAGATGTGATAATACTGCAGCTGAATACCAAATCCAAGTGTTTTGAGACATAGCATGAGGGCATATTGAAATATTTTTATGTATTGTTTCTGGATATAAGACATCTGGATTCGCTGGTCTATATGAGGGGGATTTCTCTCACCACTTGTCATATAAATCTCCAAATATGTCTCAGATATGATGAAGCCATTTCAGCATCCTCCTCCTTCTCGTGTTGCCTCCACGATGGGGAATCATGACTGTGCGACTGAATGGCACTTAAATAAATCTTGACAAGTTACTTTGAGTTTGAGCTATGAGCTGACCATCTACATGCAGCTCAACAGATTTATACTCGACCAGTGTCTCTCAATGTCATGTACCAAGGCTGTCACCACATTAGATTTACACCTTATGGTAAAAGAAGCCATAAAACATCCTGATAAAAACTTTTTATAAGTATTTATGGAAAACCTTAAAATAAAATAGCCCAAATCAGTGAGAAAAGAAAACAAGGATGGATCAAAACACGACCTTATAACCTTCAATAAGAAACACAGTGAACCTACGTGTCCTCATCAATTTCTATTAATATACACAGTTATAATTCATCACCAGCACTGGACAAGACATTATGTTATTTAATGATTTCTTTTTGTCTCACATATAGGTGTCTATATTCTCTGCATTGTCAAACTATGCCTTTATTTTGAAGTTTGCTCCCTCTGGTAGATTATAAATTACAGAGCTGGGTTAATACAGTGAAAAGAACGGTTGAAAGAATGGATTTTTAATTAATTACTAATCTAAACATTTTTTGGATTCACGATTAAAAGAGTCTTATCATCTCTCTGATGGCTGCATGCTTCATCTTATCCAACAGCTTTACAAAGCTTCCCCGCAGTAAATTCGTGTTATTTTTTTTATTATTTATTATTTTTATTATTGTGTTTGAGACTTCACAAATGTTATCAATATACAGAATCAATATTCTTCCCAGTACAGAACCTTGGGAAACCCCACGCTCAACCTAACAGTTCTGACTGAACCTCATAGCAGTCTTCTCCTTCAGCTGTCCTCTGTCTTATGGCCTCTGTCAACCAGCCTTAAGGACCGCTACTATGAAGCCGCAGTACTACTTTATGCCTATATTCCAAAAAAATAAAAATAAATTAAAAAAAATTGATAATAATAATAATAATAATAATAATAATAACTTTATTTGTATAGAACATAAAAAAAAAGATGTTTACAAAGTGCTTTGACATGTAGTCGTAGAGCACATGGAAAAAGACAAATAAAAACAAAAAGCTCAGTTAAAACAGAATTGAAGGCCATTTTCATGTCATAAGGAACCCAGACAACACAAGAACCATGCAACATAAAATGAGACCATGAGGACCAAAATAAAAACATTAAATAGTTAAGAAAAAAGGAAAATGCAGTTAAAAGGGAGGAAGAAAGTGGAAACAGGATACTAAATATAAAAGGCAATATCAACAATAATAATAAAATAATAACAGGTAATCTGATAATAAAAGTCATAATCAAATAGAACAACAGAAATGAGCAAGAGATAAAACAATAAAAGGCCCAAAAGGTTAATTAAGAAAAGAGTACAAGTTTAACAAAAGCTAAAAAGACGGTAAAGCAGAAATACGATAGAGGTAAAAGAGATAAAAGATGACAGATAAAAGATAGAGATAAAAGATAAAAAATAAATGGCGGCATCACTTAAAAGCAAGTCTGTAAAAGTGAGTTATATATCATATATTATATATATATTATATTGTTTTTAAAAGACAGTTATTGTTGATACTGTTATATTGTGACAGTCAGTGCACAAACACAAGTATGAATTCATGTATCTACCATGAATCTATCAGTTTGTGCTTCATGCTGATCAGTGCTCATCTGCAGATTTAGACAACTAGCATTTTTGATCACAAAAACAATCACTCCAACTTCAAGTTTCTTCATTACATGTGCCTAAACATAAGAATTTCTTAAAGTGTGTGGAAATATTGCTTTGTTTCTTTAGAACACTAATGTTGTGTTATATGTGACCTCTGTTTAAAAGAAATCATTCCCAAATCTCACACAAAAAGAGCATTATAACCAGCTCAAAATCAGTTAATTATTACTTCTATATATTGTAAGTGACAACTGTGTCAAGGACCCCAAAAAAAACTAAACCCTCCCTTCCCCCGCACCCCCACTTATCCTAAATCTTGTAGTTGTCTGTTGATATGTGTCATTGATCCTCCATTCATTCCTGGACCAGCCCAGCTGTCAATCACTTCCACCTCACTGCTCCCCCCAACGGCTGCACTCAGTCCCACTGCAGCTCCAGACGTCCATCTGAGCTCTTTTATGCAATCCACCCCTTCACTGCTACGTGACGGCATGGGAGACCAGGCGCTGACCCTGAATCAGTTCCTGTTGCAGCACTTGGGGAGGGTGGATGCAGAGAGGGTGAAAAAGAAAACAGAGAGAAAGGGGAAGCCAATCATCACATCACCTCCTTAGCCAGACAGAGCAGATCTCAGAGATTTAAATGTTGATAATTAAAAAATAGGAGCATATTGTTTAGCCCCCAGGGCAGACTCATACAGTAGAGAAGCTACGCCGGAGGAGAGGGGGGTGGGGTCACCTCTGCTGCCACCAACAGAGATATCCAATAGAGGCTGCAGGGGCTGGGGGCGGGGGCCATCCATTTCAACATCCAGGGATTATGCAGCTCAATCAGACTCTGGCAGATTATGTCTGAACCAAAACAGACTCAGCCAGGGATGGAGATTAACAACTATTTCCAAATAACTCTGTTGCATGAAAACAATCAGCTTTGAGATTAAGAGGAGAGCGAGAGGCTTCAAATGGCCCACAGATGTAAAAGCGATGGTTTGGGAGGATAAATCTGTCCTGAAATCCTTTCAGACGCAATGGTTTCAATATGTTTCTGAGGTTAGAGTGTAATTGGATTGATTTTACTAATCCAAAAAATATTCTCGGAAAGCTTCTAAGAAAAAAAAACAATCAGAGTCAGCAAAAACCTGTCCTTCAGGGACGTAATTAAAAATCCCCACCCTGTCACGAACACTAATCTGGGTTAAATGGTTAAATGCAGATTGATCTTTAAAGCAGGGATAAAATATGAAACTGATAACAAATTGGTCTTTGCTCTGGTTAACTTTTATTTGTTAGTAACTGCATTAGATTAATCTCCCCTTCAGAGTGCTGCATCGATGCTTCATCATCCAAGAAAAGACCAATGTGGGAACACAACCCAAGGAGAAAATCTGATGATCCAGTAATCCAAAATCTAGAATCTGACCTCAAGATATCATGAAATAATCTCAATGGAACCTCCTATACTGGCTGTCAGAAGAAAAAAGTTTAAGGTGATGCTCGCAGGATCAGATTAAAAGTAAAGGTCCTTTCACACCGGGACTGTCTTTTTCGTACGATTATTTCGGATGTTAATATTTTTTTTCAAACCCATATTCTGTCAATACAAGTGTTCACACCAGAGACGTTTTCCCGTCCTGCGATATTGCGACATTTATTTTTTTTGGATCATGGTCGATTTTCTAAAGTTTCACATATTGTGTGTCCACGTCTGACCAATCAGATTGCGTGTTGTTGCGACGACAGATTCACCGGTATATCCAACATGGCCGACCAGCAGATTGTTTACGTTTATTGTTTGATAAAAGACACAAACATTACAAAGATAACAACCTTAACGACAACTTGTGGAGAGTCATAGCGTTGGATCTCTCATATGACAATAGTTAGTGTGCTTTAACAGTTTGCTAAACGTCTTTGTTTTAACTTTCATCTGTGCTAAGTAACTTTAGCTCATAAACTAACCTGTTCAGATACAGCATGCCATATGTATTTTCACTGCCTCAAACTCAATGTGCAGGCCTAACTTTCTTAAAAAATAAAATAAAATACAAATATTGTACTAAAACAATCAAATAGTAATTCTGTGTAATTAATTAGTTGAGAGTAGAGGGCAGTATTGGTTCTTAATCTGTTTTTTAAGGCAAAATTGTGGAACTGTTTGCCAACTGAGCCGGCACAACAACATAACTGTAGTGTTTAGTCAAGGGTCTTAAATCCTGATGGAACAAGAAACAACTCTGCTCTGTGGCCTGCAACATCAGCAGACATGTCAGGAGAGGATTTACTGTTTGGAAATCCTCTAACATTCATCATTGTTGCATTCACCACTGAGATCTCATACATTAATGCGTTAATGTCATTCTGAAAAGCAGAATCACATGAATGTGTTTAATCTCTGGAGTCTGTCACAGGGCTGGTGGTGTGTACAAAACATGAACATTGAACATCATTGGAAATAATTAATTGCTGACACTGAGGTAAGCAGGGTTAGGTAAGACAAGTTGACCGCAGAGATCCATACATAAACAGAGCAAACTCAAAGTAAAACTGCAGTGATTAAAAATGTAGGCATTAATTATTGTGTTTAAGAACAAACGAGGTAAAAATGAGACATAATTAAAAATGAGACATTTAAATATGAAAAAATGGTCAAAGTTTAGAAGTGTACAAGGGTATTGTTGCTTCATCTTTATCTTTTACTCAATACGACAAAAGGCAGCCTTTTTTTCTATATTTGTAATAATCAATAAATGAAGAAATATCATCCTTATTGTAATTTTCTGGGCCATGATAACAGTGAGGATAGAACCTGATATTGTGACAGCCCTCATCTGTTTTCTTTTGTGCTAATCACAGCTGTTTGCAGACACAGGACAACAACGTTCCAGGTGTTTTGTCGAATAATTCAAGATTTACAACTGTGACATACCTGCTATGAAACTTTGAGCAGTGGTTCTTAACTGGTCCCACTCTGGGACCCACACTTTCCCATGGTCCTTAAGTCGCGACCCATTTTTACAGAATTCAAACTAAGCAAATTTAATTTTATATATAAAAAAAAACCTTTAAAGACTCTAATCTTTATCATAAATCCTCTTGTTTTATTGAGTAAAGTGCATTTCAGAGCACATGAAGGGGACAACATGAGGACGACAACAACTGAAGTTGCTTGTTCCAAAAACATCAAATATCTAATTAATATTGCATTAAATATTTACTTTTTTGACCAGCTGTTCGGGACCCATCCAGAACATGTCCGTGACCCACTTTTGGGTCAGGACCCACCAGTTGAAAACCACTGCTTTGAGTGAGGTTTAGGATGCCAGCTTCTTGTTTGCTTGTTATGTGTTATTTTGTTCATGGAAGTCTATGTATCAACACCCCATCATTATCATCAGGTGTCCAACAGGACCCAGCATGAAACAGCTGTTTGACAGTCTGCTAAAATAAGTCTCACCTGCAGTAGCTGTTTGGTGTGTACTTCTCTAAAGGCTGAGGATCCTTTGGTGATTGAACCTCCTGATAGCTGTGACAGGCCTCCAAATACAGGAAGAGCCCTTCAGTGTGCTTAAGTCAGGGACAGAGGTGTTATTTAAAAACTTATGCTGATTCATTTTCATTTTTTTCCTTCAGCTCACTCACCCAGGTTAAGAAATGCTGGGATATCCTCTGGTAAAACATCAGATGTATTAGAGATTTGAATTCAAAGGCCATTCAGACACACAGAAACAGCTGAAGAACAATGATTTTATCATGATACTTGTTTAACTCACATTATTATGCTGGAATTGGATTAACCTCCATGTTTCTGAGAGTGTTCAGTGTGTGTCTCTGCTGCGCTGTGAGTGTGGGGACTGTGAAATAGAGCTGCAGGCCGACTGATGAGTGACACTCTGAATGTGCATTCCACTTGATTAGCTCCGTGCTTCAATTCACTGATGGTAGTCCTTTCATCCTATTAGCTCCAAATTCCTATAACGGGGTCTCTAAATGCATGGGCCCCAAAACCAGGGCCGGCCCCTGCTGGGAGGGCATATGGGGTGCTTTGTTGGCAGGAAGGGAGTGTGTGTGCAGGGTCCACCAATCACTGCCCTCGCCTGGGGAGTTAAACAAATTGATTGGCAGGCAAGTGGCGGCCAGTTCCAGACACTGTGGTCCCTATTCATCCCAACACAGAGCCCAAAGAGCTCTGCGGTGAGCCAGCTGAAAGGCTGGAGGAGTCATAAAAGAGGACTAGTTTATTCTTTAAACATACACTTCCACATTTGGTTACAACACACCACCACCGAGCCTGAAATCCTCAGTCTGCTCCCTTTACAAAGTGGTTTTCGGGATTCATCTGTGAGTCACAGCAGCAGGCTGGAAAGAGGTTTACGAGGCTGATCCTCTATAGGATCAAGCAGAAAGTGTGTTTTCAAAATGTTTTGGTTTTAACTCAGGCTACACTAACAGTTCACAGTCTGATTTTCTGAACAGTCTATATTAGCTGACAGCCTCCAGTATACGCTACTTTTCTGATTGTGTTTCCAACTCAATTTCCCCAAAGTTTCTAAAGTACACAGATTAATAAACCCACATGAAGGAGTTTCACTGATTCATCTGATGTCATACCAGGTCCAGCTGTCTGTCTTTTTTCTTTTATTTTAATGTATGTACAATGCTGCATTCCAGTTGTACTCAGAAGTCGGAATTTCAGAGCTCCAAGTCGGAAATTCATCTGGAACGCCCCCCTGAAGTGGGATTTCCTACTTGGAAATTTGGGCGATTCTCACCAACCCTGACTTGACGACAATGTCATAATTCAAGAGGGCAGCGCAGTGCATCAACAGTAAAGAGTAACAGTGAAAGCTCTTGCAATGTATTATTTATTAGCACTTCTGTTTTGTTTTGTTTTTTGTGAAATTAAATAAGTGGTATAAGATGAACTGCCCAACGTCTAACTGTGAACATGGTGCTACGACAACCGCTAACAACGGCTAACGACAGCTGACAATTGTAAACAACAGCTAACAACGGGTAACTGTAGGGGTCTATCTTGGTTTTCCAACTTGTTAACTGGAAAGCTGTCAACTCGGGTGTAACGTCATTCCTAGCTCTGACATCCGACTTCAAAAGTAACTGGAACGCAGCACAAGTCAATTCATGTTTTTTTTGTTTTGTTTTTCTTTTAATCAAGTACTGTCTTATCAGCACCAGTGAGAAAACAGGGTATGTGAATTGTTGCAGTAAAGTGGTGCATCATCAATATCTGAATGTTTACACTGGCCTGTCGACTAAAAACCACTCCAGTGGGTCAGCTGTCATGATGCTTTAGTGGGTTTTTGATGCCTGATAAGGATGCGGTTCGTCATCCTGTGAACCATACTGTCTGTGTATGTTTTTTTTTTTCTAAAGTTACAAAACTTTCCCCTTTATAGTGTGTGTGTTTCTCACCTCCTTCATGTTACAGTTGTCTGTGTTTACAACTCGTTGAAATAAAAAAGCACTATGCAGTAAGTTCTTTTTTCTGTTTGGCAGCCCACACTGTTGGTAATGTAGCTTTAAAAAAAAAAAAAAAAACAACAATAACAGAGTTTCTTCACCATCTACTTCAAGAATTAGACTGACAGCAAAACAAGTCCCTTCTGCTACCTCACTTTAGTAAGGAAAGTGACCCTTTTCTATATGTTTTGAACCAAAGAAGCCCAGATTTGCATTTTATCAACTAAAGCCATTATTTTTACCATTCTGTGCTTTGACCTTTTTTTAATGCAAGAAATATTGATTTGTAACACTTCTGTCATTCTTCCCCAGGTGCCACAGTCTGCACCCTAACCGGGCCTGATGAAAACAGGCCGTCACACAGAAGCGGTCATCTGCCGATGCCAAGGTGAATGGCTCAGTGCCCACATAGATTAAACCAGTTCGCAATTAGCCAAGGCCAGTCAGCCAGCAAGACACCAACAGGCAGGCAGCAGCTCAAACTAGCCAACCAGGCAGACACACACACACACACACACACACACACACACACACACACACACACACACACACACACACAAACTCATGCCCAGCTGCATTATTTTTCTATTATTTCTTTCTGTCTTCTGTTGGGGCTGTTTATCATGACCTGATTCTGCCTGAACATGCGGTTTGCACCCTCTCTCTCTCTTCCTGCCCCCCCCCCCCCCCCATCTCTCTTTCTCTCTCACACACAAACACTCAGCGTCATGACTTGTACCTCTGCATCATGTTTCCCTCTCTTCCTGTTACTCTCTCTCCTTCATTCTGGATTCAATCGGTTGAGCCATCTTGGATCATAGCTGGAGTCATGGGGCCCTTTATTATCAGTGCTGTGCTGAAATGGTTTGGACTTCTTTCAGTAGAGGCAAAAATGATCCTCTACAGGTCCTTTCACACCGGAACTGTTTTATTGTTCGATTATTACAGATGTCCGAATATTTTTTCGGAACACGGCCAATTTTTCTAAAGTTTTGCATACTGTGTGTCCACTTCTGACCAATCAGATTGCGTGTTGTTGTGACATCTGATTCATCAGTATATCCAACATGGCCGACCGGCTGATTGTTTACATGTCGGAGAACAGAGTGGTTTTTGATAAAAGACACAAATATTGCAAAGATAACGACCTGAAGGACAACTTGTGGAGAGTCATAGTGGCGGATCTCTTATATGACGATATTTGTGTGCTTTAACAGTTTGCTAAACGTTTTTGTTTTAACTTTCATCTGTGCTAAGTAACTTTAGCTCGTAAGCTAACCTGTTCAGATACAACATACCATATGTATTTTCACTGTCTCAAACTCAATCACGTTGCTGTCACAGCACCATTAGGTCTCGGTTGTTACCTTACGTTTATGGATTATAGTTTAATGCGCTTATCTGGAACTGGCCCCGACTCAGTACATGCTATCATGACAGACAGCCATCTCAACACTAGTGTCTAATCAGAACTGAATCCGGGACACGTCTTTTTCCCCCTGGAAAGTCTCAAAATCGCATCAGGCTTGATGTGTATAGTCAGGCGTGCCAAAATTCGCCTCCGAATATTTCGTAATTTCGTGTTCTTTATTTGCGTCGGTCCTGGTGTGTAAGGACCTTACCAGTTAGAAACATCAGTGGTTATTAAGATGAGTTATTGAGCTTGAAACACTGGATCTGTTACCAACATCAAAAACCTTTGGTTGTTGCGCGGTTGGTAATTCAACCACAAACTGATGGTCCACAAAATTTTAACAGATCCCGTATTTTTTGACTTCTTACAGCCAGTTCAAAGAGTGTTTCTGAAACAGGTGAATAGAGAGTGATAATAATCTGATCCAGATTTAACAAAAGCATGATCAGCTTGGACACAACGGGTGTAAGTTTTGTACTGTTTCTTAAATACTCAGAGCCTGGCCCAGTTGGATACAGACACAGGGCATGCTTTAGAGGAGGAAGTGTGTGTGTGTGTGTGTGTGTGTGTGTGTGTGTGTGTGTGTGTGTGTGTGTGTGTGTGTGTGTGTGTGTAGGTGGACAGGCCCAGCTGCCTGTGTTAGCCCTCTACAGAGCACTGACCTGAGTGTCATGGAGCACCAGTATGAGGCATATTATCCACCTCATCAAACAGACCCCCTGAATCACTCTTGACTCTCTCAATACTCTTTTTATCTAATGTACTGTGCGCATTTCAAAAGGGGGTTAGCTGGATGGGTGGGTGGGTGTAGGGGGTTAGAGTAACAGGAGAGAGAGAGAGAGAGAGGGGTAAAAGAGAAGGAGAGAAACAGCTTTTTATGAGAGACTGGATGGAGAACAGGGCAGAAAGTCTCTCGCTTTGTCCGAGAATGGAAATCATATTTGGTGGGGGGCCATCGCTTTTGTTGTGTATTAAAAGAGTAGTTGAAAAGACAGAGCATTTCTTTGTGTGTGTATGAAGTGTGTCAGCATGTCCCTCACAGTTTCAGTCTTCAGAATATGTTAACATGTGTCTAAGTCTAGATTTAGAAATTTGTTTGAATGCCACAAGCTGCAAGCAGTTTTTTACCACTGGATCACAAAAATATAAGTACTTTGCAGCTGTATTAATTATAGGAAAAGAGGTGGTAGCTGCATTGAAAGGACTGCTTTCTGAACACTGTGACACATAATTGGATTTTAATGTGTTTCTAAATTTCTTGGACAACTTCCTCTCACTCCAGCGCTGGAATTAGTCTGTTCGGTGTCAGTCTGAAATTTCAAAGCCACGATACAACGGCCGAGAAGCCTTTACATATCTTATACTTGGAATAAGATCATAAAGAAATATTTGTAAGAGATGGTGCAGAGAGAGAAAGGTGAACTGAGATGAGATATGAAGATAAAGTGAAGTGGCCTTACCCTGTCAACCAACAACTAGAGATACAAACAGATTGTCTGAAGATGATTTTGTAGATTCAAAAATGGTCTACTTATGCAGTTGAAAAAAGAAATGGCAAGTTATTCGTGACACAGTCAAGATAAATAGCACTTATATGAGGGATAACACCGACACAAAGCCACCGACCGCTCGTCTGATCGTACACGCGTTATCAAGCAGACCGCAAACAACCTGCAGTGTTTGACGACACTTGTATTTGACCAATCTCTGACAAGGTGTGGGAGCTCTGTGAGAGAAGACAAACAGCATCCAGCTGGGTTCACAGCTTTCAAGGGCTCCTTTATCAAGCTCAAATGTTTGACTGCCACTGATGATGCTTATGTAACTTGGCCGGCTACTGCAAGGGCTCCAGCAGAAATGCTAACAAGGATATTATCCACCATCCCTGCCACTGATCGATGACCTTTTCACACAAGCACACTAATTACCCTAATTTAATCTTTCCTCTACAGTCTGTCAGTGTACAGGTGTCCATCCATTTCAAATCTACTCATAAAGGATTTCTTTTTTTCTGTTTTTGAGGTAGGTCTTGGTCTTTTGCCACATAAGTAGGTAATCAACATAAAACAAGGACAAGTTTTTCTTCCAAGTGCATCAGAAAATATTGTCTCTCAAAATCTGAGAACATCATGAAAAACTTTTTTTAAATTTCTTTTTTAAATAGTTTGATTCAAAACTGTTAGCTTCAGTCCGTTCAAAATTCATCACATATAAGATGAAACATGCTTAAGTTTTGTTGGTTAGTTTGATGATTACAGCTAATAGCTCATGTCATCAGAAATCCAGTATCTTAAACTATTACAATCTTAACAGCCAATCTAAACTAACACATCAATAAATATTTGAACAAATGAATGAAAATAGAATTGTACAAACAGATATGCCTGACTTCCAAAAACTATGTTCAAACTTCATGCTGGAGTTCAAACACCTTGGATTTTGAGCCTCTCTGATCCTCCTCCAGACTTTGGGACCTTTATTTTCAACTGAGGCTATGTTCCCACTGCAGGTCAATTCAGATTTTTTCATGTGTGTGAACAGTGCAATTCAGCTTTTTTCAAATGTGACCCAGGCCTTTTCTGTACGTCGATATAAATCAGATATGTATCCGATGTGACTGCAGTGTGGACGCTCAGGTCGCGTTCATCCGACCTATACGTCATGAATATGTGACAAACATCACCATTGTTCGACAACACAAACAGGCACGGAAAGCAATTTGTGCTTTGTGCAAATGCGAGTCACTTCACGGACTCATTCCGTTCACATTAGATGTCGCATTTGTTGTTGTAATGTAACAATCGCACAAAAAGATCGGATTTAACAAAAAAACTGAATTGTGCATCATAACCTGCAGTGTGAACGTAGCCTGAGATACTGATTTGACTTTCAACTTAAAACGGGACTTAGGACCTCTGAGCAGTTGTCCAGATCTTGTTATTCTTAGCCCAGGTGACACTCTCTGACATTATCTCTGGTTCAGTAAGGTCTTGAAAGTAGGACTACTACACTTGTAGTCCAGTTTCTTGGCTCATCTGTGCGTAGAGGATGCACAGTAGATGCTCTGACTCCAGCCTCAATCTAGTCTTTGTGAAGCACCCCTAAGTTCTTGAATCTGGGTTGTCTGAGTCCTCTTGAGGCTGCACTCATCCCTATTGCTTGGTCTTCTTTTCCTCCCTCACCGTTCCCTTCAGTCATCTTTCATGAATCTGCATCTATACAGACTCTGTGAACAGCCAGACTTTTCAGTAGTGACCCACTGTGGCTGATCCTTCTTACAGAAGGGGGTCACTGATGGTCCTAATAAACATCTAGTCAGCAGTGTGAACCATGACTGTGGTTGACTGTACCTTTAAGGTAGACAGATCCATGGTTGGTTCTACTTTAACAGTTATTTACTCAAACTTGACATAAAAACTATTCCAATATTTAGGAGATTATTTCTTTTAACCCTTGAGTTGTAGACCGTAATAATCCAAACCAAAACAGAGGAACTTTTGAAATATTTTAGTCCATATATGTGTAGTAAATTTGGAATATTTGACATTTTCTGTTCCTGAAATAAAATAACCCATGAAAACACTAAACTTGTTCCATGATATTCAGATTTTTTGAGCTGCAGCTACTTGTTGATCTGACTGAACCGACTGTCATCGATGATAATGGTGGACTAAATTCTTCCTCCAGTTTCATTCCTTCTGTGGAGTTAACATGTATATCGGTAGTTTTAACTTGGCGTCAGTAGATATCAGTTCAGTTAAGCTGAATGGTTGTAGCAACACTGACTGAAGCTCCCATGTTGGGAAACAGATGTGCTGTCTGAGGCTAACATCTGTGAAGGGTTAGTTTTCCCTCCGCTGGAGGTGGATCACTGATGGGCCTGACGAGCATTAACTTCTCATTACCAGCTCCGTCTCTTTTGTTGTATCTCAATAAAAGAAAAAAGCAAAGCAAAGAACCAACCAGCCTTTATTTTATATAAGTGTGACCAGCTCAGAGAGCCCAGTGCAAACACACAGCAGAACTTTGAACTCCGTGGTTTGGAGGTCAGAACCTGGTCAGACATTGGGGGGAGGAAAAGAGGCCCTCTGGGTTCAAGTGGATCCTCTAAAAGTGACCGAGGAGAATGGGCCTCAGAAACACACACTCACACTTAGACACATACTTAAACTCCTTTAAGCCACAGACAGAGGTGAAGTGTCAGTGCAGATGTTTTGTGTTGTGTCCAGCCACCCATGTGGAGGGCAGGGGGAGCTGGTGACTGGATGGTCAGCCACTTTTGAAGTGATTAACAGGCGGACTTTTATCAGCCCATTTTGACTCCCATCTTTACAAATACAGCTGTTTAGTCACGGTGGCCAATCACACATCGATTCTACCATGAACATGTTAACACTGTGAATTGAAACGTGTCGTACGTGAACTTTCACTGAGGAGACTGATTAGAACTTTTTGCAGTGGAGGTGTTACTGCTGAATACATGTCGTACCCTGCAAATGTGGACGGACACGTAAAACTCAAGCTGAGTGTACGGTGCATTTACACAGCTATCGGCTCAAGGTCCTTTCACCCGGGGACCATTTTTGTTGTGCGATTATTTCGGACGTCGATATATTTTTTTAACTCGTATCCTGTCAATTTTTCTAAAGTTAAGCATACTGTGTGTCCACTTCTGACCAATCAGATTGCATGTTGTTGCAATGTCAGATTCACCGGTATATCCAACATGGCTGACCAGCTGATTGTTTACGTGTCAGAGAACAGAGTGCTTTTTGATAAAAGACACAAACATTGCAAAGATAACAACCTGAAAGACAACTTGTGAAGAGTCATAGTATCAGATTTCTCATATAACGATGGTTTGTTTACTTTAACAGTTTGCTAAACGTCTTTGTTTTAACTTTCATCTGTGCTAAGTAACTTTAGCTCGTAAGCTAACCTGTTCAGATACAACATACCATATGTATTTTCACTGTCTCAAACTCAATCGTGTTGCTGTCACAGCACCATTAGGTCTCAGTTGTTACCTTACGTTTATGGATTATAGTTTAATGTGCTTATCTGGTACTGGCCCCGACTTAGTACATGCTATCATGACAGACAGCCATCTCAACACTAGTGTCTAATCAGAACTGAAAAACAGTCAGTCTGCTGTTGTGTCAGTCTTCTCGCTTTCACCCAGGACGCACCTTTTTCCTCCCGGAAAGTCGCAAAATCGCATCGGGCTTGATGTGTATAGTCAGGCGCGTCAAAATTCGCTTCCGAATATTTCGTAATTTCGTGTGCTATATTCGTCTCAGCCCCAGTGTGTAAGGACCTTTACTCACTTGATTTTTTGATGCAAGGTTAGAACTAAAAAAAACAAACTTTTAATCACAGCAGCTGTGGTCAGGATGCAGCTGAAGAGGGTTTGCAGCAGTGTTACAGATTTATACACCATATTCATGCTCTTCAAAGTTTCCCAGTAATAAGAGGGATCTTTGTCAATCTAAACAGTCAGTAGCTTTCAATATCAATGTTCTCAAACTCCCCTGCACCAATCACCCACCTACCCCCCATCCTGCCCCCTATATTTGTACAGCAGGTGATTAATGGATGCCATTAGATTGGAGTCTATTTGAAACTGTAAAGCAGCAGACCAGTGATGGAGATGTGCCAAATGGCTTTATTGGGTGTTATCATCCCATTTCAGGGCCCCACAAAGTTGGTTAATGATTGACGTGCCTGTACCTGTGGATGGCTGAAACACATGGTGGACGGGTGAAGTGGAGATGGAGCTTTGAACATTTATGGTAGTTTCCTGGCAAGCAAAAGCAAATACTCTGACATTCTGGATGATATGATTTTTTTATTTTTTTGCTGTTTATGCAGATAAACTGACAAAAAAAGATTTTAAAATGTAATGAAATTTTGTGATGTACTGTGAAACTGTTGTGACTATTATTCAAAGAAAGTTGGAGTCAGGCTGTTTTCAAAAGCGAGCCAAAATGATTAAGAAAAACTAAAATAATAATAATAATAATAAAAAAAAAAAAGCCTTGATACCTCTGTACAGCAGGTGACATGACACTTTTTTTTCCCATCTTCAGCTGTGAAGGCAGTTTCACTGAGAACGAGTTTTGATCAGTCAGCCATACATGAGGAGGTTGTGCACCTTTATAGCCTGGACTGAGTGTTCGGCTCACATACATACCAGAGCAAAGCGATTTGCTCAAATGAATAATCGGTTGTGCATAAAGACTAAGGGCCTGATCTACTAAGATCCCAAATACTGAGCGCTAAATTGCATGTGCAAACTAAAAAATTGCATGTGTTGCGGGTGGTCTACTATCATTGCGTGCGCAATTAACGGGTGCAACAGTGGTGTGGACCGTCCTCTTATAAGGAGGATATTGCGTGCTCTATCGTACGTCACCATGGAGAGTTTATGAGAGCAGAGTGTTTGAAGCCATAGAGTAGCACATATCGTTTTGGGGAACTGCATAAAAGGCAAGGCAAGTTTATTTGTATAGCACCATTCATACACAAGACAATTCAAAGTGCTTTACAGATACAAGGCTATATACTAGAAAACAAAAAAGGGATTAAATCGATTTAAAATTAATAAGACAAACAGATACATTTTTTTTGTCTGTTCCATGTTTGACATTATTTATGAAAATCATCATTTACCAGAAAAATTAAATAAATCACAAGCTTTTGGACAAGGACCTTGGCGTGTATCATGGCTCTTCTGCATCCTTCTCCCCACAATGACTGTGCGTAATGCTGTGTCAGTTTGCACGTGCTAAACGTGCTAAATAGAGACACAAAACAGCGACAGCAATCGGTTTCCGAGTTTGATAGATCACACTGCGGGTGCTAAATGATTTCATTTGCACCTGCTCCTCACAGAATTTTGTGCGTTCTGATGATCTACATACATTCTGCATATTCATGAAGGCAAATACACTAAATCGATTGCGCGCAGTGTTTTGCTCATTTGACAGACGCAATCCTCAGTGCACCTGGTTAGTAGATCAGGTGTACGTGTGCTATCAAGTTTGCACGTGTTTTTGCACATGCAAAACTTTAGGAGATCAGGCCCTAAATATCTCAGATATTCAAGCCCCATTTTTTTTTAAGCCTGGTAGAATGTTTTTATTGTTTTGTGTCCTCTATATTGTCTGTTGTGTTGTGTAAGACACAATACTTAAGCATCTCTCGCTCATCACTGCATTCTCTATGATCTGGCTGGTTGGACATCACTAAGCATTCGCAGACAACAACACACTGGTATTTATTCATCTATAAAGCTCTGCAGGGTAAACTCCCAGAATACCTCAGGAGCCTCCTCTCTATCAACTCTGTGAACCCCAGAGTAGTTGCTTTTGGTCTTAAGATCCTTTCACACCAGGACAATTTTTTATGTGCGATTATTTCGGACGTGAATATTTTTTTAGCTCATAATATTATATTTTGTAATTTTGCATGCTATATTAGCGTTGGCCCGGTGTGTAAGGACCTTTAGACAGGGCTGGGCAAAACATTATTCTCCCATCATGCACCATGGTTATGGAACACCCTTCAAGAAATTCTCAGATTAAACACTCGTGTCATTAAATAATTTTAGGAGTATCAATAAAGAATACAGTAGAGGAGGAAGGTCACTGTTTTTTCATGAGAGGCCACCTCTTTGAACAGCTGTTACTCTGCTGTTTTATTGTACATGCACCTTTATCTGTTTTATCTCTTCATTGACTTTGAGTACTACATTGGCCAGGCCTCTCTAATGAAAGAGATTTTTAATCTCAATTGGACTGCTGGCCAGGTTATACCACTTTAAGGTGTCACCACTATGTCAGTGTAAATGCAGAGAGAAAAAAGTGCCCATGGTGTAGAGCTCAGCGGACTCCTCATGTGGAGAGTTCCCCTTCAAAAAGTCCACATAAATGTCTGTTCTGAAAAAAGAAATATTTACTGAAAGCAGAATCACAACTTGTGCATTCACAAAACTCCCACACACCTAAAGCATGATCAGATACGGTTAAGGACACTGGGATCTATGTAAAAAGCCCTTTGGGGACTAATAATGGTTTTACTAACAGAAAGCTAGGAGTCCAGTTAGAGTACTTTACTAAGATGCAATTGAGGATTAAGAATCCAGTAGCAATCATCCCAACATGAGGTGGGGTTGAAGTAGATGAGTGCTGAACTTAAATGTACCACAAAGTTTGGATGAATGGACAACCATATCATAAAGAAGGGATACATGCCACAGAGGCAGATGCAGCCTGCAGCCTCTGTGGGTGGAGACTCTCTTGAAGTTGATGTCATGTTAATGAAGACCTACGCCTTTAGGTCACCCAGTCGCCTGCCATGTTTTGTCTCAGAGCCCATCCCCCACTCACACAGCATTTCAGTGATAGGGCTTTTGTGTGTCTGTGAGAAAGTGTGTGTGTATATGTTTTTGGTCCAAGGCAAGAGAAGTGTCTTTTTGTCTTCATTATAGTCACTCTGATCATTGGAAATCTATGAGTGGGGAAAACTGAGCGTAAATAATAATAATAATAATAATAATAATAAGAAGAAGAAGATCTATGATAAACAAAACGCAGTACTGATGTGGAAAGAGCTGCAAACTGAAAACAGTACATAAGTAGAATGTAAGAAGCTGATAACAGTGAATCAAAGTTGGCGAGACTGAACTTCAGATGTCCTTATAAAGATCCTTTTAACAGGAAATGAGTCCATCAACAGTGCTTACACACACAGTCATTTAGGCTCAGCACACATCAGACCTCTTTGAAAGGCCCATAATCAGCTGCCCGCTCCTGCTGTCGGCGGTGAAACATAGAGCTACAGCTGTCGTCTGTGTGTGCTAGCAAACCTCTGGAACTAATACTAATACTACAGTGCATTTTCAAAACACATGGTCAACATTTACAAATCAACAATTAGTCTGTCGTCTGCCAGCATGAGATGCTCGTTGAGCTAACTGCTCCGATATTGATGGTTCACAAACACGCCACACAAAAGTCGTCTGTAGGCTACATGGTCTTTCTTTTTGCCTTTGTTATACACCAATCTTAGGTCGTGTTCACACCTAAAGGTCCGTTTCCTGATTTGAATCCAAGGCAAGACGATACATTTGTTTTGATTGTTTCCAGAAAACTGAATCGGAAGTCACATGACCGCGAATATCGTTCCGTTATTGGTCATTAGTTTATGCGGGAATACAATCCCTGCTCTGCTGTCTTCGCCTGTCATGAGAGTTTGAGGTCAGTGTTCACACTGACCCAAATGAACAGCACCAAGGGGGTAAACGCTCCAGGGTTCGGTTCAACCAGACCCAACAAGGGTGGTGTGAATGCACCCTAAAACCCTTTCTTCATTTACTAACAGCACCTGCATGCTGTAAGTCCCTGAATCAGCACAGGGATTCAGCACCTGGATGTGGTCTGTGATCATTTTCACTTCACTGTGTCTGACGGTCGTATAAGCGACAGAGCTTATAATAGGAGACCAACATGTCCTTTGATCAACTCTCTTTCTCAACAGTTTTTCTTTTACCTTTTTTCCCCAAATTGTTTTCTCCAACTTTTGACTTTCTTACCATAATGTTGAACTTACTCTTTCAATGCAACATGCAAAAAGGGTAACGAATCAAATAACGGTTTGTGTGTGGCGCCATCTTGCGTAGCTGCCATAACTGTGGCGGTAACTCAGCGTCTCCTGCTGTAAACAGACCCTGACAGCGGTGTGGACAATGGGATTATAAAAGGTTACCATACCAGCCACCCATTTGTGATTCAGAGCTTTGTGTGATTCAGAGCATTATTCTACCATGCTCAGGTCATAGTCAGTCAACAACTGCATTTTATCATCTCAGACTAATTACATCAGCTATTAGACTTTCAAACTGAATATAAAGCTCAAATTGTCTTATAACACTTATAACTAAAGATTGTAATCAAGATGTCACTCAGTAACGGGCAAAATATACTTGATCTGATGAAAATGTCTCTCCTCTAAGTAGCTGCTCAGTCTCTGTGAGATGTTTATTCTTACACAGACTTACTCTTCATGTAGTTAAGGTCTTTACACACCGGGGCCGGCGCAAATATATAACGCGAAATTACGAAAATTTCTATATATATTTCTATATTTCTATTATACACATCCTAATGGTGCTGTGACAGCAACACGATTGAGTTTGAGGCAGTGAAAATACATATGGTATGTTGTATCTGAACAGGTTAGCTTACGAGCTAAAGTTACTTAGCACAGATGAAAGTTAAAACAAAGACGTTTAGCAAACTGTTAAAGCACACAAACCATCGTCATATGAGAAATCTGATGCTATGACTCTCCACAAGTTGTCCTTCAGGTCATTATCCCTGTAATATTTGTGTCTTTTATCAAAAAGCACTCTGTTCTCCGACACGTAAACAATCACCCGGTCGGCCATGTTGGATATACCGGTGAATAAGACATCACAACAACACGCAATCTGATTGGTCAGAAGTGGACACATTGTATGTGAAACTATAAAAAAATTGACCATGATCCGAAAAAAATAAATGCTGTGATATCGCAGGACGGGAATATGTCGCTGATGTGAACGCTTGTATTGACAGGATATGGGTTCGAAAAAAAAAATATTGACGTCCGAAATAATGGCACGAAAAAAAACGCTCCTGGTGTGACAGGACATTTAAGGCATAAGCGTCAGGCTCTCGATAAAGTCGCTGAAACTCTACAGGTTATATCAGATGCCACCTGCATTGTTATCAAAAGTGAAATTGTGAAAATAGCAAATGTCAAAGAGAAAATTGATCACAGTTTGTCTTAAAACACACTGACATTTTGAGCAGTCACCACCACAGTAATGGCCATTTGTAATTGGTCTGTACTTCACCTACATTAAATTAAAAACAAACACATTTAAGAAATCGTTTAAGGCTTCACAACATTTTTGTTCAAGATCTAATAAACATTTTTAATAACTTATATCAGTGTTCATGAAATGTTATAATGCAGTAATATGTTTAATGAAAAACTGATAACAACTCCTAATGAAATTTTGAGAACTCACTGAATATTAAAATGTAGCACATTATTTTTATGTGACTTCATCAAGTGTAACTGAGAATATAGACCTCTGACAGCTTCACTTTCTTTCTATCTATCTATCTATCTATCTATCTATCTATCTATCTATCTATCTATCTATCTATCTATCTATCTATCTATCTATCTATTTATTTATGTATTTGGTGGACATTGTTTGAGATTGCCATAGCTATACTTGATGACAGCAAATAAACAAAGTTATGAGTAAATAAGTCATGTACTGTAACCAGTGTCCATCTAATCATATTAAAACTGTTGTGATGATTTCTTTGTTGTATATTCTAGTTCATATTTCATTTTATTTAAAGCACCCACACTCTTGCTAGGGCGTGTAAGTAATAATTACACCGTTTTCCATCTGAGAATCACAGAAATGATGACTTCTTGTGGTGCACTAAATCAGTTCTGTGTGATTTATAAATGTTTTGCAGTTAGGTATGATGTTTAATAAATCATACCATTATGCTCAAGTTTGCCCTTGTTCAGAATAAGCAGGCCTGGGGGAGGAACATAAAAGCTCATATCTTAAAATGAAATTGAATTAGGGTAGAAGATCTGTGTGTAGGTGCAGACAGACAAGCAGGTGCAGTCTGTTTAGCTCTGGTCCATCTCTGGTCTATGTTTCCTCACAGTATTGTGTTGGACCTTTGTCTTCAGTCTCAATGATGGGCCTCTCAGCTCTTAAACACAAACAGATAGAAAAGTCTTCAAGCTAGCCACCATATTACTGTTACTACAATGGCACTAAAAGACCAGTTCAATAATAACTGCCTTCCCTTTCTTGAGTTTCAAAAACTGCTTTCTCAGGAGCCTCAAGTGGCTCCTTCTTGAGTGGTAAGAGTAAACATGAACATCCCTTAAGATCTCTGAAATCACTCACCGTCCGCTGGGGACAATATAGGCATTAGTAATCAAGAGTATATTCATAGAAGTGGTCAGTCTCTGCAGGGCCTCAGCATGGAGCTGTGAGGAAACCAAAGACTGGAGCTGGAAGTGAATACTGCTTTTAACCCTGACACCATTGTGCTGGCTGGAGCTAAAACAGGCAACCACACATAATGATTCCCTTTAGGTTTGAAGGGCTGACCTCACAGCGATAAAGGCGGAGAAGCAGGTGAGTGACGGGGTAATGTGACAAACAGCTGACTGACCTTATCTGACATGAATTATGCTTATTTATATGTATTATAAATTTAAGATTCAGTATCAAAGGAAACAAGATTTCTCAGAAGTGAAAGTGAACATCTGGCCTATTAGTTTTGTATATAACCCTTATTTCAGCCCATTGAGATTAAAAATCTCTATTTCGCTGGACACCTGGCCAAGGCAGCAGCAAAACCACACAGCTGCAGACACAGACACACAGGGAACCACAATACAGTTCAAAAAAATGGACAATAATAGATCAACAAGAGCAACCAGGTCATCAAACAACAAAGATACTCAAAAGACTCTTCTTCAAATTCTTTCATTTCAGGTTTAAAAACATTCAATGACTCTTGGAGTTTCAAGTCATTCTGTAGAAAATTCCAGGAGGAGGGTGAAAAATACCAAAAAGGCCTTTGACCAACTTCAGTGAGAGCTTTGTGACAGAAGCATAAAGAAGTCCTGAGGGTTGAGAAAATTGTCCAGCACAATGTAACAAAAACACAAAAAACTGTGGTAGCACTGCGCCAGAGACGGCCAACCAACCCTACAAAGAGACAGCCAGTCCAGGTTTAAACAGTCAGTCCAGGTTCAAAGAGTCAGAGTGGAAACTTTGCACCGTTCATCACCATTCCAGTACCATCCCTACAGTAAAGCATGATGGTGGCAGCAACATGCTGTGGGGATGTTTTTCAGCATCAGGAACAAGATTCATCTTTGAACAGGACAATGACCCTGAGCAAACAGCTGAGATAACACAGCAGCCCAGACTTGAACCCAACTGAACATCTCTGGAGAGATCTGAAGATGGTTGTGCGCCAATGCTCTCCATCCAACTTATTGGAGCTTGAGAGGTTCTGCAAAGAAGGATGGGAGAACCTGTCCAAAAATAGATGTACCAAGCTTTTAGCATCGTACTCAAAAAGACTTGAGGCTGTAACTGCTGCCAAAGGTGCAGCTACAAAGTACTGAGCAAACATTGTGAATACTTATGTACATGATTTATTTCTGGTTTTTTTTTTTTTGGTTAATAAATTTGCAAAATAGTGGTGTAGTGCCTACAATATACACCTTCAATATACACATTGGTGTACCAAAGACAAACAATATTCTAAGTGACGAAAAGTACCATAATGAATAAAATATGACATAAAGTACATACAGGTCAAGATAATATCAATATAAAAACGACAACCAGAAAAAAAAATGAATTTAAGTAAAGAAGATAAATGAACCAGTCATGACATTAGGTATAATCAAGAATAATCTCTTTCTACAAGCTAGTCTTTCACCAACTTTCATCCATGACAATTCATTATGCATTATCTCAATGCCGGTCCTAATTGACCAACGGATAGCTAGTCTCCCAGCTCTGTGATTTTGAATTGTGCCAATCACCTGATAAGTTTTAAACCTGTATTTTGGAGAGGAAAGCATTTTTGAAGTTTGTATGATGGTGCTATCTGACAGTTAGTCTGAGACTGCAGTTTGGGACAAGACCACGTGTTGACATGTGACCGCAGTGACCATGTTAAAGATTATCTGTTTCTTGGATGCTTAATGAAAAACACCTCCCAGCCGGTGATCACAGCACTGGAGCTATCAGACGAAGACAAACAGGCACAGGTTGTACACACAGTCAGCTCACCACTATTGATCTTTGGTTAATGTGTGACTGCTGGTTCAGCTCTGGATCAACACTGAAGTGCATTTATCAGTGTCAAATCCAACGCCATCAAGACTGTGGCGGTACGCCGGAAGACTTCAGCCTTCCCTCACTGCAATACTTACATGTAGACAGTTACGTGACATCTTCCACATAAATGAGGTCATTTTATCTTAAATAGGCTTTCTAGCACATCCTTTTGGGTTAGCTCTACACTTTAGTCGTATTGACCTCAGGGTGACCAATGTGCAGGATGATCAGAACAATTAAGAAAGAAGGAATTATTTTAGTTTATAATACTTTACTCAGTAGCAGCAACTACTCATAAGTACCCATCCGCTGTTTGTCTGGGGTACAGGGACATTTCTCAGTGGTCTGCTGTGAGCAGTCAGTGTGAACAGACCTCTCTGAAAGCACCATCATTTGTGGGACTCAGGGGTTTGGTTTATTGTGCTGTAAGTTTAAGTGCTACAAGGTCCTGACCACTTACAACAAAATATGATGTTGTGGACAACTTTAGTTCCAGCTAAACTAGTCAAGCAAGCTGGTGATAATTAATCTACAGCTAGTACAAAATAACAATGGCAACATTGAGGCATGGCATTAGCCATGACATACACTGATCCAACAGTACTCTCGTATTGTGCAGATGAAATTATATTCCCTCTATGACAGTGGTTCTCAACCGCGGGGGCGTGGACTCACTGGCTATTAGTACAAAGGAGATGTAGCAGAGTCCTAATCGGTTGGACTGTAGACCAATTTGAGAACCCCTGGTGTAGAGGAAAGGTGGAGCAGAGATGGAGAGTAAGAAAGAGGCTGACCCCTTAGATGCCATCCTGAGTGTATTATACTTGATTTATTTACATGTTGTTCAAAACATTTTTGCATAGGAAATTGGACTTCTAAAATACACATTAGCACATCAGTTCAACTGGAATCACACCGAAACAAACTTCTAGTCAGACTAAGGGTGTTTTTACACCTAGAAGTCCGGATCAAGGTTCGAACCAAGGTCCGTGTTTTTGTTACATTGTATACATTTGGTTCGGTCTGTTAAGGTTTCACACTGTCATTATTGCAAACGGACTAACAGACTTTACATGACGTACCTATGGGATATTGTCATCAACTACATGCTTTGCATGTCTCTGTAGTTTACATTGATTGGTCATTTGGCCGGCGGGCATCTGACGTCAACACGTTAAATAACAAGGGTCTTGAATATTGTAAACATGAATAAAATCATCATTCCCCCCATCATATTACTGTTGATTTTTAGCTACCAACAGCAATAACTTTAAGAGCTGTACATGAGGCTGGTCCAAGTTCATCTTATGAATTTTATCATTAGACGACAACTTTATCAACATCGACAGGAAAGGAAAAGAAAGTAAACAATCCTCAGAGCCACTGCAACAACAACTCTGGAGAGAAAGTCTTTGTTGTAAAATTTTGAAAAGCTAAGCTGTCAATGCTGAAGTATCTACAATATTGTAAAATTTTCAGTTCGTGGACAATCTCCATTACGCATAATAACAAACGCTTTCACTCTGAGCATGAACTAGACCGCGGTTCAGTTTGGTCCGGACCGAGACCACCTCTTTTGGTCGGACCAAGGTTCGGCTGTTTGGTCCGGACCAAGGTCCTGGGGAGGTTTCACACCTATCATTTTAATTGAGACTAAACAGAAAAGTCAGACAATCCAGACCAAACGATGTAGGCGTGAAAGCCCCCTTACGTACCTGGATAATGGGAAAGGATTTTATCTTCTGTGTCAACACTTAGACTGAAACTGGCCTCAGCTTTCTACAGAGTTTAAATGCTGAGCTTTGATACAAAAGTTGAATGGCATAACCATGTTACTAGCAAGCCAAACTTCAAACAAACCTCAGCAAAGGAAGTAGGGGAGAAAAAAAATAGATGAAGCTTTGGGATTGTTTGTTGAAAAGGTTCTGAGCTATAGAAAAGAGTGTTTTCACTATGTATATCCCATCGTACATTGCTCTGAAACTGAATGTCTGAAACTGAAACTGAGGTGTGATCCTAAACTTGTGACCAAATCAAGAAAGGAGGTACCCTTTTTTAGGGCACAAACTTCCAGAAGATTAAGTATTTTGGCTTCCTAATCACTTTTTTAATGTTGTAACAAGAAGTTAAACACGCTCATGAAATGCAGCCAACTTCAGTTTAAACCCATGTGGGGCTCTTCCATGCTCAGAGTCAGAGTCCAGTATTTTGGAGGCCTAAAGAGTGAAGGAAAGCCTTGTTATGCTGGCGGATGAAATATGAAAAGTTGGAACTTGGTTGACTTTCAGGTATTTTATTTCATTCTTTTACCAACCAGCTTTTCTGGACTAAACCTCATACAACAGACCTGTTTATGTTAACGACTCATCAGAGAGGGAGACTGCAGACTTAACAACAAGCCCCAGGGTCAGACAGATCATGACTGGGGGCCACTTCTGTGCCATCATTGAGGGGCCACAGCCTCACGGCCTGGAAAGTCCTGAGCATGAATTATTTGTAAGATATCAGACTAACACAATTTGATTTTTACTGTGCACAGACTGTGCCCTTTAACAAAGTTGTTTTCTTGTCTGAACTGAGGTTTAAGCAGGTATAGATATGGAAATGTGGCAGCTAGATCTGCAACAAGGGAGGCCGATGATTCTGTTCACAGTCTATTGTGAGCTACAAACACCTACACATTTACTGTCTTGTCTCAGTGCACAAAGCACATCAGGAACCAGGCAAGCAGGAGGCCTGTCTGTGTTTCTTCTTTTTCCACTTTGACTCTTTCTTCTCTGCCCCCTCAGACTGAGAGAGAGAGAGTGTGTTTTACTGTGACAGGCCATCTCATCCAGAGCTAAACACGCAGTGACAGAAAAACACCCACCAACACTCCCAACCATGGCTAATGTGACAGCCCAGGCTGCTATTCATCCACTCAATTACACATGGGTACGCGCGCGCACACACACACACACACACACACACACACACACACACACACATAGCTAACACAAACAGAGTTCCCCTCACTCACTCACTCAGTCACAGTCACACCCCAGTGGCACACAGGGCCTTTCTAACACATGCTTTCACTCCAGTTGATAATGTGACAAGTAGGTGATGTGAGTCCCTCCCACAGCCCGGTCTTTTACTGACTTTGGTTCATTGTTGTGGATGTCTGAGATGACAATTCAGGTACATTTACTGTTTGTAGCTTTTTATAAAAATACAATGAAACAAAAAAAAAACATTTTTTTCTCCTTTTTTTTAATCTGAAGAACAAGAACTTTAACCCTCAACTGTTTTTGTAGTCCGATCTTTCTGTTGCTTGGATCGAGCAGTTTTGACCACAGTTGCTCTAAGTGACTCACTAAATTCATTCTCTGTACTAAGGAGGTGAAAGTATGTATTTTTGGAGCTGTCATTATTCAACTTATTTTTGATGGTCATAATTGAAAGGTCTGGTTCTTGTGATGGGGAGCAGAAAGCTGGCTTTTGAACTGTGCACTCAGGCTGGTCACTCTTGTCTTTGGAGCAGAGGATGCTATGTGTCCAAGATTTCTGGAAGAATGCCTAGTTTTCTCTAACCAGGCCACAGCACAGTCTTCCACTGTGACTCATAAACATGCACAAGCCCAGTGAAGTAGAAACTGTTACTCAACCATGTTGATACAGTTTTCATGGTATGCAGTTTTAGCTCATACAGTGATTCCCATTACAGAGTCATGTCTGTTTAAAATGCATTGCCTTCCAGTGTTGGCTGATGGCTTTGTCCTTTTTTCACAGAGATCTTTCCAGATACTCTGAAACACTTCATAACTTTTTGTTCTGCAAATGATGAAATCCTCCAATTCTTAGTAATTTGACTCTGAGGAACGTTATTGTAAATTTTGCTGAACTATTTGCCCTCCTCTCTGGGTTTAATTGATTTTAAAACCATTAAATTATGTGTTCATTAACTTTTAAAGCAGTGCTTTCCACAGTTTCCAATTGGACCAAACAGGAGAGACCACCAAAAAGTGGGGCTAGAACCCGAACACAGAGTTCACCTGTTGCTGATGTGGACTTCTCCTGCAGGTTATCATCCCTTCAGAAGTTCAGATACTCTGGACCTACAATACTTTGCTGATCAATCAATGTTTTCGAGTAAGATGGCTCTCTATAAGATGACAACAGTTGTAGATCTCACCTGCTACTCAACATACTGTCTATCTATTACAGTTAGAAATGCAGGGCAACATATGGAGGAGGCCTGAATTTCATACTCCATCATAAAATATAATTTTTTATGGAGCCTATACCCCAAATCTGACACAACACTCTCACTTCACAAGGTCTGAAGCTTCCTGCATGTTTCCCTTTATTTGTGGCAGTATCTGTCCTCTGAGAAAGCTTAAGGGAAGGTGGATTTCACGTGTTGCTATGTGATCTGGATAAATTGACCCTCAATGACTTGACTTTTTCAGCCTACAAAACGGCATGGCTGCTCCTGAAAGGCCTACATCATGTCTGTGTGACAGTGGGCTGGCTGCCATGCCAGATTGCTTCGGTCATTCTGGTCATTACAGCTCCATCTAACTGACCGCAGTCATATTGAAGAAAATTGAATGTTCCGGGGTTGACCTCTGCTGGCCTGACCTTCACCTGCTCCTCTGACCACAAGCTTTAAATCACCCTACCCCCCTCCATTCACAATGCTGGCCGAAGGTCCTGAAGAAAGGCCAGCACATCCATTCACAGAGCAGGACCATGGGCCATGAGAAAGGACAGCGCCTGCCAGGTCACTCTGGACTCTTTGTAGAGGCTGAAGCTAATGGCACAGCGAGCACTAAAAACACAAACACTGCCATTCACCAGAGTGGGCCAAAACATACAATGGATTTAGAGGAACAACGCCTCCTCAATCAGAATATAGACTAGTCATGTTGTGACCCACGTCTTCACACAGTCACACGTGATCTGTGGATTTGATGCCAAACTCTCAGGGTTTTTTGTTCACTGGTGCATAACTGATAACCCAGAGAAGAGGGTTGATGACGTGAGCTTAGAGCTGATTTGATTACTCTTGTTGAGGCCATGGTGATGATCACTTTTCACTCTAATGGCAGATTTCCATGCAGGAATAATGTAAAATCATGACTTAACAGCAAAGCATCTGATAAAAACTAAACCAGGGATGGGCAGAGAGAAACAACGACAAACAGCACGCAAAATGGGAAAATATGGATTCAACTTCTCTTTTGTGTCTATTGTGAAATGCTCTGACCACTCACCAAATGTGAGTCAAAGGATGAAAACATTATTGAGCAAGTTGTTCAACCAAAAATAATCGACAATAATCATAAATATGATAATGTAAGACTGAGGAAAATGATGTCTATCACTCTGATGCATGCTGGGTGACAGTGTTGATGGTAGCTGTTTAAGACTGAAGGTCCTTACACACCGGGGCTGACGCGAATATAGAACGCGAAAATACGAAATATTCGGAGGTGAATTTTGACGCGCCTGACTAAACATATCAAGCCCGATGCAATTTTGCGACTTTCCGGGGGGAAAAAGACGCATCCCGGGAAGGACTTTTGCTGGGGAAAGTCCCGCCTCCTTCGTCTCTGATTGGCTAGAACAGCTGGAAACGTTATCACACGCTCAAGCCAAACAGTCAGGACTTATAGCCAATCAGTGGCGAAGAAGGGCGGGACCTTCCCTTAACAATCTACAGCGTCCCGGGTGGAAATGAGAAGATAAAAATTGAGTCTACTTCAACTTCAAGTGATGGTGAATTGGTACTCCTTTTGCTTTCTCAAAAGAAAGATAAACGTAGCACATGGGTGCATCAAATATTACAAAAAAGAAGAGAACTTACTGAGTTTCACTGCTCGGTTCAGGAGCTGTAATTGTACCACGGTCGCCTCAGAACCTGTTTTTGGATGTCCGTTAGACAACTTGAAGTTCTGCTGAAACAATTAACTCCAAGTTTGAAGAGGCAGAGGACTAGACACTGGTGTTGAGATGGCTTTCTGTCATGATAGCAGAGGTGGGAATTGTGGAGTCAGCAAGTCATCTCCATGCCATGTATTTGTTCTGCTATGTCACTGAACCAGCTGCTTTCAATGAGCAGCCAGGAAGGTGAGCTCATTAGTGAAGGCACCTGATTCAGTAACTGAGCAGAACAAATACATGACATGGAGATAACTTGCTGACTCCACAATTTCCACCTCTGCATGATAGCATGTACTGAGTCAGGGCCAGTACCAGATAAGCACATGAAACTATGGTAACAACCATTAGCTCACGTTAGCACAGATGAAAGTTAAAACAAAGACATTTGCAAACTTTTAAAGCACACACCATCGTCATATCAGAAATCCGAAGCTATGACTTTTCACAAGTTGTCCTTCAGGTCGTTATTTTTGTAATGTGTGTGTAAACAATCATAAACAATAAGCTGGTCGGCCATGTTTGATATATCGGTGAATCAGACGTCGCAACAACACGCAATCTGATTGGTCAGAAGTGGACACACAGTATGCGAAACTTTAGAAAAATCGACCGTGATACGAAAAAATAAATGCCGCAATATCGCAGGACGGGAATGATGTGGACGTTTGTATTGACAGGAAACGTGTTCGAAAAAAACACTGACGTCCGAAATAATCGCATGATAAAAACGGTCCCGGTGTGAAAGGACGTTTAATCTGAGACTTGAGTCATACATGTGAAGAGTTCTTCGGATTTGGAAAAATGACATGATTGTCACAACTTCTCTGTCAAACTGTCTCTCTCTAAAAACAAACTCAATGAGTTTATCAAAAGCTGGTTATTAAGTTCTACCAGGAGTTTGAATCTGCAACATCTCACTGTCAACACTTAAGCTTGTATGATATCTTGATTCTTTATCTTTATGGAGTATTTTTTCATGACTCCTCAGTGTAATGCTATACTGGGCAACCATCTGCTCATCTGCTAAGGGAGAGACACATAAATGCATCAAATTGAAAGCATTCATCAAATGCTCTCATATTTTGGCTAATGGTGAGCTGAACATCTAAATTAACAACTCATGAACGTAAGAACATGAATGTCAAGATCCTTTTTTCTTCTTCTTCTTCTTTGTTCGTTTAAAGAGATGTGAAAACCATCGCACAAAACCCTCCTCATCCCCCTTGATGAAGATTCCCACTGTGTATTTGAGTATTATAAAAACTGAGGTTATAATCTTAAACCAAATACTGAGCAAACTAATGAAAGTTAAATGTATGATTTCAAGTTTTCATTGCTGCTGATTTCTCCCCATATTTTATTGGTAGACAACACACAAATAGGAAGCTCTGCTGACAGAGAGGGGCAGTTTAAAGGTGATGAGCATGAGCTAGTCCACCTGTCTGCTGAAGTACCAAAGATCACAGACTCAAAGACATCCATCGCTTTCACACCAGCGCTATTTGGTCCGCTTTAAACGGACGAGAGTCCATTTCCTCAGATAGTCCTCTTCGTTTGTGAAGGTGTGAAAGATCATCCAAACTCTGGTACGGACCAAACAAGCAAACTGTGGTCCACCTGAAAATGTGGATCTCGATTTACTTGCAAGTAAACCCTGGTTTGGTTCGTAATGAAGCTATACGCAGTACATACACAGTGCATCTTGGGTAGAGGAAGCATGGCGCGCACTCCAAACCAAAACAAACATGGCGAGAGGACAGACGTGGACAGACAAAGGGGTTAAAGTTCTCCTTGAAATATGGTCAGATGACAGCATAAACCTACTTCTGACATCCACTGACATCCCCAGAACAGCCAACTTCACATGATGCTCCATCTTTACTGCTGTTTTTTCTGGAGCAGGACAGAGGGATTTTCCCTCCTACTTTGTTCATTCGACGAGCGTCCCTTTAAGCAACGTGATGCTGCTCGGAAAGTTTGTGCGCTTTAAAAATCACAGTGTGAAAGCAGAACCGAAAGAAGTGATAAATGCATCAATGTTGCGACTTTCAGCTCAGAACCACTTGGTCAGGTGTGAAAGCAACCTTAGTCTGAAAGGCTCCACTTTTTCTCACACATGCACGCACGCACACACAAACTAAAGGAGGAGGGGACTTATTTTTGACTGATTAAGTTGGATTATTGTAAGGTCAGAGTTTTCTATTATTAGGGGCATGGCAGACCTAAATGCACAGTCGGTAGCACTCTGTAGCTGTTTGCGAAGAGGGTGAGACCATGTCTCTATATTAAACAGAATGTGTTTCTAATATAATGCCAAATGGCTTTGCCAGAGTCATTATATTCATAGAAAAACATTGAACCACAAACATTAAAATGACATCATCCCACTCTAGGATAGGAAAAATCTCCAAATGAAAATACTTCGTAAGAAGACTGAGAAAACTTCTATTCGTAGCACAGGTGTTGCAGGTATGCAACAAACGTAAAGGTCCTTACACTCCAGGAACGATGCAAATATACAACATGAAATTACAAAATATTCAGAGGCAAATTGTGACGCGCCTGACTACACACATCAAGCGCAATGCGATTTTGTGACTTTACGGGAGAAAAAAGATGCGTCCCGGGTGGAAGCGAGAAGACTGACTCAACAGCAGACTGACTGAAAACATATGATTAACACATGATAAACACATTCAGGCCTTTTGGGTCATGAGTGCGCTGTCTGGATATTAACTTCCTTCAGGAGAAACAAGAAAATCTTCAGAAAGACTGAAAAGGATTGTAGCAGCATGTGGGCCTGACTCTCTAAGACCATACTCAGAGAATAGGTGACCAAAGGCAGACAGACAGCAGATTGAAATGTCCTCACACCCTCCGAAGTTATGTCATGTTCTGCATAGTGACACTCTGACAAGGATCAGCTAACTTGGACCTGGACTGAATTGAGTTCACATTCAATCAGTTATTCAGTTTACAGTAAAATAACCTTATCTGCTCCACTGCTGTAGATGGAAGCACTCCATAATGAGGCATCAATATTCATTCATCTCTTTGAAGGGACTCTGTTTCTTCCACTTGTTTTTCACTGCAGGACATTATGATACAAACAGATCAAGGTTCAACAGGTGCAGGTCCCTTTAAGCCGTCCTCGTCCCATCCAGCTTTTCACTCAGCCCATGAATATTCAAACACTCACCCACACTTTAATCTGTCTTCTCAGCCATGGGAGAAGCAAATGGATGTAGTATCACACACAGATACAAACAAGAAGCTGTAAAGAGAGAGGCAAAGTAGAGAAAAAAACTATGTGAGTACACTATAGAGCATCAAAAAGCAAGTATACTCCAACTACAAAGTTATCAGTACTTCTTTGATGTCCAGCATAAATATCAGCTGATCTGGTGCTGATGTTTCGATAAATCGGGGGCCTTACAGGGACACGTTTAAATGTAAATAGAATATTTGCAGAACTGTCCTCTTCACAGTCAACACAGGCTGTTACATGCAGTTAAAGTGCTGAACAGGCAGCGTGTTCATCAAATGTCTGTGGCCATCATTATAAGATTTTGTGAGTTTAACACCTTAGATCACTCAGTGAATGAGATGGTCTTAAAGGTATGAGATCATAGAGGGAATTTTCATCTCATCCTTGCCAACATGCCAACCAAACAGCTTGTTTTTGAAAATTATGATTAATCTCAGAGTGATGGTTAATGCCTTGCTTGGAGAATTAATTGAATGCTCTGAAATAAATGTTTTGATCTTGACTTATAAATCTATTGGTGAAATAAATGTGGTACAGATAAAGGTCCTTTCAGACGTCAGTATTTTTTCTTTAACCTATATCCTGTCAATTCAAGTGTTCACATCAGCAACAATACTGCATTTATTTTTTCGGGTCATGGTCGATTTTTCTAAAATTTCGCATGCTACGTCCCCACCAGATCTTGAAAAAATAATCCATGCTTTCATTTTCTCACTGGACTATTGTAACTCTCTCCTCCCTGGTTTAAAAAAGAAATTACTCTCCAGCCTCAGACTAACTCAGAATGCAGCAGCTCGGCTTTTAACTGGTTTTAGTAGACGGCATCACATGACCCCAATTTTAGCCTCCCTTCACTGGCTTCCTGTCAGTTTCAGAATTGATTTTAATATTTTATTGATTACTTTTAAAGCACTCAAAGGACTTGCTCCAAGTTTCAGAGCTTTAATACCATATGAGCCAACTCGCAGCCTCAGACCCTTGCGGAAGGCCTCCTGGTCGTTCCAAAGTCGAGGCTCAAATCTAAAGGTGATAGAGCTTTCTCCATCAGAGCTCCTCTACTTTGGAATGACCTGCCAGAGGAGATAAGGCGTGCAGAGACAGTCGCTTCTTTTAAGTCAAATTTAAAAACTCACTTTTACAGACTTGCTTTTATGTGATGCCGTCTTTTATTTTTTATCTTTTTTCTTTTCTTTTACCTCTTTTATCTTATTTCGACCTACTGTCCTTTAGCCTTTGTTTTACTTATACTCTTTTCTTATTTCACCTTTTAGACCTTTTATTGATTTTATTGTGTTTTCCTGCTCATTTTTGTTATTCCATTTTATCATTAATATCATTATTATTTTATTATGATTTTGTTATCATTATTAATATTGCCTTTTTAAATTTACTATCCTGTTTACTGCTGTCTGTCCCCCTTTTTTTATTACATTTCTTTTTCTAACCTATTTTATGTTTTTATTTAGGTCCTCATGGTCTCATTTTATGTCGTAGGGTTCTTGTATTGTCTGGGTTTCTTATGACAAATGAAATTGGCCTTCAATTCGGAGGCCTTGTTTTTAACTGAGCTTTTGTTTTTTATTCATTTTTATTTCCATGTGCTGATGCTTTGCAACTGTTTGTCAAAGCATGTTGTAAACTTTTGTTTTTAAAAGTGCTATCAAAATAAAGTTTTTATTATTATTATTATTATTATAATTATTATTATTATTATTATAATTGGTTTGGAAATGTTGAAGCTTCCTTGTCTCTAAAAGCTTCGGTAGGAATCATAGGACATCCACACAGTCTATTCTGTCCAACCTTTTACAAGACCTTGGTATGGGGTTTCCTTTCAAATGGCTTTGTAAACATGGTTTTAAGACTCCAATATTTGCCTTTCAATTGGTTCAATAAATCAATCTATTACCAAAGCTTAAGTGAAAAAAAGTTGTCGTGCATGTGCATGCCCTTGACACCTGAGATGTGATGAAGTGAAAAAAGAGCAAAGATCACGGCGCTGTTTCCTCCTCGGGCTGCTGATGAGGAAGCGGAGACTGCACTGAGCTGAAAGCTGAGTCAACTTCAGTAATCTACAGCCTGATGTTGACTCTGTGATAATTGGTCTGTGGTCTTAATGAGCTTAACTAGATAAGTCTGGGGGAAGGGGGGGGGGGGGTCCTGCAAGGCTCAGTATGGAAGCTCACACAGCAGGCTGCTGCACAGAAGCTGGGTCATTAATCTAAACAGATCACATTGCTGTTGTTCAAAACAATCTAAAGGTGACAGTGAATCAAATGGTATCAGACCACATGATTAAGAACAAGAGTGGACATTTAGTCACACCATCAGAAAAAGACTGAGTTGTTTGGTGAAGCATTAAAAAATCTGTGGAAAGAGATCGTATTGATTTTGACAATGATTTAAAAATGCAGACTTGTCAAACTTTAGATGGTTGTACCAAGAAAAATAACTTTTTTTTGTTTGTTTGCATTTGAGGACAGAGTTCATGTTTCAAACTGCATTAAAAATATATATTTTTAAAAATCACTTGTTGAAACAGTATGCAAGACTTTAGAAAAATCGACCATGGTCAAAAAAATAAATGCCACAATATCACAGGACAGGAAAACGTCGCTCATGTGAACGCTTGTATTGACAGGATACCAGTTCCAAAAAAATATTGATGTCCGAAATAATCGCACGTTTCTTAACATCTCTTGCCAAAGAAAAAGCTCCACAGGTACTTTTTTTGTTGAGCCTAACTTCAATAATAAACTCAGTGCACTAATGAACGATTATATTTCATACCATAACAATTAAGCTGTACAGGATCATAGAAAAAGTCAAAGTGACTGACTGGTGTCTCAAATGTTGGTCCACGTGTTCATTAAGCCTGGACTTCTCTATTGTTTGCAGACATGCAGACCTGAGTGGATGTACAGAGACTTGTCCTTGCAGGGTGATTGATTAGTCCATCATTGGCCATCAGAGGACCCCCCCTCCTCCTCATCCAGAGACACTCAAAGAAATATCAGCACATGTCCAGCCATCCATCACTGTGTCCTGCCTGTGAGCACAGCTGTGTCCACTCTGTGCTGAGTGCTGCAGTCAAGTAGAAGTCAGCAGGGCTGACATGAAGCCTGCTCCTCAGTCTCTTACACCCTGAAACCTTTAATGTGACCCAGAGGACACCCTCCCAACTTTCCCTCCCCCCCTGCTCCATAAACCCCTCGCATTCACCACATTTGGTCGGCTTTACTTCACCCCCCTGAAAGAACGCGATCACGCTTTCACCCATCATGACACAAGCATGTGGTCTCAGGCCACCTCCAGCCAGGTCCCAACCTTTTCTCCCCTACCTCCCCTCCTTTTAACTCATAGATCACAGCTGACACATCAGTTATTGAGCTGCGATAGATAAGGGCCAGCGTATGGGCCCCAGGGTCCTGACACCGCTGAAAATGACCAGAGCAAACACCATGAGTCACCACTTTAAACCCACTGGTCCTGCTGCCCCTTGTTTCTAACCGAGTTTTCATCTCATTTCGTCACCCATCAGTTCAAACCTGGACTGTGATCTAAGAGGGGGTTCCTTCTACTGTGGTGATATCCCTGTGAAAAATATCTTCACTGAGGTAGACCTTCAGTGCGCATCTTCATCTTGTAGCTGCTGTTCTGAATTTTCACTACTACATCACTTTTGAGACCCCTGATAAATGAGACAACTAAGATTTTCATAGATGGGGGAATACAGGGGGCAGACGTGAAAGAGTCACGTCTTACTGATAAGGGCAAGAATGAAACTAAAGGTCCTTACACAGCGGGGCCGACGCAAATATAGAGCGCAAAATTATGAAATATTTGGAGGCGAACTTTGATGCGCCTGACTATACACATCAAGCCCGATGCGATTTTGCGACTTTCCGACTTTGCATCCCAGGTGGGAGCGAGAAGACTGACACAACAGCAGACTGACTGTTTTTCAGTTCTGATTACACACTAGTGTTGAGATGGCTGTCTGTCATGATAGCATGTACTTAGTCGGGGCCATTACCAGATAAGCACATTAAACTATAATCCATAAACGTAAACCAAGACCTAATGGTGCTGTGACAGCAACGCGATTGAGTTTGAGACCGTGAAAATACATATGGTATGTTGTATCTGAACAGGTTAGCTTATGAGCTAAAGTTACTTAGCACAGATGAAAGTTAAAACAAAGACGTTTAGCAAACTGTTAAAGCACACAAACCATCATCATATGAGAGATCCGATGCTATGACTCTCCACAAGTTGTCCTTCGGGTTACCTTTGTAATATGTGTGTTTTTTATCAAAAAACACTCTGTTCTCTGACACGTAAATAATCAGCCAGCTATGTTGGATATACCGGTGAAGCTGACGTCGCAACAACACGCAATCTCATTGGTTAGAAGTGGACACACAATATGCAAGACTTTAGAAAAATCGACCATGATCCGAAAAAATAAATGCCGCAATATCACAGGACGGGAAAATGTCGCTGATGTGAACACTTGTATTGACAGGATTCGGGTTCGTAAAAATAATATTGACGTCCGAAATAATCGCACGCAAAAAAAAACCGATTCCCTGTGTGAAAGGACCTTAACTCAAGAAATACAAGACCTGAAGGGTGTGAAGGTCAACAGAGATGCCACCAAAGCCAATGAACGTGAAAAATCTTGAAAAATCAAAGCGATTGCTTGTTTTCCACCCTGCAGCTGTGCGCTATGAAGCTGTGAGGTGGGGGTGACCCACGAATATGAAAAGTTATCTGTGGATAAAACATTTTTATAAGGTCAGTGGCTGTTTAACAGCAATGACAACCAGGCAACGGAGAAAAACTAGACAGCACACTGTCAAAGCTGACAGAGACTACGACTGAATGTTTCTGTGTGGTCAGGGTTTAGCAACTTAACTACATGGAAAGGTGAGAGAAAATATAGCAGCTTGAAGTTCTCCAACGTTGACACGAGAGTAAGCAAAAAAAGAAAGACATTGGCTATATTTACCTGCAGTCAATATTTAGGTTAAGGTCAATATTCCTGTTTCTGAAACATTTAGAATAACATGTCTACATATGAGAGCAAACTGGGTTATTCCTGTTTATATGGTATCCCGATCAAAACAGCAGCAAACGGACAACATCTTGAAGCACGGAGAATGTCATGACGTAATGCACATCATTTTAGCTTCTTTTTCCTGAATCATCTTCCTGTACTCAAAAGACCAAGATTCCTTGCAAACAGAACATGGGCAGAGTACAATGAATGTTCCTTTTGATGAGGATATCCCGACAGGCATATACAAGACCAAATATTTGGGTTAGAGAAAAAGTAACCCAGGGGTGATTTTCGGGGTTTTAATATATTCAGAATTTATGAGCATATTCTGTTTTTTCAAAAGGGTTATTGGTGTTCACATGGCCGTGCGCAACCGAGTTATTGCTTATATTCCGGTTGTCAAAGGGTTAATGACTGCACGTAAATGTAGCCGCTGAGTGGTTGGGAGGAAAAACTTCCATGATCCATGGATTTGATGACCTGATCAGAATACATCATGTTAACTGCTGAGGATGAAATAACAAACCCTGCACTGTGTCAGTCTGGTTAGCCTAGCTGTTTGATGCTAAAATGAGATGAAAATTATGAAAATTCTCTGTATAGAAATGAATCGTATATTATATACCTGATTAGCGGATCGTCCTACAGTTGGAGGAACATATACATGTGTCATGAAAGAGATGAGTGCTTCGGTGTCTTTCCAAACCAGCTTATTGATGGAGTAGACTTCAGCCTGCTCTCAGAGAACTGTAGCCCAGTGAGCCAGACACTTGTCCCGACTGTTTCCCTCTGAAAAGGGTCTGAGCTGACAGACATCCATTATGGTTATTAAGTGACATGAAACGTATGTGCTTTGTAAATACTGAAATATTCCTTTAATTCACATTTGCAGAAGAAGAGAAGACTGTTTTTTTTATAGTAAAAATAAAGAACAGTGTGGTTTGGATTTTATTTTATGAATTAGTTATTCTCTTTTATCTATTCTTACTTATTCTTAAGAAGTCTTTATCAAACATTCATTAACAGTGTTTTCAACAGTAAAATGTTTCCAAACTAAAACCAAACATGATGTTACCACTGTACAGGCACTTTTTTCCCACCAAGTGTTTATGGTTGGAGACCTGGTGGGGCTTAAAGAGGATCAGTGTTTCCATAAGAAGAGAGAGAACATGTTGTTAGCAGGACATACAAGCGTGATAAATTTCCGTTCGTCTTTTGTCAGTGAATACGTCTGGGCCCATATGCTGGACTACAAAGCTACGTGAAAGCAGCGTTTAAAAAGCCAGGCCTACCACATTAAAGCCTATAACAATCTCTGTTCATGGTAAGTTATCACTCTCAATTAATCACCTCCCACAATGGGATTTCTGATGTGTTCAAGCCCCCTGAAAGCTGCAGGTCAGGCTGAGGGCAGACTGACTCTTAGTTCCCCATTCTCCATCCCCTCATTCCCCTTTCACTTCATCACATCTCTCAGCCGCTGCCAACTGAAGCGTCTTTACATTTTTCTTATTCGTCCGGCTCCTTGAAAGAATGACAGCGCAAAGCATCTCACAGTCCAAAACAAACAGAGAGATAGATGTAGGTATGGAGATGTGGGCCTCTGTAGTCTGACGGAGTGACTGAGAGAGCGGCTGAGAGCCTTTCTGCCTGATTCAAACCCCTCCCTGGTCATTCCTCTGGGGCTGTGTTAGCCTTTGAATGGTATTGTATTGTTAGGGCTCTGCCCATTCCTCCACTGCTGAATGGGTTTAACCACTGGTTTAGATTCAGTTACACGGTTTTGGTTGAAAGTGTCCCCCTCCTACTGCTTTGGACTCCATGGTTCTCTTGGCTGACCTGTTTAGAGGCTGCTGTGGAAATGTCATGTCGCCCCTCCCATGGGCCGGACCCTACATTCACTTTGATAGGTAACAAAAAATGACTTGGGATGGGATTAAACCAATGGCTCTTTGTAAAGCACACTGAATTGTTCATTTGTTGTGGGACATCACAGTGCGCTGATGGAGGACTTTGAAGTTGAGGATGCGGTGATTCTTTACCATGCAAATAAGGGACAGCTTCAGCCGAGCCGACTCAATCAAAGAAAATGATTATGGCAGAAAAATATATTCAACACTTGTAATATCTTAGTTTAGTCTGCTGTTAAAGCTTGTGAGAAAGAAGAGAGCGTGAGCTAACAAAGAAGCTGTTTGTTGTCAGCAGACTACATGTTCACACTGTCATTGTCTTAGAGGTTTTCAGCTCAACTGGAGTGGAATAAACCATGTTAATTAAGCAGGAAGTCAATAAAAATTCAGGAAAAAAGTGAGAGAGGGGCCTCAGCAGGAGCTCTGGGTGTTCACCAGGGTTTAACAAAAAAGCCTCCTCCTGAATTCGCTCTGTTTTACTCTTGTAGTCTCACATGTCTGACTCTCTGAAGATGAATTTGATGATGATTTGGAGTGCTGCTCTATTTCTTCATGCCAACAGATGTACAGATTTTTTTATCGGAATGTGGAGGGTGCTGATGGCAACCAGCCTGTTCATGCTCATCCCATTATGAATGAGATGTAAAGTATCCAGGAGGATGTTATTATTATTATTATTATTATTATTATTATTATTATTATTATTATTATTATTATTATTTTATTTTTATTTATTTATTTATTTATTTTTTTTAAATAATCATTTTATTTTTTTATTTTTTATTTTTTTTTGTTGCAACCATCGAGAGCAGTGGTTCTCAAGTCCAGTCCTGGAGGCCCACTGTCCTGCATGTTTTGGATGTTTCCCTGCTCCAACACACCTGATTCAAATGATCAGCTCGTTATTAAGCCATTACAGAGCTTGATAACGAGCTTGATGACAAGACTGAAGTGTTTTTTTAAGAGAGAGTGCACCACAGCATGTTTAAAGTGAGAGGGGACAACACCAGATATAAGGCTACTATGAAGAATTGCCCGAATATTGGGACCAATCGTCCCAATAACCTCTTTTAAAAGTCGAGGAGGGACAATATCTGTGGGGCAGGCAGTGGGTTTAAGGTGATCAATTATCTAATTGTCCTTGTCTTGCCCTGTTTCTTTGTCAGTTCATTCTGTCAGGGAAAACAAAAAACAAAAAACAAAAAGGGAAGGACCCATAACGCAGAACAAAGTTTGATTTATTTAAAAGGAACTAAAAGAAAAGCAACAAAAACGTATTGGTAATTGTCCAGCTGAAAATCCAAAAGACCAAGAAAAACAAGGAGGTGACACTGAAGACACTGGCATACACGCAGAGGCATTGACATACAACAAACAGAACATATCGTGACAGTTTGTATTTTTTAAGGAATTTGTAACCCTGTTTTGAAAAGAGCTTTTTAAATAAAGATTATTATTATTATTATTATTATTATTATTATTATTATTATTATTATTAAGTTGTTGTTGTTGTTGAGGCCATGCAGCAATTTCCACGGTAGAGCCCTTCCTGTTTCTAATGCAGTGCTGCTTGTGACTTGAGGATCCGGGCCATCTGATATTTACTTCTGTCTCTAGATTCTATGAACCTACCATTGAATAAGTCCATAGAGTCTCTGCCATGTCTATATTTGCTTTTATTCCGTTGAACTGTGAGCTCACGCAGTCTCTCGCAGCGTTGTCTCAGCCTCTCTAAACGCCCTCTTTAAACTCAGTCAGTAAACTGTTGTAAATTAAACTGACTGATCTGAAGATATTCCTCCAGCTTTACACAGCTGTTCAGTGTTGTGTTGTCTCTCTCGCAACATGTCTTTGACACATGCTGCTGGAATCAAACTTCAAATGAGCAGATATATCCACCTCATGATAACATTGTTCAGTCTTAAGACATTGATACAGGATAAGTATAAAGGTCCTTTCACACCGGGACCGTTTTTCTCGTGCGATTATTTTGGACGTCAATATTTTTTTTGAACCCGTATCCTGTCAATACAAATTGATTTTGCAGCATTTATTTTTTCTATCACAGCCAATTTTTCTAAAGTTTCACTTACTGTGTGTCCACTTCTGACCAATCAGATTGCATGTTGTTGCAACGTCTGATTCACTGGTATTTCCAACATGGCCGACTGGCTGATTGTTTACATGTCAGAGAACAGAGTGCTTTTTGATAAAAAACACAAACATTACAAAGATGACGACCTGAAGGACAACTTGTGGAGAGTCATAGTGTCAGATTTCTCAAATGACGATAGTTTGTGTGCTTTAACAGTTTGCTTAACATCTTTGTTTTAACTTTCATCAGTGCTAAGTAACTTTAGCTCGTAAGCTAACCAGTTCAGATACAACATACCATATGTATTTTCACTGTCTCAAACTCAATTGCGTTACTGTCACAGCACCATTAGGTCTCGGTTGTCACCTTACGTTCATGGATTATAGTTTAATGTGCTTATCTGGTTCTGGCCCTGACTCAGTACATGCTATCATGACAGACAGCCATCTCAAAACTAGTGTCTAATCAGAACTGAAAAACAGTCAGTCTGCTGTTGCGTCAAAATTCGCCTACGAACATTTCGTAATTTCGCGTTGTATATTTGCATTGGTCCCGGTGTGTACGGACCTTAAGTGTGTGATTGTTTGAGCACTGTTTTGAGTTAAATAAAACATTGAAATCATTTGGAAACCCTATTATTTCAGTGTTTTGAATTAAAAAATCTGAAACTGTTGTCAATTTTTTTTTCATTCCATCTAAAATCCATTTTGATTTTTTTTTTTTGTGAGAACAGTTCTGTTGTTCTTTTTCTGGGGGTCTAAGAAAACACTTGGCTCTAAAATAAAATTTACTAGAATCCCAATCATTTCATTGCTTAATAACCATTGATTGTCATTGTGTATTTTTCCTAATTGATTATCCTTCAATACTGACCTGACCACATTAGATGAAAGTGCCCTCTTCATTTGTCAGATGATGACCAAAATGGACTTCATTCAGTCTGCTTCATGGTTTTGGGCATAAATCTGCATTAATCATACACTGTGGAGCTTTCTTTGAGCTCTTTGTGCTCTCTGCTGTGATGTGTTTCCCAAAGCCATGGCTCTGGTCTGACCACTCCAACACACTGAGGGCTGAGAGAAGGTCAAGATGTTCTGCAGTAACTCTGCTTATCCACCCTTTCAGACTTCACATTATGGTTTCATTCAGTGGGTGACTTCACTCACACATAATAACACACACACAGTGAATGTTTTCCAGTTAAAAGGATCAGGGTGCTAAAGCCAAAAACAACAAGTGCAGTAAGATGCCAAAAGTCACATTCAAATGACAGAGCTGGTCTCACTGAGAATGACCAAACTGTAAACGACAGAGACATGTAAGTTTAGACACTCATACACATCCAGACCAACATTTTCTCAGCCTTTCTCCCCGTCAGCACCCTGCATGGCATGTTTGAATGGGACAAGCCTATAATCAATTAGCTGCTCTCCCTTCATGTGGCTGTCAATTAGGAGGGATGCAGATTGGGTTTATGACTGCTTTATTAACCCAGCCAGCTGCCCTCCTCCTCTGCATACAGCATCACCTACAACTACTAACCCAATCACCACACTTTGACTTGACATTTATTGGACTGATGTGGCCTGAACCAGCTCTCAGCATGATATAATGTCGCCTCAGTCAAAGCTGTTGACACCATCATACCAATCGACTCTATAAGGACGTCTTTAAAGTGTTTCTTTTCAGCACATTTGAGCATAAACCATTTAACCCCCCATATCATTTATTACAGAGTTTAAAGGGTCAAGGTCCTTTCACACTGGGATCGTTTTAGACGTGCGATTATGTTGGACGTCAATATTTTTTTTCCAACCAGTATCCTGTCAATACAAGCATTCACATCAACAATGTTTTCCTGTCCTGCGATATTGCGGCATTTGTTTTTTCGGATCATGGTCAATTTTTCTAAAGTTTCGCATACTGTGTGTCCACTTCTGACCAATCAGATTGCATGTTGTTGCAACGTCAGATTCACCGGTATATCCAACATGGCCGACCAGCTGATTGTTTATGTGTCAGAGAACAGAGTGCTTTTTGATAAAAGACACAAACATTACAAAGATAACGACCTGAAGGACATCTTTTGGTTTGTGTGCTTTAACAGTTTGCTAAACGTCTTTGTTTTAACTTTCATCTGTGCTAATGTAAGCTAACGGTTGTTCATGACAGACAGCCATCTCAACACCAGTGTCTAGTCCTCTGCGTCTTCAAACTTGGAGCTAATTGTTTCAGCAGAACCAACGGACATCTGAAAACAGGTTCTGAAGCAACCGTGGTACAGTTTCAGCTCCTGAACCAAGCAGTGAAACTCAGCAAGTTCTCTTCTTTTTTGTAATATTTGATGCACCCATGTGCTACGTTTCTTTTTCTTTTGAGAAAGCAAAAGGAGTACCAATTCTCCATCACTTGAAGTTGAAGTAGACTCCATTTTTGTCTTCTTGCTTCCACCCAGGACGCTGTAGGATGGTAAGGGAAGGTCCTACCCTCCTTCGCCTCTGATTGGCTATAAGTGCTGACCGTTTGGCTTAAGCATGTGATGACGTTTCCAGCATTTTCAGGCGAAGGAGGCAGGACTTTTCCCCAGAAAAGTCTTCCCTGGGATGTGTCTTTCACAGAAAGTCGCAAAATTGCATCGGGCTTGATGTGTATTGTCAGGCGTGTCAAAATTCACCTCTGAATATTTCATGATTTCGCGTTCGATATTGGTGTCAGCCCCTGTGTGTAAGGACCTTCAAAGTTCAAGCACTGAAATGGACTCACAGAGATCAGAATAAAATCGGAATCATCCCACTTATTCTTAACAGCCCAAAGAATATCAAATCAAATGAATTAGGGAACAATGAAGTGAAAAATAATGAACATCACTTTAATGAATACATCTGTGAGACAGTCCAAATGCAAACATTTGTAGCTAGTTTATCACCCTTCAAACATGACGGATAAGTTTCACAGACACTTGATACAAAAATAAATAAAAACAGGCTCTGGTCATTTGCAAACCATTCAAAACCTAAAAACAGTGCAAAGACAACATAAACATTGAACATGAACAATAAATATTCATTTAAATAAATGTTCATTTGATGCCAGCAAAACTTCACAAAAAATGACACTTTAGAAAAACAGCTGGGGGGAACATCTCCAACTTAAGAGGTTCATTTCCAACAGGTTAGTAACATGAGTGGGTATAAAAAGGGCATTCAGAGAGGCTGAGTCTCTCAGAGGGAAAGATTGGAAGAGGTTCACCACTCTGTGAGAGACTAAAATATTAAACAAATCTGGAAAAATGTTCCTCAAATTGCGGAGAGCTTGAGGATTTCATCACCTCCAGGAGAAATCTCTGCAGGAAAAGCACAAGATCAAAAACTATGGCCTTGATTTTTCAGATCCTCTGTACTGGAAATTCCTGCATGGGCTCTAAATCATCTCTTAAAAACCTTTGTCAGTGACCACAGTTCTCCACCAAATGAGTTAAAAATGAACTGTGCAAGAAGGAAACTGTATTTATGACCCAAAAATGCAGACAACTCCATAAACCATGGGAATGTGGAAAAGAGTCAGACTTCGGGGTAACTTTGGGCCTGGACAACTTCAGAGGAGCAACAACCACTTTCCTGGAATGAAGGTTGTATAGAAATATTCTGTATCATAGAGCAGATCTCTCCTTGAGTCTTCTCTTGATACCATACTCCATTAGCAGCAGCAGCAGCAGAACTACTTGGACCGATGAATTAGTCAGTGAGAGTTAAGGTCCTTACACACTGGGAACAACACAAATATACAACGCAAAATTATGAAATATTTTGGGGCGAATTTTGACGCGCCCGACTATACGCATTGAGCACGATGCGATTTTGCAACTTTACGGGGGGGGAAAAGACACGTCCTGGGTGGAAGCGAGAAGACTGACACAACAGCAGACTGATTGTTTTTCAGTTCTGATTAGACACTAGCGTTGAGATGGCTGTCTGTCATGATAGCATGTACTGAGTCGGGGCCAGTACCAGATAAGCACATTAAACTATAATCCATAAACGTAAGGCAACAACCGAGACCAAATGGTGCTGTTACAGCAACATGATTCAGTTTGAGACAGTGAAAATACATATGGTGTGTTGTATCTAAACAGGTTAGCTTACAAGCTAAAGTTACTTAGCACAGATGAAAGTTAAAACAAAGACGTTTAGCAAACTGTTAAAGCACACAAACTATCGTCATATGAGAAATCCGACGCTATGACTCTCCACAAGTTGTCTTTCAGGTCATTATCTTTGTAATATTTGTGTCTTTTATCAAAAAGCACTCTGCTCTCTGACACATAAACAATCAGGCAGTCAGCAATGTTGGATATACTGGTGAATCTGACGTTGTAACAACACGAAATCTGATTGGTCAGAAGTGGACACACAGTATGCGAAACTTAAAAAATTCGTCTGTGATTTGAAAAACTAAATGCCGCAATGTCGCAGGATGGGAAAACATCACTGATGTGAACGCTTGTATTGACAGGATACAGATTTGAAAAAAAAGATTGACGTCCAAAATAATTGCATGAAAAAAACGATCCCAGTGTGAAAGGACCTTTAAACTCCATCAGAATAAAAACACCCATACTCTGGTTCGGTGGGTGGTTTGATGAGACAGTTTGAATGTCCTGTAGTCACAAAACTCACTTCACAGTGTGAAATCATTGAACGTTTGTGATGTGGCTGACTTGTCACCTTGGAAACAACCACAAAACTGTTTCTTGTTGGGAGATAAGTAAAAAAATATTTATCGTGGAATTCTTGGTTGAATGGAAAAGCTTTGTTTATCATTCAAGCTTCTCTTGCACATCATGTCGTCTCCATGGCAACTGACTTTAGGTATATTTTACAGCCTGTTGAAGCAGCTCCGGAGGGTTTCCTACTTCACGTCTGCCTTTCCTTTCACAGAAATACTCTATTGGTCTGCAGGAACAACACACATAGTGTGGCAGCAAGGCTGGCTCTAAAAGTAATTGGTTTCATTGGCGAGTGGATAAATAGCAGCGGCTGGTTGTGGAGGGCTTCCTGCCGAGTTTGACCGCTCCTGGGTTAATCACAGACCCTCTGAGGCTGGAAGCTGTCCCAGTCAGCACTGGCCACCAGCCACTGGCTCTGCCTCACAGCACGGTCGGCTCCAGCTGCAGAGAGACAAGAGGAGCTGTGAGAGTCCTTTATAACATCAGGAAATGAACACCATGCTGTTTTCTCTATTTCACTTGCATTATCACTTTGAAACAGACAACGAGAAGAAGGTCTCACATATGTTTTCCTCTTTCTGTTTTGTGCACTCTATCCGATGTATGATTACATTTCAGAGTGGAGTTTTGCATGCCTCCATCTCCTCTGAAAAAGGTAAAACATGTTGAAGTTGTCTTTACACTTAAAGATTAATCTGGTCTTGCATTGTATCCCAGTTTGCGCGGATTAGGGTGTAAAAAGACCATGAGTATTTCTCTCAAACAAGACAAACAGATGTATTATATTCTGATGTAAATAGCATTTGAAGTCCTCAACATCAATAATCATCGACTTAGATCACAGCCTTTAAGTGTGTTATCAAACCAAGGAGGGGCTGTGTTATCTCAGCCAGATTTTCAAGATCAGGATCAATTCATCATGTCCACTTTTGTTGAATGTACTTGTGAGTGTGTTAGCTGAGTTCGATTCTTCCTGCACAAACCAGCAGAGGACGCGTAGCATTTCTTAATGCTTACTGTTCTATTGATAATGTATGGACCGTTTAATCACAGCAGGTAAGGAAAGACTGAGGCTACGTTCACACTGCAGGTTATGATGCACAATTCAGTTTTTTTGTTAAATCCAATCTTTTTGTGTGGCCGTTCACATTACAACAACGAATGCGGCATCTAATGTAAATGGAATGTGTCCGTGAAGTGACCCGCATGCGCACAAAGCACAAATTGCTTTCCGAACAATGGTGACATTTGTCGCATATTGATGACGTATAGGTCGGATGAACGCAACCTGAGCGTCCACACTGCAGTCACATCGGATACATATCAGATTTATATCCACATACAAAAGAGGCCTGGGTCGGAGTTGAAAAAATCTGAATTGCACTGTTCACACTTACATGAAAAAATCCGATATGTGTCACATATGGTTAAAAATCAGAATTGACCTGCAGTGTGAACATAGCCAATGAGTGAGATAAGGTGTTTACCAAGCTTTCTGTTTGCAGAAGCTGCTTCAGGAGAAAGATGATGTCTGGATTTGAGTAAAATGGTTGAAACATGCCCCTCACAATGATAGGAAAGACTGACACTTCAGCCTAGATACTTGTGTGTCAAAGTATGTCATGAATATTACTGTGGAGAAAGCCTGTTCTGAAATTTGTCTTTCATTTATGCATGAAGTAATAATCTAATATTATCAGTCAGTATATCCTGACATTTGGTTGTCGTAATAATGAGCATGACAAAGCAGATTGTGTAGCCCTAAATGTGAGAAAACGCAGCTACAGCCTTTTTCTTAGGGTGTCTAAGCTGAAAGATCAGCTCAAAATAAAATGAACGGTGAAGCTCTAGATCAATGGTTCTCAAGTCCAGTCCTCGAGGCCCATTGTCCTGCATGTTTTGGATGTTTCCCTGCTCCAACACACCTGATTCAAATGATCAGCTCGTTATCAAGCTCTGTAATGGCTTAATAACGAGCTGATCATTGGAATCAGGTGTGTTGGAGCAGGGAAACATCCAAAATGTGCAGGACAGTGGGCCTCAGGACTGGACTTGAGAACCACTGCTCTAGAGACACCAAGTGAGTAGAAGAACCTGATTGAACCTGATTGAACCAAACAAACATGTACTTTGCAAACATCTGGACAGCTGAATGTGCTGCTCTCTCTGTTTTCTACTGTTTCTTTATTTGATCCACTGTAGCGCTTGACCAAACTGCTGGACAATGATCCAGGGGGGAAGAGTGATGCCTGAATTATCTGCACTGATGTGTACGTTGTCCAAAACTCAGAACATAAAGTGAGATCTTAAACAAACATGATTGACATTTAGAAAATGGGAGTTGATGGTTTCTTTATCATGATGCAGTCTGTTTCCACTCAATAAGAGAACCTGTTCACCAAAATTCATCCCTGACACTTGAACTTACTTAACCGCTTTTGTATGGAAATGGTTGAAATGATGAAGTTAAGTCTATTTCTAATTGAAGGATGAAGGAATGAAGGAACATGGTTTAACTGTTAAGGTTTTACACTGGGACCGTTTTTGACGTTTTTTTTTCTCGAACCCATATCCTGTCAATGCAAGCTTCGCACACTGTGTGTCCACTTCTGACCAATCAGATAGCGTGTTGTTGTGACTCACCGGTATATCCAACATGGCCGACTGGCTAATTTTTTACGTGTCAGAGAACAGAGTGCTTTTTGATAAAACAAACATTACAAAGATAACAACCTGAAGGACAACTTGGGGAGAGTCATAGTGTCAGATTTCTCAAATGACGATAGTTTGTGTGCTTTAACAGTTTGCTAAACGTCTCTGTTTTAACTGTGCTAAGTAACTTTTTAACTCGTAAGCTAACCTGTTCAGATACAACATACCATATGTATTTTCACTGTCTCAAACTCAATCACATTGCTGTCACAGCACCATTTGGTCTCGGTTGTTACCTTACATTTATAGATTATAGTTTAATGTGCTTATCTGGTACTGGCCCTGACTCAGTTCATGCTATCATAACAGACAACTATCTCAACACTAGTGTCTAATCAGAACTGAAAAACAGTCAGTCTGCTATTGCGTCAGTCTTCTCGCTTCCATCCATATTTTGTAATTTCGCATCGTATGTTCGCGTCGGCCCGGTGTGTAAGGACCTTTAAACGCAAGTGATGTAAGTGAACTATATCTGTATGCTGGCTTGAAAGACCTGTGTGTTCAGTTCATGTTTAAAAAAGCCCCATTAGCTGGACAGTACCTGTTCATTAAACCAAAACTTATCACGATGGTATTGATTTAGTCTTTTCCACGGAATATTTGTCCATTTGAGTAAAACTATTTGATGACTTAGTTACAGAGTTAGAAAAAACTCCACATTCACAATTAAAGCTTCTCTTTCACTGTCCCTTTAGGTCATTTTTGGATAAACTTTTTATTCTTTACTTTCATTATAAAGACATCAGTACTTGAGTACAGAAGCAAATATCCAGCTTTATTAACGTTTATTCATGTATGTTGCCTGATTTTTTTCAAACTAACTCTCCTTTTTGAATAAGGAAAATGTGTTTGCTCTACACAAGTTAATAGCTGCCATTTCAGCTCCATAAACTCGGCAGTTTGTGTATGGGGGCTTTTGTTTTTGATTGATTTGACGCCCGCATAATGCTGACTTTCTCCATGCCATGGGCTGACTGAAACGGCCTTTTTGTGCCACTTGACTCCCTCGCACTCACACAGCTGCATTTGTCTTGCAAATCCATCCCTGCTGTGCTGCGTTCAGACGAGGAAAAGAGAGCAGTCGGACATCAGTGAAGTTCAAGCCAGCGAACAAGCGGAGAGGCTGTTCCATAGCAGCCGCTTTTGTCGATATCAAAACGCAGAGCTGGTGAAAAATGATGCATGCTTTTACACCTCTGAAGCCTGGCAACTGACAGAGCAAGGGATGGGAGTGCAGAGGGTGGGGGGCACAAAACCAAGAGAGAGAGAGAGAAAAAAAAAACTTTTTCCCTAGAGGCTAAAGTCAGTGCTGGAGGCGAACAAAAGGGCCCGGTCTGAACGGGCTGAGTGTCCTCTTGCGCACGACGGGGATCAGCAGCGCAGAGAGCAGGAGATGGATGGAGACGCACACGTACAAACGGCCGTGACTAAAATTAGCATATTTGTAATTTATCACCTTTTCTAGAGTTATTCAGGGATTTTTTTAAAGACAACGAATCATTAGTCAACGTGTTACGTGCGGAGTTGAAGGTTTCTGATCGAAAAAAAAAATCATGAATCCCAAGTCTGAGATCTGTTTCACTCCAAACTCGAACACGGATTTATCCGGTTTGTCTTAGGACTCGGACTTTTTCTGGGACCCGTTCTGGGATCATCTCAGTCTACTTCATTACCATATCCTTTCAGACCAGCTTCCTTATGAATAAATTGTAATATTTCATGACGGGGCACGCAAAAGCTGTGCACAATGCCTCTCATATCCACTCTGCTTTCAGCCGCAACAAAGATCATAGCAAGACGTCTTTATGGCTAATTCGGTCAAAGGCGCATCTCCCGTCCTCTGGCGTAGAGGTCAGCCCGCCGTGTTCCGTCCACCAGGGGGGTTTTCAGGGGCCAACTGGCTCCACGACTCCACACACACAAACACACACTCACACTTATAATACCGGTATTCAGTGATTTCATTTCAATAGAACAGAAGGCAGGAGGTTTTTTTTCTTTGAGTCCGTTCAATGGAAGACCGGGAGAAAAGAGTGCGAAACTCATAAAGTGCATTTTCCACGTTTAAGATCGAGACATCCAGGGAACTAAAATATTTTGGAAGTATCATTAATCTGCCTCCCTTTGACAGACTGAGATGTAGTTTATTTAGAAACTAACACACCAGATTCAGAGTCGTGTTCAGTGTAATTGTTGTATAATGCCCTCTAACAACTTTATATCTTTCTATATTTGAAGGCTGAAAAGGAATATGTAAAATGAGTGTACAGGCAGATCCGACTGGCAAGTTTGCAAAAAACGAAGATGTGATGTCAAGATGATTTCTACTAAATCCGTCGGTACAATTATTTCTGTTTCTTTACATTTTTCCATTTCCCAAACACCGTCTCGACAAAATCCTACTCTTCGACACTTAGTCGAACCTTTATTTCTTTTTAGACCAAAGATGTTGAGACTATCCTGATGAATATGTATGAACAGGCAGAAAGTAACGCTGCAGGTGGCCGGAGTGTCTGAAACGTCAGAAGACGGACTCTTCATTATACTGACGGCTGTCATTTAAGGCATCCCCTTGAAGTGGTTCATACGATCCACTCGTACTGGTCAGTGATGCTGCTTGTCACGTCTCCTTGATGCCGTCACTAGGGGAGGGAGAGACACGCCACAGTCCTGCCCCGATATCGCACCGCGCAGCAGACGCATCATTACGCACGAGACCAAAGTGGAAAGACGTATCCGGCTTTTACGCACGGATAAACTGCAGCCGAAATAAGAGTTCTAACGATGGATTTTATTTGTATTAGAGAGTTCTAAAGTTGAATTTTTGTATCATGTAGGCTATTCTCACACATCCTCTCCCACAGAGCGTCTCTCTCACTCAAACACCAAAGTAGCACCGGACGCATTACTTTGACCGACGTAAATAAAAGTCTAACACATTACAGAGTGACAGTTTGGTGTAACTGATTTCATTTCACTCATGCATTCTGAGGCACTTACAATAAACTTTCCGTACACAGTCTTCAGACCCAGTTTTTCCGTGCGTCTTCACGAAAACCCATGCGCCAAAAAGTAAACAAATTCGGTTGAAACAAATCCAAAGCAGCCCACGTCGCCCCTGCTCGAAATTACAAGAACTGTTCGCACTTCCCTTAAATGATACAAAGTGTTTGTCCTTCAGAAAGCCTTCTCTTTTCAGTTCCGCTGTTATTATTTCCTTCTATCTTCCCTGATTCGCTGCTTGTGCGCGCCGGAGCCACTTGTTGCCGGCGCATAAAGTTGGACCTTTTGAGAAGTTAAATATCCAGAGAAGAACACAAGTTAGTATCTCAAGGGCTTGACGGGGACAAAAGACCAGCGCCTTAGCACCATATGCTTAATGGCTACAGCCGTCCAGCCTTTATTAAAGGCAAAAAGTGGTCCTTTAAAAGTTGGAAAGGCTCCTTTATTTGAATTAGATGGAGCACTTGCGCACAAAACCTGAAGCGCGCGTTGCTATTGACTCGCCTCCTTTCTCTTTCTTTCAGGAGTCTGAAGCGGCCACCGTCATCGCCCGTTTCACTCCAACATAAGCTTTTCATCACCCGGCTTTGTTCCTGGTGAAAGTAATGCTGCGAATCAAAGAGATGACAATATTTTCCATCAGCTTGGAGACCCTGGACAAGAGCCCTCGAGCTTTGGCAAAAATCGGGGCCGGTTATTCATCCTGTCACTCCGCACCTGTGGTCCCGCATTCAAAGTATACAAACTTGTCCCTATTAACATTAATTATTCACAAACAACACAAAGGCTGAAATAGAGCAGGTTGAAGTCTGTTTATGGCTCCTAAATGTTTTATTCCTCTGAAGATGTGCCCAAAGCCCCTTTTCTCTCCCTCGCTTCCTACCGAGTGCCCGTCTCTCTTTCAACCTTGAGTAGCCCTACAGTTTCCATGTTACAATCGCAGCATCTGCTAAATCTTGCGGATGAAAATATGAAACAAAACATAGCTGCAAGAGGATTTGTTAAATCCCGATAATGAGTTATCAACATGGGGGACAATGGCGCAGGATGGTGAGAGCCTTATGGTTGCGGGGGCAGCCGGGACAGTTTGCTCTCTTTGCAGAAAGCGCCAGGTGATGGCAAGAAAATCGACTCTGTGAGGAGAGGAACACCAAACCACATCCTTTCTCTCCTTGGGAAAAAAAAGCACAAGACATAAATTTAATTGGCTTATCAAGGCGCAGCGAAAAGACCTCGTTGTTAATTGGCTGAGGGCGCACAAAACAAACGCAGGGATGTGTTTAGCCAGGCTCAGCCGCGCTGCGCTTTCAGCCCTGTGTCACATCATTGAAAATGTGTTTTATTATTGCAAAACGTCATGCTTTACAGTTGCCATATTGTGTCCTGCACAAAGGCTGATGGAACATTAAAGTCGAGGAAAACGGTGCCAACACGTCTCGAAGACACTACAAGGGCCTCTCTCTTTGCTTGCTTTTAGGCAGCTGCTGTCCAGGGCGCAAGGACATGAAAAGAAACCAAGTTTGAACTACCAGGTGCATCCCAGGAGATCACGGAGGAGACCGATCTTCTGAAACAAGGAAACGCTCATAAAGATGTAATTTAGCCTGGGAGGTCACGTCTGAAATAAAGGAGCGCATGTCTACTTCTCTTCTCGGCCACATATCTTTTCCTGTTCCGTCCTCTGACACCTGTTGGCAACCACCGGCTGACCGCAATAACATACCCCCCCCAACCCCCCACCCCCATATCAAGCAAATCATAGTGCTTGGAGCTTGTCTGGTCGGCCTTACAACCGACAAACTCATTATATGTCGGGCTAGAGCCAGGGGTTTGATTACTCCACGGGATTTTGAGATGATCTGCACATCAAGCCGATTTTGGCTGTAGTTTGGCGTCTCCCCGTTGCGTCAATTAGTGGGTTTAGAACAGATTTGATCGCATTAGGGGCGAAACAACCTCTTACTTTCATTAAGCCGTTTAGCTTAAGCTTCACACCTCCATTAGTGCTTATTGTAATCACAGATTTACAGATTATTTTTAGCGCTTTACCACTTGTTGATTCGGTTTCAGCTTCAGCACATGTGCTCACTGTCTCTGGTGCGTAAAAATACCACTCACAGCTGAAAAGTCTGATATTTTCTGTACCAGACTGATCACCAGAAAGTTTTGCCAAAGCATAAAGTGGCAAATACATCTGCGTGAGAGCAAGAGGAAAGACTCTGCTGAAGAAGTGACTGAGCTGGATATACTAGAGGAATTATTTATAATATTTATTGACTGAAAATGTTTTTTTTTTTTTTTTTTTTTACTTAAGAATAATTTACACTCATGACGCAGTAAACTACATGGGCAAGAAAAAAAATCACCTTCCTAACTGTCAGCGAGATTGTTATTAATTGACCACCAGTGGATCTTAAAAATAAAGAAAAGAAAAGAAAGTCTCGGAAGGGCTTAATGGTCGGAGTCCCGGTGTCAACACCACAGTGTGAGCAAACACAGAGCCCCCCACTCCTCATCCAGCTGACCCATCGCTCACGAAGAAAGATTTAAGACACACTGATCAGTTGAAAGTGAAGAAGCACTTTCACACAGTCATCTCATCTCTCATATCTTTCCCATCCCTGAAATCAATCATTCGCATGTCAATGACTGACTGTGAACAGTTTATATCAGTGGTTTTCAACTGGTGGGTACCGACCCAAAAGTGGGTCACGTACACGTTCTGGATGGGTCTCGAACAGCGGGTCAAAAAAGGTAAATATTTAATGCGATATTTATTAGAGATTTGATATTTTTTGCACACGCAACTTCAGTAGTTGTCGTCCTCATGTTGTCCTCTTCACGTGCTCTGAAATGCACTTTACTTGATAAAACAAGTGGATTTATGTGAAAGATTAGAGTTTTAAAGGTTTTATATATATATATATATATATATAAATTAAATTTGCTTGGTTTGAATTTTATTCAAGTGGGTCCCGGAGTGAGACCAGTTGAGAACCACTGGTTTATATTAAATTTGTTTGATTCTTACCCTGACATATTTTAGCTGTCGGGATGTAAAATCAAAACTCTGCAGCGTGTGTCTGTCTGGGCTGTGTGTCCCTGACAGCACACTATAGGTATGAAAGCGCAGTGTGTTTTTACGCTGAATCAGCGGCCTTTGAGTCTTTCTCAACCAAATTAAGGCTTGGCGTGGCCCTCCAGTGTTCAGGCCCGCCGGGCTCCAAAGAGAATAAAACCTGTCTGGCAGTAAAAATGGCCGTGTCCTTTAAAGCCGTGCCAAAGCTTGTAGCCGGAGTGACAAGATAGCCGGAGTGTTTTAGCATGTCCATTCCGCCTGACTGCGGCCGCTCCAAAGACCTCTACGTTGCGCACTAAAAACCATCAACTGCACAAAGGCGCGAAGGTGCGAGGGGCTACAATACTACCAGTGTTTTAACCAGAGCCCCGCTGCCTGCCTGCCTGCCGCGAAATCCCAGTGGAATCAGCCCAGCATTGACTCGCTAACATCTGACTTTGTCGTGGCTGTAATGGAATTACATGGTGCTGTTGCGCTAATGAGGAACCGGCGGACTATCAGAGAGCCTGCAGTCCTCTGAACAATTAAAGTAACGGGTTAAAAAGCAGAAGTATTTCACTTCTTAAAAATAAAAACTACTACAGAGAACTTCAAGATGAGCCTTTTTTTTACAAAGGTGAAGACAGAGGAAGATGTAGAATAATCAGAATAAACAGATATATATATAGAAGTTTGAGCGAACCCACCTCTGCAGCTGAAGGGTTCTGGATAAATCCGTACTCTGACTGTCTCAATCCGGTTCCCCCCTCGGCCATGTGTTTGCAGCTTTGGGCCCACATGGTTCATTTATGTGATGGCGGTGTGTGAGTGGTGAGGGGGCGGCCGCAGAGGAGGCTGTGGGGGGACACATGTTGGAGGGATGCCGCTACCACGGGAAAATCTGTCCGTGCAGCACCTGGCAGCACAGAGCCGCATTCAACAGCCTCTCACCATGCTGCTGCACGCCCGCGTGCGCTTTAAACACCCTCAGCTGTTGAGGGTATACACTGTCTGCTCGTTTGCATAGCATTAGCATATTTATGTCACATAATTGGGTTGTATTGGTTTGGTTCACTGTTCTCCTTTAATTCTCCATCCGACTTGGAGTGAAGGGCTCAGAGGCCATATGTGTACTTAACGTGTTAATATCATGTCAACAGGAGTCTCACAAGATCAATCCTCCTTCATTTGATGGCAACCAATTCAGAATGATGATGTCATCTTCACATTTTTATCAGGAAGTTCAGGTGTGTGTGTGTGTGTGTGTGTGTGTGTGTGTGTGTGTGTGTGTGTGTGTGTGTAAACATATATATACTTGAAATGTAAAATCATACGAAAAAGAGGGTAAGGGAGCCAATAACAGGAAAAAAACGCGCAGGCATATTTCTGTGATACCAGAAAACTTTTTAAAAACAAAACTGATTTTGCTTTTGTTGTTGTTGTTTTGTTTTTTCTGTTTTTGTTGTTATTGTTTTCTGTTTGTTTTTGCTTTTTTGGGGGGGGTTGTTTGTTTTTTATTTTTGTTTGGTTTGTTTTTTGTTATTTTTATTTTTATTTTTTTTGCTTTTTAATTGTTTTTTTTTTTTTTTGGGGGGGGGGTGATTTTCTGCGTTTTTGAATGTTAATGAAATCCTTGTTATTTAGGGAATTAAGGACACGTCTCTTTGAACTGCATGATAAATTTCAAAATGATCAAATGTTTTGTGTTGCATTAATGTCACATTAAAACAAACTGGGCTTTAAGTGAAATTCTAATGTCAGTTCATTATATAGGCTACTGGATAAAGGCTATATAGCTTTATTTTCACGGATCATTTTTGTGTAAGATAAAACATGTGTAGGTTTGAGTGTAAGCATTTGGCGTCTCATGATCCAGTTTTGGACCTCATCAGCGGACATGAGCAGGAGGTGATCAAGCAGATTTCTACTCGTAAGTAAACCTTCAGGCTGAAAAACACTCTGACAACATCCAACAGTTTGAACACTCAAAATAACAATGCAAATTCACGTCTTTTTCAAATCAATAAGTGCTTTTATTTTCAGAGTATAAATATAAATCGTTGCACCAGAATATATTTGTTCTCCTTTAGTGAAATTAAATTAAAGATATATTATCACTCGTACAGAAAATAAATACATGATTGCCATTTTACCTGAATTACAAAAATAAATTTATCAACGTGATAAAACTATTTACAACATTGAAAACAACATCATAAACTGTACAGTCAGCTCACATGCTGTCCACTCTGTTACTTTACGCGCCCTCAGTGCGCATTCACACACGACCCGCTCCAGACCGCCACAGTTCATGTGCGCCTTCAGCGGAGGAGTCAGAAACATGAGTTTGGGGGGTTCAATTAGGCCACAAGCCCGTAAGGAGGTTCGTTCTCAATATCCGTGAGGCCCGGTTTGCTGTGCAGTTTCCGGGGGTCTTCCGGGGTCCAGACTTTGGCGGTGCGGATGATGTTCTGCTCCCTGAGCTGCTTTTCATCCGACCAGGACAGAGAGTGACCGGCCAGGGGAGGAAGGCCGTAATCCGGGTCGCTGGGGGAGGGAGACCCTGCAAAAACAAAAGATAAAGAACTTTAGAGAACAAAATTCATCACCCTCACCTGCTCAGACATGAATGCGCAGTCACATCTTTGGATCAGTGATGCGCACAGAGACAGGACAAAACCTGGAGTTAGACTCACTTGTTCCTCTGTGACAGATGATCACTTTCTTAGGCTGCGCGTGCGTCTCGCTGCTGGAGTTTCTGATAGGCAAATCAGACTGCACGAGCTCGGCAAGGAAGTTGATGTACCCAATGGCCAGCCTTAGGGTGTCCACCTTGGAGAGCCGTTTCTCGTAGGGCAGGGTCGGGATGTGGGAGCGGAGACCCTCAAACGCGTCATTGATGGACTGCATCCTCCTCCGCTCCCGCACGTTGGCCGCCTGCCTCAGCTGCTGCATTTCCCTGTCGGACCTCATCCTCCTCCTGCGCTTCAGGAGCGGGCCGCCCTGGTGAGGGGACAGCTCCGGGGTGCTGTCTGCGCAGCCGTATGAAAAGGTGGAGGACGAGGAGGAGAAGGACAGGTTACCGATGTCGTAGTCTCCATCGTGCGGGGCCGCTCGGTTGCCGCTGCCGTCTTTGCTGTAGTAGTCCTGAAAGTGACTGGTGAGGAAGTCCACGTCGTCATCCAGAAAGTCCTCAGTGTCAAAGTGTCCGTCCCTCGAGGACTGGTCGGTGAAAAACTCGTCATCGTCGAAATAAGGAGGGGAGGAGAAAGAGTCCAGTCCGGAGAACGGGTCCAACACGCTGTCCATCTTTGTGTTTGAGTCCTCCTACACTCTGTTGTTGATGATGATGATGATGATGATGTGACAATAACTCTTCTTCTTCTTCTTCTTCTTCTTCTATGAACTCTGTGCTCACTGCATACAGCCAACAGTTAGTTTTAGATCAACTGGCACGCGAGGCCTTTTTATAGCGACATCCATAGTCGCGTGCCGTTTGCCAGGAGCGCCAACCAATCGTAGCTCGGTCCGCAAGACGCACCTCGAGGTAATCCTCAAGAGCGCCACGCCCCCCCCCCCCCCCCCCCCACCCCCTACTCCCCCACACACACTGCTCACAACACTTCATGATAAGTATTTCTGTTTCCAATCAATAAATGATTATTTATATCAACGATAGAGTTATTTCTCGAATGAAGGTGTTCCCTCACATGTCCTCTTTCTTCACGTGTTGGCTCTTCACACAGATACCAGAAATCTACAAGTTATCATTCGTTCCGGAAATATCCCGGTCATGACTGTAACTTATAATGATTAACGCAGCCTGGAAGAAGTCGAGACCCTCAAAATACCGGAATCCACACTGACTGATGCAGACTGACCATCATGCTGAATCCCTTTAACAGCCCAGTCTCAAATTCTGCTACACATGTTGTCAAAATAGCCATCACATGCTCGGGTCGTTTTGCCTACAATTTTGGCTTATTTGATAAATTTTAAATTTGTTTTTTAAATTTTATTTTGACTAAATAATCATTTTACAGGGGAAGTTTAAATGGTGTAAACAAAAGGAGCTGCTGTACACTTAAAAAGAAAAGGGGGTGGGGGCAATAAACAAATAAACAAATAAATAAATAAAACGAAGATCGTGTTCAGAGACCGAAAGTCATAATAAGGCAAAATAAAGGGATTTGATCAGTTTTCTTTTCTTTGATAAATCCTTAAAACCGTGGTTTTCAACTGGTGGGTCCCGATATTTTTTGCACACGCAACTTCAGTAGTTGTCGTCCTCATGTTGTCCCCTTCATGTGCTTTGAGATGCACTTTACTCAATAAAACAATGGATTTATGTTAAAGATTAAAATCTTAACTGAAGAGGTCTGAAACTTCTTAGTTACACATCCTGAGGGGATGCAAAACCCAGAGTTATCCATTGTTGCGCACGCGCTCAGATAAACACGGGTACTCCTCTCACAGTGGAGCATGACGAGAGTATCACATTTTACGTAACAGAGGGAGAGTGCGTTAACATTGAGACACATCTATTTTTTTTTTACAGTTTGCGTTCCATGAAGACAGCTACCCTGATGAAGTTTGATTTCTATTCTCTTCACCTCTGTGTGTAAATCAGTGGTTTTCAACGGGTTGGTCCCGACCCAAAAGTGGGTTACGGACACATTCTGGATGGGTCACGAACAGCCGGTCGAAAAAAGTAAATATGTAACTCGATATTTATTAGATATTTTATATTTTTTGCACACGCAACTTCAGTAGTTGTCATCCTCATGTTGTCCCCTCCATGTGCTCTGCACTTTACTCAACATAACAAGTGGATTTATGTTACAGATTAGAGTCTTTAAAGGTTTTTTTTTTATATATAAAAATTAAATTTACTTGGTTTGAATTCTATAAAAGTGGGTCGCGACTTAAGGACCACGGGAAAATGTCTTAAAACCTCCGTTCCCCCACTCCTTCATTAAAGAGAAATAAATAAATAAAATATATTTAAAAATGAATAAATAGATAATAATAATGATAACTACATTCGGTATCCCAGCTACAAACAGAACACAGGAACTCGCACAAAGAAGCTGTGGTCTTGTCTCTTCTGACTGTGAATCAGGTCCGTCATAAAGTCAGCCTGTACGGTAACAGTAAACTCCTGAATGAAGTGGTACAGATTGTGTTTTTGTAGAGAGGCTGCTCTCTCCCCCCACTTGAAGGGTCACAGTCCTCGTGGTGGTCTGTTTAAGACCCCTCTCTCTCTCTCTCATTTATTCAGCAGTAAGTGGGCAGCGCTGTTGCCTTTAATAGCTGCACCAGCAGAGTGGCCGATGCACCACTTGTGCCAGCCAGTGTGGTTTTGACTGAGAACTGGTTGACAAATAAAAGCACAGTGGTGGGCCTCGGAGCGCGCGCCTCTCTGACACCTCACGCGACATATTAGCGCTCTCGGTACACCGAAATAGACTGCCCACCGGTCTGGGCTCTGTAAGTACGCATCTATTCAGACCTTTCAGTGAAAGGACTCACTTTGTTCTGGAGACAAAATGGACCTTTTTTTGCAGGAGCAGGCCACGGTGCGCGCGAGGATAGAGGCTGCAACACGGGCCGTGGCCGTGGGAAGAAGGCCATTTGCGTCCCCATGGCCAGTCAATGCAACATGTCAGGATATAAATGAGGCTTGTGTTGCTGTCAACATAATGAAGCTGTCCCTGAGAGCCCGTGTGCATTAGGGAGGAGACAATACACACACACATACACACACACACGCACACACACACCGGTGCCAACCAGGTGCTGAACGAACCACCAACCACCGACAAAGAACCTGCACAAGCGCACCCGAAACCCCTAATATAATAATAATAATAATAATAATAATAATAATAATAATAATAATAATAATAATAATAATAATAATAATAATTCTTCTTTCGGGGACTCCTCCTCCTCCTCCTACATATTTACTTTTTGGAGCGTTAATCACTTTCACAGAGTCAACATATGCAGACGTGTTAGTCCTTCCTCTTGTCCCTTCTTCAGAGAGGAGGCAGAATGACATATTATTCAGTCAGACTGAGTGAAGAAGTGCTCTGTGTTCTTCTCAGAGGACTGTAGGAGCATACCTGTTGAATTCGACTGTCATCTTTTCGTCAAAGTAATGATGAAGCTGATGTAATGGAGAAAGATGGTCGGATTTCTTCAATGTCATATTCACCGATTATGCTCTCAAAAGGATATTGTGGTTTTCTGTCAAGTAACGGGATTTGGACTCAGATTTAGAGTCGGTTTTGTTGCTATAACAACGTTCATTTCTGATGGACGCCTGATGCACGGACACAGACAAGACCGATGAGATTTCAAAATAAAGGCTTATAAAAATACAAGATCTAAATATTGAGTACAATACAGTAACAGCATCTGTTTTTATTGGCCTTCAAAGAAGCATCAATGTCAAATGAAGTCTGAGACCGTTCAAGAGTCTTATTTTCATCTCAGGTAGTCAGTGAATATTTATTTTATTTTTAAATATTAATGAAGCTCAATTTCGATGTTTCTCGGACCGAGTTTGGTGTGTTGCACAGGTACACACACACATACACAGAGACAGTCTTTCATGAAACGAATGCTTTAGTGCAGTGGTTCTCAACTGGGACCCACATTTTCCCATGGTCCTTAAGTCGTAACCCACTTTTATAGAATTCAAACCAAGTAAATTTAATTTTTATATAAAAACCCTTTTAAAGACTCTAAACTTTAACATAAATCCACTTGTTTTATTGAGTAAAGTGCATTTCAAAGCACATGAAGGGGACAACATGAGGACAACTACTGAAGTTGCGTGTGCGAAAAATATCAAATCTCTAATAAATATGGCAATACATATTTACTTTTTTGACCATCTGTTCATGACCCATCCAGATCGTGTCCGTGACCCACTTTTGGGTCGGGACCCACCAGTTGAAAACCACTGTTTTAGTGAAACAGTTTTATGGGACCCTCTTTTAGGGTCAAACAGTTCGCGTCTGCATGTTGCATGGACATGTTGTTAAAGTGTGTGTCCCACCCCTCCCCTCGTTGGAAAAACCAGATGATAATTCGAACCGTGCAGGTTTTTAACGCGCCGTGACCGCGCGCTCCACGGCGTCTCATTGATGAACGTGCTGTCTTTCTGAACGGAGCGACCTACGTGAGCGGAGCAAGTGTTTCTGTTCCCATGCTGCCCCTCGGTCTGCAGCATGCAGCAGGCTGGACGGTGCATTAACACCGGCCTCACCGGGCACACACACACACACACACACACACACACACACACACACACACACACACACACACACACACACACACACACACACACACACACACACACAGTTACATTGTAGTTGTGTAGATAGCTCTATGATCTGAAAAAGAAATATACCAAGAACAAACTTTAAAAGTTATTACACTTATCATATAAGTATCCGTGTAACGAAATGAAAAGACAGACATTTAAACTAAGAATTGTAATTATTATATCTTAAAATAATCTTATAGGAATAAATGTTAGTAAATATTTCTAGCCTATACAGTAAAAGTTATGATTTACTTCCACTCATAACCACTGCACCACTCTCAAAGATGGAGCCTATATCCACTTTTGTGTGTGGATATGAACATTTAAATAAAGAACAAAAACAATCAATACATTATCATCTCTATTATCAATAATAAAAAATCATATATTAGTATATATTCATGTTAGTCCCTCAGCTCAGTTCTATTTTTGTAACCTTTTTTTTTTCTTGTGATGGTAAATTTTAAATCACTTCAGTTTTTCAGTTTCTGTTTGAAAGTCTGTCTGAATCTAATCTGTGCCTCTATTTTACTTCAACTTAGAGAAGAGTGTTTTTTTGTTTTACTGTGGCACATTTTCAATGGGATTTTGAGGTTTTTATGGATTGTGATTTCACAAACATAAACACCCTGAATGTTCTCTTGTACCAGCTTGTGTCAAACATGGTCTCCTGTTCACCCATTGATTGGTTTTATTCTATTCACAATGTGTTCATCACTCATCGGTGAACAAGACTCCAGAAATATGGCCGCAGTGGTCCAATCATTTGTTTATTTTCTCCTTTGACTGCTTCGTCTTCAAGAATGTGTTCTACCATTTTACAGTCAAAACCTGCAAAAAAAGAAACACCTCAATCATCCAAAAAAATAAAAAAATCGAGCAGATTCACTGATAAATAAAACAAAACTGTCTCAACCAGCAGTTTATCAAACTAACAGTGACACACCTGTACATAGCTATTTGTCTTGTAGTCAGTTCAACTTTACAAGGGTTTTTACCATAGACTGTATATACTATGGACAACCTGGTTCTGCCTACCGCCTGTATACAGATTTGAAGCCAGAAAGCTCTCTGTATTTCCGGGATTTTTCTTCATTTCCTGAAACCAGCGCTGTGCAGTTGCGTTGCGCAGTCGCAGAGAGTCGCTGTGATGACGCTCGGCTCAAACAGCGTAACCCCCGGGAGAGCTACTCAATCCCTGAGCACCCATAGGCTGTATCAGGTGTCAATCATAGCAAACATGAACATGAATAACTTTTAAAAACGGAGCTTCACAGAAAATAAGAGGACTTGAGCACAAACCAGTCTTACAATAACTACATGTCAACATCGCAAGCAGGGGGGAGAAAAATTCATGTTCTGTGTAATAAATTTCTAAAGTTTGTCCACAGCTCCATAAGCTTTGCTGGCAGAGGCGGGATTTATGACCTATACTGCAGCCCGTCAACAGAGGGTGCTGTTCTCGGAGTGGCTTCTCCCAGCGAGGAGGCAGACGGCGTCCATTCTACAGTATATACAGTCAATGGTTTCTACACTATCACTATCTTATCAGACAGTTAAGGTCCTTACACTTCGGGACTGGCGCAAATGTACGACGCAAAATCACGAAATATTCGGAGGCGAATATTGACGTGCCTGACCATACACATCAAACGCGATGCGATTTTGCGACTTTCCGGGGGGGGGGGAAGATGCGTCCCGGGTGGAAGCGAGAAGACTGACACAACAGCAGACTGACTGTTTTTCACTTCTGATTAGACTCTAGTGTTGAGATGGCTGTCTGTCATGATAGCATGTCCTGAGTCGGGGCCAGTACCAGATAAGCACATTAAACTGTAATCCATAAACGTAAGGTAACATCCGAGACCAAATGGTGCTGTGACAGCAATGTGATTGAGTTTGAGACAGTGAAAATACATATGGTATGTTGTATCTGAACAGGTTAGCTTACGAGCTAAAGTTACTTAGCACAGATGAAAGTTAAAACAAAGACGTTTAGCAAACTGTTAAAGCACACAAACCATCGTCATATGAGAAATCCGACGCTATGACTCTCCACAAGCTGTTCTTCAGGTCGTTATCTTTGTAATGTTGGTGTTTTTTTATCAAAAAGCACTCTGTTCTCCAACACGTAAACAATCAGCCGGTCAGCCATGTTGGATATACTGGTGAATCAGACGTCGCAATAACACACAATCTGATTGGTCAGAAGTGGACACACAGTATGCAAAACTTACTTGACAGGATATGGGGTCGAAAAAAAAATATTGATGTCCGAAATAATCGCACGATAAAAATGCTCCCAGTTTGAAAGGACCTTAAATCATAATATTGGTCTACAGTTACCCACCAAGCACTTTTCCTTTCAGTTTCTGAATATCATAGGGGGCCCTACTAGAGAATTTCTTCAAATGAAATATATAGATTTCCGCCCACAAGTCAAAGGATAACTTTGAAAAATTCCAAAAAAGAACATCTTTTGAGTGAGTCTGTAGGCAGACATCATAAGTACTTTGATATTTGGAGGCTCCCATCCCTTTCCTCCATTCACAGTCAGGACTAATGCAAATCTATGATAAAGTACAGAGCTACAGAGCTGTGAAGCTGCACTGTAATATTAATTATTCGTCTATCATTTCAAACTCATTTTAGGTGTTGAATGTTTTGCCTGTGCACAAAATGTACTCAGTTGGTACAAAAAAGAAATAAAGAAAATCTTGCTTTTGTGATTGTAAATTAAAAAGTAACTCATTAAAAAATGGTGATGGTCAGGATGTGACTATGGAGTCATGAAACCACCACGTTAATGATCTCTGGTTCTGACCCACAGCATCAGGAAGTCTGCAGGACCATGTCCTCAGGCATGAGCACCCTGACCTTCAAACCAAAAAAAGGAAGTCCAGAAAGTGAACTACAGCAGACAAATGTTTGGCATTAGAGCCAGAGCTAATCCTCACCCACTGTGGTCCAGCCGTAATCCCTGTAATCTTTGTCCACAGGGGATTATCCAGCGAGATGACACAAACTAATTAAGGGGATTTAATGAGACGTAATTTAACAATTTGATTTAATGCCAACCAGTGAACCCTCACTGTTTCCTTCTCCTGTTGGCTTAAGACAAGAGCAGTTTGGGTTCAAAAATCTGAGTTATAATTGATCACATTAGTGAGCTTTATCCCTTAAATTTGACACAGAGGTCTGAGTTCTTTACTGGTTTTATCAGGTCCACTTGAGACAATTATAGACAATTCAGAGGAAACACATCCATGATGATATTCTGATAAACATATTTTAAATCAACTAAACGAAATCCATCATCCTGTTTTTATTTCTTTCATACAAATGTTTATGGTCCATAACAGTAAATTTACAAAAAAAGGAAGAAACCCTAAGGATGCAGGTGTTCAGGTTATAGAGCATGAATAAAAAAATGCATGTATGAACCTTTTTTGTTGAAGTTTAATTTTCTGATATATCTTGAAGACTCCAAAATCAGGCAACTGGACTGTGTAGCGTTGAACTCTACAAGGCCAACTGTGTAGAGCTCAGCTCAACTCTACACAGTCTAGTTGCCTGATTTTGGAGTCTTCAAGAGAACCATGACCTGGATGAATGAAAATCTACACATTTCATGATATATCCAATGATGAGAGGTGCAAAGCTGCAGTTCCCTGAGTGCCCACTAAAGGCTGTGTGTAGAACCACAGGCACACTCATTCAAAGAAGCCCATCTTTAGAGAAAAATAAACCTGTTTCCAGCCTGGTCCCAGAACCAGCTTTGACCTAAAAAGCTCAGTCCTCTTTCTGCACACGCTGTTCAGTGAGTGTTTCTTTTTATTACATTTTCATTTTGGGGAAATTGGTTATTAAAATGATTAAAGTTGACATTTTTGTCGCATTAGAGGAACAGTTGGCATGACTGACAGGTTGGGACACTGTTGGTGGAAAGCATTGGGGATAAAATCCCATCCCTCCTTCCCAGATAGGTGCATCTTTAAGTGATAAACATTCATACATATACAGTCAAGCCCAAAATTAATCATACCCCTGGCAAATTTTGACTTAAATTTACTTTTATTCAACCAGCACGTTTTGTTTTAATTGAAAATGACACAGGCATCTCCCTGAAGATAATAAGATGATGTAAGCCTGCTCCAGCAGCAGCAGCTGTGGGTCTGTGGTCTGAGGTCGTCTGTGGTGGTCTGTGGTCAGTGGGGCGCGTGGACCGGGCAGGTGAATCACTGCAGGTGCTCTCTCTCTCTCTCTCTCTGCTCTATGTGTTTCCTCTTTAAAAAGTCTGATGAATATTTGATCCGCGGTTCGGCCTCCACTTCTCACTAATCCACAAGCTCCAATGCGCCAAGACACCGCCGCTGCCGCCGCTGTCTGCCTCCTCTTCCTCTCTGATCCTCCTCCTCCTCCTCTTCCTCACCTTGCTGATGAAGAGGAGATGCTGGACTTTGTGCCTCTGCTGTCTGCGGTCTTAGGAGGAGGAGGAGAAGAAGAAGCAGGGTCTGGCTCGTGCTTCAGTGTCTTCTTCAGTAGCGCTCGAGACGACCGACGGCCGGTGGGGCGCGAGGAGGTGCACTGACTATCTATAGCCAACCAGCAACTAAGTTGGACTGACGGAACGAAACAGATCATCCGGTTTGCACCACCAAAATAAGAGCATATATATATATATATATATTAAATCAAGTATGGGTAACACTTTACAATAACCATAACTTATAAATGGTAAGCAGATAGTTTATTAATGTCCAATCATCATTTATGAATAGCATATACACCATTAATAGATTGTAAATTTTACAATTTTAAAAACCTAACCCTAACTTTACGATAACCATCTAAGTAATTGTAAGGATGTCTAGCCCATGTTCACACTTTAAAGGTCCTCTCACACCGCCAGCGGTCTCAGACCCTGACTGTACCGATGCGCGGGAGGAGAGGTGGAAAGACAGCCTGCCGGCTTTGCGCTGTGCGGCACGGCTGAGCAGGCTGGACCCCCGGATGCAGGGCCCTCGGCCGGCCCGTTCGGAAAATGCAGGGAGGCCATCCAGGGCAGAGTGACAGCGGAGGCCGAAACCAGTTGTGGTGCCAGAGCTGAGGGCGAAAGACCGGTTATCCTGGAGGCCTGACTCAGGAATATATGTTTAGCTTGAGCTGAAGCTAGGGATTTGAAGCCCTCCAGCAGCCTATCCTTCTCACTGAGATCATTTTGCAGACGACAAAGCTTCTCTTCCAACCGTGAGTTTTTTATTTTGCAGTCCGCACACACAGCCATTTAAAATTCAAACTCTTCCGGGTCCCGCGCAGAGTTCTGTGCGTAATGCAGCGTGGATCGTTTGAAGGCCGTCTTACAACAGCCGATAAAACCCATTAACGGTAAAACTTCAACTTAAAAGCCAACAAACTCTTAAGAATGCAGTCTAAAAAGTTGCTTAAAACTGGTTAAAATTGGGTTAAGAGTCGCCCGGGACGGAGCGATTCGGCGGGATCGTGTACAATGCTGACGCATGCGCAGTCATGAGTGACGAGTGACATGGTCAAGTATGGTCAAGATTTGAGCTGGTCAGAGATTCAGGATAATTTGATCAGTTAAAATAATGTCAGCAGTAATATAAAGTTGGGTTTAAGTGGCTTACAGTGGTTTGATGAAAGACTTTCATAGCAACGACTGAACATCTCAGCTTTCAGACACGGGCGTACACACAAGGAAGAGCTCACACATCTGAAGCAGGAAAAGTGCTGCAAACACACAACTATTTAAAAATACAACAAAATTAAAACCAAGGGAAAATACAAATTTAATGTTTTAATATTTGTTTCTACCTAAACACAGCAACAACAATAACATTTTTAAAGGGAAGATATTAACTCAATAGCCATAAACAACAAGAGCTTGAAGAGAGCCCTAATCCTAAATTTCCTGAAAATCAGACTACAAAAGATAACAGTATATGATTAAGATCAAGTAATCATTAGTTTGCTCACATTAGTGTCACCAAGTAGCACAAACAAGCACACCTGAGGTTGACTGGATGTTAAGAAACCACTTAAAACAAAAGAGATCATCAAGTCTTTAGGCTGCATGAGATTCTCTGCAAAACGTTGAGCGTATCAAGCCAAACTACAGAACGATATTTATGATAGGTTAATAAGTTTATTCAGTTACATCATTCAGCTGTTTTAAAAAAAATGGTTCCCCAAACTTCCTGAAGAAACACTGTTGTCAGACATGGTTTTTATTACAGCCTGAGTAAATGTACAGAAAGAAGTAAGGATGATCTGACCTTCTGTTTACAGTTAGGGGGGGTAAAAAAGTATAGAAAAGCCAATAGATGTTACAGACATAAACAGAAGGATTTATCACAGAGACATCTACTAGAGGAAAGTCTGAGCATGAAGTTAACACCCTGATGCAACAGGACATGGGATATGGCGGCATTTGAGGACTGAAAAATTGAAAAAAAAATGTCACAGACTGACAAAGACGAGGCAGAAAGAACGGATCAGAGCTGAGCTGACTCAGGTGATTTTCTTCACCTTATTTAACTTCAACATCAGTAGAAATGTTGAGCTTAATGTGAGTAATGAAAGTTAAGTTGGCTCAGTTTAAGAAATGTTTAAGGGATGAACATCCTGATTGGGTGAGCAAGACTCGGATACAGAGAGGTTTTGATAGGGGATGGGGAAAAGGTCAGGGGGTGACTTTTTTTCCAATGGAGTTCAGTTCAAATGCATAACTACAGCACCTTTTGATCATAAAATAAGGATGTTTTTTTCATTGTACATAGATATTTTCAAATGAATATTCCTGAGCCAAACTCAAGAGCCCACTAAAAATTTGAACACTATCGTAGTTCTACAGAGATGACTCTCTGATGGCCTTAAGGTGAAAACTACAATTAACTTTAGATTTTGGTGTTTTTTCGTAAATAGTGTATATTCTGTTCATATTTTTATTGATATCAGATCAGACTGAGGAATCCAGAGGGACTTATTTGGCTAACATTGAGTAAACTTAGATAGCTGTATGAAGGTTCATAGTCATCTGTTGAACTCTCGCTAATATGTTTCAGTGTAGACCACAATGACTGAGAGATGATGGAGCATTATTTCAACTCCTAGAGTCATGCAGTTAGTTTGACTTTAAACATGTGGCCAAAAAACGTGTCATACACTTCATTACCAACATTTGCATGTTCTTCCATGTTTCTCAATGTTTGGCGGACATGTACATTCAGTTGTTTAAGTTTGTATGGCCCCTGATTGTTGGTCATACACTGCCAATAAGCTGTGATCCTGGTTAAATGCAGGGTCAACGTTCAAAAACAAACATGGCTCCATAGACACTGGTCACCGTGACAATGCTGGGTATCGTTGATGTTTGAATGGAGTTTTATAAGAGTGCAGATCTTCAGACTGAGGATCATGGATCACTGATCTGTCGAAGAGAGCGCATCGCAGAGAGACAAGAGCAAAGTTTTCAATACAAACCAACACAAGAGCAGTTTATCAGATTATACCAACCAGCAGAGAGCAGCAGCAATGTTTGCAAACCATAGAAACCAGAAAGCCATGGAAAAGCTGAGGAGGGAAAGAGAGGAAAGAGAGAAAGAGGACGAAAGAGTAAGAAGACAAAGAGACATGTATCTGAAGGAGAGAAGGTTGCAGGAGGCCAAGCTAAAAGAGGAGGAGCAGAGAAAGGCTGATGAGCTGATGGCTGTAAGACTGAAGGGTATGAAAAAAGTCCTGATTGATAACTGGATAGGAGACCTCAAAGCCCCAAGTAAGCCTGGATACAAGATGCCTGATCCAAAAAGCTCCACCTACCTACTCTTTGCTGCAAAGGAGGCCCCAAAATCCGAAGGTTTTCATCATTTTAAATCCTTTAAAAAAAAAAAAAAAAAAAAAAAAAAACAGTACCTGTAGATTCTTCAAGTTATTTTTTAGATCATATTAAGATTTGATCATTATGTAGACATTTCTGCACGTGAATATGTTGTGATAATCTGAATTTATGAAATTAATTCATGAGAAATATATTGTATTAGTCTTACTTTTATTACAAGTTTAACTTTATTTCAAACTTATATTACTCAACTGTTGGAATTGATGTCTCTGTATTTTTTTGTATTTTAAACTTAAACTTTCATCATCTCTCGTCTTTAGAAACAGCAGACACGACCTCACCCAAACCCAAAAAGGAGTCCAAGCGGTGGGTGCCTAACATCCTAAAGGTCGGGTACTGGATGGACAGATACCAGGACCATCATGAGAGGAAGGATGAGAAGAGGAAGCAGAAAGCTGAGGAGCAGTATGCTCGATGGTCCACCTCAAAGGCGAGACGAGCCGGCTTGGTTTCCCTGCAGAATGACTTTTACACTGGAGGGTTTGCTGTCAACAGAAACAGCATCCTCAAATCTGTACTTTAATGTTTTTCTTCTTTATTTTGTTTCTGTTGTCTCGTGATTAAGCACAATAAAAATGTGATACATTGAAATCATTCATGATTGCAACTTCACATAAAAAAAAGCTGAAATGTGTCATAAACAGTATGTTATAGTGGTAATGATTTCCCAACCCTTTTCTCTGATTTAAGGTCTTAAGGTGACCAGACAAATGTCTGCAGCAATGCTGTTTTCTCTGAGAGGTTAAATTGAAGCTAAGAAGAGTTTTCAGTCAAATGCTAATTTCACTGACTCTAACTTTAAATATGAAGCAGGTCTGAGGTGTGTTGTATCCACCAACTTTAAGCTTATTTCAAATGCCTTAATTTCAAAATGGGGTGAATATGACTCCAATTGAATTGGTCATAATTGAGATCCTGTAAATGGTTCAAACTATTTTTTCTCTCTCGTATTTTTTGGATCAGAAGGAAAAGCGTCCAAAATTTTGTGAGGAGGGCAATGCAGTGTTTTCCTCACACACAGATATTACCCTGAAGTGTTTTCCCCTTCATCTCTCAGGTCCAGCTCTATCATTAATTTCATGTTAAAAAATGCCTGAATAACAACTTTTTCATGATACATTTCCAGTTTTAATGACAAATAAATTGATTAAAGAACGTCTATTTTGTGCATTAGTATGATATATTTTTGGTTTCTTTAATTTGATGATGTGCAGTTTAATCAGGCACCTGAACAAATAATATGCAGTAATCAGAAACTAGAATACAAGTACTTATCATGTGTAGATGAATATGAATGACCAGATTCCTGCATGTGCACGCAAAGACTTTATCCCCAGTACAATCAAAACTGGAATAAGATTCATAACTGCAAGTCTGTGTAAACACACTGCAGATGCAAGATTCAGAGAAATATTTAATAACTGAACAAAAACGTTTACAGGATCTGGAGACAGCTGCAGTAGGAGAAAGAAACCGATCCAGAGACAAAAAAACAAACAAAGGTGGTGTATGAAGCATGGAGGGAAAGCACAATAAACTGAAAATAAACTGAGAAAAAAACAGCTGATTATGTGCAGGGGAGTTAGTGAGTGTAATTAACAACAGGTGTGACGAATCCAGGCTGATTAGCAGGAAAACAGGTGAAATTGATATCAAAGTTTGAGACCCTAATGAGTCATTTATCTTCTAATACACTTGTGATAAATGAACCATGTTTACAGCCTGATACAATAATGATTTTGGCCTGAATGGCTCATTTTTGTTGTTCACACTTTTGACACAAATTATTTTTATGAGTTCTTAGTTTTGTGGATACTAAGGTGAAAGTTTTGCACAATGAGGTGCTGAGAGATGTACATGATGAAACTGTGACCTAGGAGGCTGAAGGCCCAGCTAATACGTGCAAAAGTGAGGTTAAATCTGAATTTTCTATTGCTAGGCTTCAAAATCCTCCTCTAGAAACGTCATCACTAGTGGAAAAGCCCTACCTAAAGGGCAAACAAAATGTCAGCCATCCACCCTTTGTGTCAACACTTCAGATTTTCACAGTTAACGTTGAACGATTTAAAGCTCTCCTCTACCAGTATGAAATAATTTCACCCCGAGTGTCAGATCTGAACGCCTGTTGGAGCATGGAGTGGACACCAGGATTTTGAAAAGTGGGTTAGTGCTGGGCACGCTGATGTATTGATCTGTTGTCTGCAGCTCTGAGAGGGGCACTCAACACAGCCTGCATCCAGGGAATATCAAATGGCCACACAGCAAACCACACAATACACCAAACCCGGATTGTAAATTCTAACTCTGATTAGCAAAGCTCGAATTTGATCTGATCCTCTGTGGTATAAAACATGCTTCACAGCTGCCAGAAAGGATCCTTTTCCTCAAGAATCGATGAAATCCCTCTGCTGAAGTCGGTTAAATAAGCTTGTTTGCCTCATCCGAACCAGAAAGCAGATATTAACGTTCACAAAAAGACTTAAAAGATTTTAAATTCAATCCTTTTTAGTGAAGCCAAATATTTTCAAACATCTTTGTGCTAAACCATGATAGCTGAAGTGACCTCATGTTAAATTCTAAAGCCTCTTTTCCTGGCATTGAAAAGAAAGCCCACCACCTTATATCGGTGTTAGCACTCCATCTGCTGGTAGTCCTAGGAAAGTACAGGCCTTCCCTAAAAAAAATCATTGTCTGGCAGCAGATGTTGCTTTTTTACACATAAAAAAAAAAAAGGAAAATTAATGTTACGGATGATTTTTCTTCAGTTGTTTGCTATTATTGTGGTTGAAGCTCTTTTTGGATGTTTAATGTAAGTAATACATTAAACATCCAAATATTAATTTAATTTAATTAACACACCTTCTAGTTGGACCTTCTAGTTCAATAATATAAAAGACTTATAAAAGACTTTTTCTAAGTCATCAGAAATAAAAGAGTTCTGATATTCCATTCAATATAAAATAATCTGAACAAACTTTTGCATAAAACATTCAATTTCTTTCAAAAACTGATGCTAAATTCTGCATGATGTACTTAAAAACTATATCTGATATTGATTTAGCACTGTGTTCATTGGTGTCTGTTTTCTGGATTGTTAAGGTCAAAATTTGAGAGACTGAACTCAACACTTTTTAAAATTCTAGTTTTCTGCAGTGCACTATGGGTTTTCATATCCTGTTTATTTAATTTTCAGTCCGTGCCTGAGCCTGAGGGACGTCCCTAGTTTTTGTTTATCTTTATGCACTTCATTAAAAGGTGCTCAACATATTATGCAGAAAGACAAGTAGCAATGTTATCCTTACAATACAAATTACCCTGGTAATATTCAGCATTATCATCTTAAAGTCGCCCAATAAATCTAAATCATAGTATTAGAGGACACTGTTGCAGCAGTTGTTAATTTGGACATTTACTTGGCTGCCTTAATACTTGATTCTGATTGGTCAAACCCCCTTGACAGAGTCTCAACCACCGACTGGCACATAACGGCAGTGCGCTCAGCTAAGCGCGCTTAAACATTTAACAGGTGCAGTTAGATGCAAAGAGAGTAGGTGAGTTGTGTTTAGTCTCGTTGCTAAAGAAATTAGGCAAAGTTAAAAAAAAAAGTTTGGTGGCTAGTGCTATGTCTGGGACCCTATATGTACTGTTGTTGAAGTTAGGTGCTGTTCTGAGAATTATTTGTGGCTATAGAGTGGCGTTTCGGTTGAGGTTTGTTTATGGCACTTCAGACTGCTGTGCGGTTGTTACTAAAGTTGGTATAACTAGAGAAGCAAGCGGTCGGCAACACTCATCTCCCGAGGGGATGTCTAACTCAGTGTTAAAGTGTGTTTGACCCTGAATCAATTTAACTCAATTTATATCCCTTTGAAGCTCCTGTGAGGATTTTATGAAATCAATGGACTTTCATACTGATGCCTTTTTTGTAGAATCCAAAACATAACAAGACCATCAGCGACAACTTTCTGTCTTTTTGTCTTTTTTTTTGTCTTGAAATGGGAGCAAGATGGAGACAACAAAGCTGAGGACACAGCCTTGTTTTCATAGTTTTACAAAAAAAGGTTCACAATAATTAATATATTTGACACTGTGTCAGCAGGATTAGATCCTTTGGAAAAAAGACACTCTTATTTATAGAGGACTGGTTGAGCAAAGACTGAAAGTTCCTCCCAGTTTCAGTGTGGTTCAGAGTGGACTTGACACCCTAATCTATGACATGAGTGTTTCCCCAGCGGACAAAATTTAACAAATCATTTGAATTAAAATGATCAATGTGAATTAAATTAAACCAAGTAGAAATGTATTAAGAGTGCAACCTTTTTTCACCTCCTCTCACCCTCCTTCCAAAGCTGCTTAGAGGCAAACACACTGTGACTGTAATTGTAGGGAGGGTTTCAATCAATCACTCAATCAATCAATTAATCAATCAATCATTCAGTTGCACCAAAGGTTACCTCATTATGCTTCACTAACAGAGCAGGTGTAGAACATCCTCTTGTTCTGTCATTTGACCTTTCTATGGTTGCTGTCACACCTCCTCTGCTTCTAGACAAACTCTGCCCTCATGAAGACTGCCAAACATCCCTCCCACTTCCTTTCCCCTGTGAGATGTGGAGCATAAACACCACCAAAGTCTGTTATAATCCTCAGAAGTCCTCGGGAGTTCTCGCTGAGTGGGTGTGGTGGGGGATGGGGGGTAATTGACTCATCTGTTGCTGGCTCTAATTGATTCGAGCGTTAATCTGGTGGTCCCAGACTCAGAGCTAGGCTAATATGTGAGGGACAGGAGAGAGTCCAGCTCTGCCCAGGGGCTGTTGACAGGAGGATTGGAGAAGATTAACAGAGATTTCTGAGCGTCCACCATAAGGAACTCAGCTGAACTGTTTGTCTGCTTTTCTTAGGAAGAAATAACATGGGGTCAGTGTCTGGGGAAAGTCAACTGTGACAGAGTCATGGATACATCATCTCAAAGACTGACTGTTCATTGCAGTATTTGGGGGGTAAATCTGGGTTTACAGGGCTCTTAGAAGCACTTGTAGGTCAGAAAGTGGGTTTAAGATGTTCTCCTCATCTGACCTTAGTAGGGTCTTTTCTGAAGTTCTAGTTGGTATTAAAGTTTGTGGTCTGGGTACAGTTGAGGCGGTCTTTACAGAGTTGACTGAGTCTTTGGTGCATGGGATCTTATATACATACATATAAATCACAGAAGTTCAGAATGAATCTCTGCTCACCACTGAGAGGAGATGTGGAAGAAATGCTTACTTCAGGACTTTGGAGTGAAGAGTCTTTGTGAGACAGGTAAGGGTCTCTCCAGACTCACAGCATCTCCCTGCTGCAGATGTTGGTGCTTTTATTCAGGATGCATGCCATACCGCCACCTTGTGGTCAAGATATGTAAAAAAACATTGAGATTTAGCACCCACTGGTGCAGGGGTGTCAAACTCAACCACAGCAAGGGCCACTATCTGGATTTAAGTCTAACCTGAGGGCCCAACAGGGTCAACATTTAACCCAAACTGTCAGCCT